TTAATTTTTAAATTTCTTACACATGTTGAATGTCTGACCAAACAGATTTGAAGAATAGGAGAAAGCTTTCCACACTTCTCTCTTTCATTTGCCGCTTTTTGTGTTTTGTTCATTTACCCGGAAAACTATGCAATTTTCGCTTTAAAGTATGTCAAATGCAAATTTTTGGGATGGAAGTGAGTAAGTGAATAACAGGAACTAGTGAACAACACGCATTCTATAATTCATTACATTTAAAATTCAGGCAATGGAGAGAGGTGCCTTGTGGGATTTTGAAAAGCTTTAAATGGAAGGAACAGCCTATAAGTAGACTTTATAAATCGGAAAAAGGCGGTGTAAAATGTTAAGTAAATATTCTGCTCGCGGTTTAAAAAAATATAGGTGTCTGAAACCGCATCAGGTAAAAACATTAATGCAAGTTTTAACGCTGGTTAAATTTATGAATTGTATGTTAATTGCGTCAATATAAACTTGATTTAAAATGGAAATCTCTGCTTTTGTTTATTTTGGTACCCATTTAAACCACATATTCCAACTGGTGGTTAAAAAACCAAGAAAAAATACAAATTGTAATACCCTGCAGCATTGCGACAAAAAATATCTGCAGCTACGAGTCGGTGGGGTCAGGGGTCACGTTTACACACAAATGTATATGTATTTTTTTTTTGTAAATATACCGAGAAAAATTATGTTTTCGACGCTTCTGCCCGCCGTTCGGTGGAAAAGCTGTGCAAACAAATGTTTCGCATTGTTGAAAGGCAAATCCAAAAGAGCAAAAGGGGCAATGAGAGCCGAACATGAAAGCTGGTCTGGCCCGAAGCGCCATTAGCCATGGCCGAAACGATGGCGAAAGGCTGAAAGGCGAGCCAAAAACCAAATCCTTTTTCAGATTTTTTATTATACGCCAAGGGGTTCTACTCCTCTGTTTTTTCTTATTCATTTTTCGCATATTTTTTGCCGGTCAACTAAGCTGTTCTAATCTGTTTGTCGTTGGCCGTCGGCTAAACGTAGTCTACATCGTATTTTATACGAAGTTTTTTTTTATGTCATCACCCTCTTTGAATCCTTAATTCAACATTCAATTTCTTGATGATCTTAGTGAGGATTTTGGGGATGACTTCAAGTCCAGCTTAATTGCTTTTTGCCGGGACAAATCGCAGGTAATTTCTCAGGACACCTTGGGCAACCATCTTGCTGACGTCACGTTGAGAGGGCCAACAAACGTGGCCAGCTTTTGACTTTTGACTTGTCTTTCGACCGAACGATCAAGTATAAATAAACAAATGCATGAAAATAGAACTGAGAGTGGGGAAAATCGATTTCAATGCTCGCAATTAATCGAAGGGAAAAACATCCAAGAGACGTGAGTTGTTTTATAAAACTCATAATCAAAACAGAATCTCCAACATTGACCAATAAACGTAATGCGGGTCATAAACCTTTAAAAGCCTTTAAATGTGTACACAGAAAATAAAGAATCAGAAAAAGTTGTTTATTATTTTTATTAAAGAAAAACAAAACTGTGATGGTGTTCTGAATAAATATTCCATAAATTCAGGAATGTTTAATAAAAAAAAACTGATAGGAAAAAATGAGTTCATAGGGTAATATTTCAGTTTACCTTTATTAAGATATACTCAATAAAGAAAAGGCATAATATAAAAACCTCTAACACGCAGGTGAAATAAATCCATATATATTTTTGTGTGTACATAGGTAAAGTTATGGCTCAAAAGAAAATATTAACTTGGCTGTGAGTAAAGGCTTCGGCTCCGTGGAAAGTGATATAAAAGTTTACTACTCCGGCGGGTGAAGGGTCGAAGTCCACTCTTTTCCTGGGTTTTAATCAAAGTAAATGAATTTAAACGAAGCGACGAACAAAGTCCAGCGGCTATTTGCATAGAGCCGTCGCACTGAAATGGTTTTTAAGTGAAAAAAAGGATGCTGCCATTCGCATTGGGCGGGAAAAAACTGAAAGGAAAGTGGAGTTGGGTTGGCTGGGGGGAAAAGCCATAGGAAAAGCGAGGGAAAAGCGTGAGCGAAACGTTTTGCCAGCTCAGAGCGAGTCTGAAGTTGGTTTTCTTTATTTTATTTGCGCGGGGATTTGTCTAGCTGGAGAGGATAAGCGCCCTGTGTATCCTTTATCCTTTGTGTTTGCATGAATTTAATGCAATCCAAATATTTGTGGGCGAGAGTGAGAGTTTCGTTTCAGCCATTTTCCTTTCTTTTTTCCATTCCCTATTTCGTTTTTTTCCCCTTTTTTGTTGGTGCTCCATCTTCGGCCGCTTTCCGCTTTGTAAATGGCTTTTTATGGGCTTACTGCCGGATGGCTTTTGTGGGAAATTTAAAGCTCCTTTTCATAACCTTTTGGGATGGTAATGGCATGCAAATATCTATTTATATGTCCTGCCACCGTTGGTTATGAACTTGAGCTAGCGAGTATTTCAAAAATATTTCCTAACATCTGCATAATCGTAAGTGTATTCGGGATAAGTAAACATCAGCCTTTCTGACTAATGAACTGCTTTTCAGAGTTTTAGGGCATGTGGCATTCATTGTGGCGTAGGTGGAAATCAATTAGCGCCGGCATTAACTCAGTTTTCTTTTTAATAATTTGCGGAATTAATGTTTTTGAAAATCTATTTTCTGCCGAAATTCAACATTCGACTTGAGCTATTTTAGGATTACTTATATATGGATTCGGCACACGCCATATCCCTCATATCCACAAAACAGAAAATTAATCATCCTACAAATTGGCATTCGCAGAAACCCATCGCAATACGGGGCAAAAACTTTCGATTTGTTTATCATAACTTGACATAGATCATAGAGAATAGACATATGCTGGATTTTTATTTATAGATGCCCTTCTTCTGAAATATAGCAAAAGTTTTCCCCATAAGGATATTTTTCGCGGCGGAAGGCTTTTCAACTGAAAAATGAACCCTCTTTTCTACATATTTACTCTTATTGCTCGGATGTCTGTATAAAAATGTATATATGGTGGAACTGGGAGGCGAGGGGGCGTGACTGGTATCTCATGCACATTTTGTCACTGTCAGTCGACGATGGCATCATCAGCGTCTTTTTCGCTCTTGAAATATTGTGGTTGTTGTCATGTCATTTCGCATTTAAATTGTTGTTGTCACCGTAATAAAATTCGCAAATCTAGGTCCATATCTACGCATTTGTTATCCTTGAGCTGCATTCGCCGTAAAACGAATACAAAAACGTAAAGAAGACTAAAATTGTACATTAAAATTGCAGTTTTTATTTTCAAACAATTGCTGTCGCTGCAGCTTGCATTCATTTTTGGCCATAAATTTTCACAAAACCACCAAGTTTATATATTGCTTTTTGAAAGCGAAGTGGAAAATGTGTTTTGTTTAGTGGTTGATGGATCATTCCCCTTGAGAAAATCGCCAAAGGGCAGATCGTCACTTAAATTTAGAAAATAAAACTAGATATAAATAGAAATGCAGCTTACTGTGTCGAGGCTGTTGGCAACAGAATCGCTTGTGGTTACTATATTTAAATTGTTTTATTGCATCAAATTTTTTGGCAAATATTTCTGGTAATTTTCGGATGCAATTTTGTGTCTGCCATTAATTTGTTTAATTTAAAGTCTGCCTCTTTTGCCGCTGGGCACTCGAGCAGTCTTTGTTGCCTTTGTTTGCACAATCAACAATAACAAATAACCTTTTTTTTCTCCGTTCTCGTTGCAGTTTGTTGGCTGGGAAGAGGTGCCACGACCCAACACTCGAGCCGAAATCGTTCAGGCCATGCGGCGCATAAGGGTAAGTATTACGCATACGCCGCGTGGGACGTAAATGAATTTTGAATCCTGGCGAGATGAAAAGTTAACAGATTTCCTCGCCCACAAGGCGTAGCATAGCGTAGGATATTCGCATCTCCGGCTGCCAATTAAAGAAACTTTTATCCTGGCTGAAGGCGGTTTTAAATTTTCCGAACCCCAACCCCCCGAAAAGCAGGCAACACTCTCTGTTTGCCAGCGTCACATACTTTGATTACAGTCGCATACAAACTCGTACTCATATGGCCAAAAGGCAAGGCAAGCTGGCTGAAAAAAGAAAAACCATTCTAGTAGCATAAAAAGTAACGAGGCTTGTTTATTCTTTCCCGTTTCCCCCAAGCGAAGCCAAGAAGTCGTGCGTGCCCTGGCTTAAAGCGTGTTAGCCCGGTTGACTTCGGAGTATGAGTGTATGTGTGTGTGTGTGTGAGTGTGTGGGTTATTGTGAATTAGTCCTGTCTGTCAGTCGATGAGAGATGATGGAGGTTGGGAGGGGTAAAGGGGTGGGGGGTTTGGTAAATTCGGCGCTTGTTATTGTCATGTCTTTGCCATTAGGCGAGCCGTCACAGGCAGTCAAATGTTAATTGAAAATTCTGGAATTACGTGGCCCCCCGCACTTATGTATACACACATCAGAGAACTTAAGCATTTATCCCCTTTAATTTGCAGTACGAGTGCAAAGTGCAGAATCTGAAGAAGCGAAAAGTCACCATCCACATATCCGTAAATGGCGTACGCGTTGTGCTCAAAAAGCGCCGTCGAAAAGTAAGTCAATGTCGACACATATCTTTTATTTACCATAAATAATTTACTAATATTATTGTTTAGAAAAAGAACTGGACCAATGACCCCGAGGAAATCGAGTTGCTCAATCATCCCATCTATAGAATATTCTACGTGTCCCACGACAGCAGCGATCTCAAGATATTCAGCTATATAGCGCGCGATGCCAGCACGGATACGTTCAAGTGTTCCGTCTTCAAAAGTCACAAAAAGGTGAGATTCACTGTTTGTTTAAGGCTTTTCCTTTTACTTTTGGGGGCCTCTGAAATGTTTATGACCGCAATTCGCAAATTGCGAATTGCAGGCTACATGCTACTTACTTGACATTACCCATTTTCCGAAACACCCCGCACTGACACCCATGGATTCTCTAAAAATAAGAACCCGGGTCTTGTGCAAAATGTCTGCTCGTATGCATAATTTTGGCTAGAATCCAGCATTGGAAAACCGAAAAGAAAACAACTAGAGAATAAACAAAAAAATATGTAAGATACAGGGAGCGAAATGCAGTTTATTAGATGTGCTACAATTGCGATCTATTCACACTACTTTTCATTAATTTTGTAGTGACTGAAAGTTGAGGTAGTAAACTAAATTATTTTGATCAGAAAAATTAAAAATACTTAATTTTAGAGATTTATAAATGTTTGGTCTTACATGTCACAAAAATGTAAACTTATAATTCAAATTAATTTAGAACCTTTTTAGTATTTTTTGCTGGTTAGCTGATTCACTTTCCCCGTTTCTTTTCCATTCGCTTTTCTATATGTTGAACCAATGATTCCATGGCTATTTTTCATTGTCAATTCCTTCTAGTCTAGACCAATTTTTCATTGGCCATTACAGCGTACGGGGATCTAAACAAACCCGGCGAAAAGTAAAGCGCAACTGTCCATCAGTCGCTCGACCAATCGCCGCGGTTATTTCCGTGTTATATGGTTTTGGTTATATAGTAGATCGGCACAGATTCTCCGTCCGAAAGGCGACATCGCCCCCCATTAAGCTATTGCGGAGATTTGGCAAACAAATAAATCAGATTTAACATTGTGGTCGCCTGGGGGAAATGCATTTGCTTTGATTTCGAACCCAATGCGGTTTTTGATTAATTCCAAGTCAGAAATGTTCCAAATTTATGTTCGAAGCGTACAGCAAGCCAAGGAAATTTCTTGGCATAATTCCGTCTGGCCTTCAACTTCAGAATGTAGACAATGTCAAGTTGGCATTTCTATTTTTTCCTTTCTAATTAAGAAGCGGACTTCTGCGGAAAAAATTCCAATACATCCAACACATCAGAAGGCAGTCGATGTTGTGGCCTGTCGAAATGCCTGACAAGTGACACGGGAAATTAAGGCCAGAAGAAGGGTGAAAGCTCTGAAAGGCACACGTGCAGCAACGTGTGGAAAACATCGCGCATACGCCGCGTGCGTCAGAGGAAAGCTCCGTTGCACCTGAGGCATTAGCCATTCGTATATCCACTGGCATCATCCAGCCATTTGTTATACAAGCGGCATTCGAATGCAGCGCAATTTGGAAGCTGAATGAACACAAACACGCGCAAAGACAAAGCGATGAAAGGTGGATGATTAATGGCTAAGCAGGAGCCAAGATGGCAAACCAAGCAACTTAAATGGAAAATGGCCGAATCAAGCGAAGAGCCCCTTTGTTTACTTCCGCGAAACACAAAGCAATGACGTCACAACAGTAGCTGCAATCACGCATACGCCGCGTTGGACCGGCCTCAGGGGGTTTCGCTGATCGGCTCGCTATATCTATTATATAGCTTTGATGGAACTGGCAGAAAAAACCAAAACAAACGCAGCATGTAGCCAGCGATCGTGGCAACAGCTGAGCGGAAAAGCTCAGGGAAAAGCTTTTCCATTTAGCCGGCTACAAATGGGATCTATCGATCGGTGATCTCCTCTCTTATTTTGTTGGTCTTTGTCCAGTGCGTTCTAGACGACGCGCCTTTGCAGACGTGCGGCTTTTGAAACAAAATATATATATTTAATATCGGACCACATATCCAAAATTATGCAATGAGTGCGTGAGTGACCGTGAAGTGAAGTGTGTTTAAAAAATAATAATAATAAAATATATAAACCGATATTTCTGCCACCTGCAAAACATCCGCTCCAATAAATAAATAAAAAAAAAAACAAAATCATCTATAAGCAAATTAAATTCATGGAATGGCATGTCACAGCTTTGAGAAAAGTATTTTAACGCATCCATAGATCATCGTTGCCAGCGAGGCGAGAAATTAAATGTTTTCAAAATGTGAAAGAAAAAAATCGTTGCAAGCATTCGAGTCACAAAAGTGTTTTGTCATTGGTTTTTTCTAACATTGGAACTGCTGACGCCACTAAATGCCAGTGGCCAGCAGAAAAAGAACAACATTTATACTTTTAAACAATGCTAAGGATTGAATAATGAGCCACGAGAGCAGAAAATTGACTGGAAAATTAATTACCAGAGAAAAGCCGCAACACAAGCCACTTGAAAAAAAGTTTGCAAAGTGCGGACGGTAATACGATTTTAGTTAAACAAAAAATTAAAGTGTATTTTTGGCTTTGGTTTAGGGTAAACCGAATTCATTCATTCATTTCCAAACTAATCTCAATGACGTACGATTTCCGAAAATGCACTGTTTATGCATATTAGTTGTTAATGAGCTACTCGCGCCACAGGTCGTCTATAAAAATTGGGAGGCTGGAATAAATAAATAGAATTATGGCCAATAAGTTGAACGCACACGTGATATTATGGCTGAAATATTTACGATTCCTTTCTGCTTAGCTTATTTATTTATTTCTGTATTTCGTATTGGCACAATAAACAAGCAAAGGCAAATTTGACAGCTGAAAAAACCCCAAATAAACATAGAATATAGGTACCCACAAATATTTTCATGAACATAACTTTGTTCTCAAGTTCTTCGAATAGTTCATAGAAACGGGGGAAATATTTCTAATTTACCTGAGGAATTGGCAATACCAATGATTCGGGAAAAACCGCAACGTACTTCTTTTCCCTCTTAGCCATTTTCTTATTACCAAAAATGGCTGCCCTCGCCGACATTCGTTTGCGTTTCGTTTCGCTTCGATTCTGTTTTATTTTCTGCATTTAAAGCCAAAATAGATCCATTATTTTAATAGCCTACTTTAAAGTATTTCTGAAATCGAACAACGAAGTGGAAAAGGAGGCAGGTAGTGCGGGCAGGTGTGTGCTTCGCTTTGTTCGAGAGGCGAATTATAAATACTCAAGTTTATGTTCTTTGGGTATTTTCGCTTATGCCGTCGGTGTGTGTTCTTCGGCGAGAGAATGTAAATTGAATTTTCAAGTGGCACAGCCTGCATGACTAATGAGAACTTCATTAGTGCCGGCGTGGGCCAGCCAAACACCCATCCTGACCACGTGACAATGTGCAGAATTTACGGGCTGCAGTTTTCCCTGCGGTCAACTGCGGGGTAATGTGGCAAGCTGCAGCTGCGGAAGTGGCATCTGCGGTGGGGCAGCGACTGCTGCTGCTGCTGCTGCTGTGGCATGCTGACCACCGTCGACTTATGGCCGCAGTAAACACCGACCATGTGGAAGAGGAGCAGGGGCAGGGGCAGAGGCAATGGCAGTGCCATTAAAATCGGTGCTAAAAAGCCCGGCCAGACACAAAGATTTTTGTGTAAAAATTTTCCCTTATGACAGACAGCGCGGGCAAAACAAACAAACTGCCAGTTTTGATTGCTACCGTGCAGAGGGAAAATGGAAATTAAAATTCAAATAAATACATAAAACAATGCTAACAAAGTCATTCTTAACGCCATAAATTTTCAAGTAGTTTTCCACCCAAAATGCCGCGCAGTTCTCTAATTCTCTCTCGTTTTTACTTATTTAAGTTTTCATTTTGGCTTTGGCTGTAACGAATGTAAATTGCCACACACTTAATCCGCTTACTTTTTATAGTTCTCAATTTGATTTATGCGAATTGCACAAGCCACACGAGTGAGATGTATATGTGCTCGCTCGGTGGAGATAGACAATCAGTTGGCACCTTTGGCTAAGTCGGATTTTCTTGGCACACGTGGCGTATGCGCAATGCTGATAAAACAGCGGCGGAGTGAGACTATTTGACGCCACTTGTAAATTCACCTTGAAAGAACTGTTAAATGGCTGAGTTAGTAGTCGAAACCCCGAAATGCTCAAATATTGAACGTGTTGCAAGCATGTTTCCCCTTTTCCCCCGTTTCACTCACCAATTTGTTTGCCAAGTTGCGCAACAAGTGCTGTCGTTTTGCTTGTCAAAATAATTCAAATTGATGTGTTGTTAATGTCGTTCGGGCGGCGAGTGCTCAACCTGCCGCCACTGAAGTAGCCCTTCAAACTGCCTGAGTGATGGCCAAGATGCTCGAGCATCTCCTGAAAGGGGATACCGCAAAGTTATTCGCCAACTTAGCCTTAATTAGTAATGGGGCAGAGTGGTCGTCCATCTTGGAACTTATGGTTTTAGCTCTTCAGGTTATTTATTTAATTTGTTATGATGTGGAACATATTGTGAAATAGCTTACATTTCTGAAAGAGTAGAAATTAAGTAATGATTTTAAATATTTTACTAACTAGGGAATACCAAAAGGAATTCTGATTTGGCTCTTAAAGCACCTTTTTACTTAATTTATGATGTAAAAAGTAACAGACCGGAAAATATATTCTCAAACTCACAATATTCGAACTTAATGTTCAAAAAAAGTAAGCTTTAAAATACATTTAAATATCTGATTTTAAAGGAAAAACATTCGATTCGATGCTTATGAAACTGCAACTAAAAGTCTGACTCATTGGCAGCAAAATCGATGCAAATCATTCGCTGGCTGATTGACATAAATTTCGCCTGCTTGCTAACCATAACAATACCCAATCAGATTGACAGTGTTTCTTTTTTTTGTGGTTGGAGGGGAGATGAAAACGAGAAAACTCAGACATGCATGCGGCAGAAATAGTCGGAAAATAACCGAAAAAATTACTTTTTTTCCGAAATGTAGGCAACATGAAAAGTTGCAAATAATTCAATACACAAATAAATGAACACGCAAAAAAGAAAACAGCATCCAAAAACAAGAGCCAAGGGGCGAAAAGTGAAATATATAAACAATAAATAGCAACTCGCAGGTGTAAAAAATGGCGCATTGGCGGTGTGTGAACAACCTGGATCAAGGGAGCAATCGTCTGAACCCTAAGCAATTATGAAATTGATAGCCAACTAATTGGCCGAATTGAAAAGTGAAAACACAAAACAACATTGAACAGCATTGAACTTAGTGAGCGGCAGCAGCAGTGACAAATTGGCGAGCTAACGGCCTTGTGGATTGCGGATACTTTTCGCGGATCGTCGAACTCTTCGTGGTGGTGGCCATGAAGCACGAGAAGACCCTCGTCATGGCTGCTCCGCACAAGCAGCGGCATCCGCACCTCGCGGATAGCTCCGCCCACGTACCCCGAAGTCCCATCACGAAGGCATTTGACTTTTTCCCATGGACTAGGAGTCGCAGTAAGGTCAACATGGCCAAGGTCCAGAGTCCTTCGTTGGAACAACAGGCCTCGGTTTCCTCTGCCACTTCGGTGGAAAAACCCTCGGAGGTTCACTATTCCAAGAACATCTTTCGCAGTGGCGGTGGTCTCATTCGGGATATTCTGGTGGGTGACAAGAATCTGCAGCTCAAGGATAAGCCACCTCAATCCCCGATTCCCTCGCACAAAAAGAAACAGAAAGCTTTGTCGCGGAATAAGAGCCTGGATATCAGGGAGCTCATTGGATGTGTGGAAAGGGAAATGGCTCCTGTGACAGGAGGAGGTCCTTTGAGTCAGCCACCTCGTTTCATAGACGACACCTACATAGACCACAAACCCAAACATATACTCTTCAATGATGATGAGAATACTGTTTATATTATCAAGAAGGAGCAACCTGTGGCCAAGTCAAGTCATAAGGGCACCAACTCCTCTTCTTCTGCTGCTAATGCTAACCAAACCAATGGAGATGTCCTGAAGGCAAGGTTGAAATTCAAGCGTTTACCCGGTGATCATTACGAGGCTTCACCGGAGGCCCTGCGAAGAGCTCATCTGCTCCACCAGCGATCCGAACAGCGTCATCAGTTGCAGCGTCGCAAGAGTCTCAGCGATCAGCAGAGCAGCTCCAGTTTAAGCAGTGGCGGCGGAGGCGGGGGAGTGGCAGCGGAAGCATTATGCTGGAGCGCCCCAAGACCGACAAGCCGCGCAAGAAGCTCTCCTTCCGGGAGCCCATCATTGCCGGCGACCAAATACTGCCACTCATCCTCAACGAGCAGCGGCAGGCAAGACAGAGGCGTCGCAGCTCCCCCTTGGAACGCAGCAGGGGGATAACGGGAGCGGACTGTGATAATTTATGCAATAATCGCACAAAGGATGCAATTTCCTGCGGCTGTGCGACGAGCGATCCGGAGGTGGGTTTTGCATGAGGGAAACGAGGCGTATACGTAATGCCCACTGCAGCTTAATTGTTGTCAATGGGAAATGGTGGGGGGATTGGAGGGGGGTTTCTTAATGGGGTGTTCGCTGTGTGGTGGCCATAATACAATTATATTAATCCTTCATTCTCTTCTCCTCTCTCATCTGTTGCAGTCTCAGGCGATGCGCATCGTTCGCACCGTGGGACAAGCCTTTGAAGTGTGCCACAAATTTAATCTTCATAAGAATTCCCTGGAACCCAACGACGAACGCTCCGACATATCCTCATCGGAGCTGCTGGACGTGGAGCAAATCAGCGAGCAGCAGCTCAGCGAAGACGGCGAACGGGCTGGCATTTGCGAGAATGAGACGCCCAAGAAAGGTGAGTGTCGCTGAAAAATTCATTCATTTGGGAGAGGGGAAATGGGTGAAAAATGGGGAAAACAGTTCGTTGCCTGGCCAATAAATAAATGAAAAGCTCTGGCTGTCGTTGGTTGCTTCCTGGGTCTCTGAATCGTTCTGAATCGCCGTGAATCGCTGTGAATCTCTGGAGCCTGGACGTTGGTCGCATTAGTTTCCTATTCATTTTTGCATTCCCATGCAAATGCTCTGCTCTTTAATTTCGAATTCAGTTCGATGCGGCGAGCGAGGCGATTTGCATTTAAATTGCATTTTATCCACCGGGGAAGGTGTAAAGGAAAGGGAGCGATTTTCCCGGTTAAGTCTTTAAAATTAACCGCTGAAGTTGAATTACCAGCGGAAAAAGCAGGAAAGTTTATTACGCTATAGTTTATTATTTCGAAAACGAAGGTGTATTTTGGTTCTCACATTATCTTGCTTATTTTGTTTAACATTTCACAGTGTTTTCTTCTCCTTATTTCCGTAAATATACAAACTGCAACTGCAGACAAGGCGAACACGTACATGTTTCTTGTACATCAAAGTATACACACTGAACAGGCAATTTGCAATACCCCCTGCCCAAGTAAAAAGTACAATATTAAAGATGACTGCGCATATAACAGGAAAATATTAAGCAGAAAAAAATAAAATAATATTAAATACAAAAATATGAGTACCGAGAACAGAGGCAGGAGCTTTCGACATACACTTCGACGCTGTTAAGCAATTTCCACATATTGCTTCAATTTTCAATAATCTTCGTGCGGTTTTCCATCTTGCCAGCAATCCCCAATCCCCTTTTTTCCCCACTTTTCTCCCCTCTGACACTCTTACACAGACAAGGCGTAGTTTGACGTCATCAACGCGTTGCTGCTGCCAAAAATAAGCCAACAAGAAAAAAAAAAGAAAATAAAAATAATATTGGAAACCTCACGAGCAAAGCAATTCTTTTTGCAATCTTTTGTCTAAAACCAACGAGCGACATCATTCGCAAGAAATTCTGAGAATATAAATATAAATAACGCTCAAGTGGATTGCCAGAAAGGTGGCGGTGCGGAGGTAGCTACTTATCGGAGATGGATTATTTGCTGATACCTTCATCATAACCATGGCATCACCCAGTTATTGGATTCGGGAAAGCTGAAACCGAATTTGTTACCGGGCGGCACTCGAGCAGACGAAAAACACACGAAACACTCACGTGGTGGCCACCAAATCCTCGATGTGGGCGTTCCCAAAAGTCGTGTGCCAAAAATAATTTATTTATTTCAATATCTCATCCTCGTGCGCTGTCTTGTAATTTTCGCCATAGAGCCATATAGTAATTTCCCAGCTGCCTCGGTTGACTTTTAAGTAGCGAAAACCAACGCCACTCGGCATTGAAATAATGAATTATGAACACGAGTGTTTGTCTATGTCTGGGCGACTTTCCCCGGAGATTAACAAGATTAGTTTCGCAGGGTGCAAAGTTGAATAGCCTAGACAGAAAAAAAAAGATGACACAAGCTCTGGAGACTCCACAATTTTTTTGACTTTATTTGGAATTAGTTTTGCTTAGAAGATTTTTCTTAAAGAAAATTCTACATTTTCGTTGACCATTTTGCGTACCTAATAGTTGAAGAATAATTTTCTTTAGTTTTTCAACATTGTACGATGGGTTTTCTGTTACTAATTCTTGCTAGAAATAATCTTAATTTTTAACACCTTTAACACCTACGCTTTTGGACCAAATTATCTTTATACACTGACCAAACAAGCAAAAACGAAATTACAAAGATTGTTTATTTGTCTAAACTGCGGCGACCACAAGTCGTGTGTGTAACAAGCACGCCATTACGTTAATCAACACCTCATTTATTGTCTTTGGCTCAGATCGCCGATATATATATGGATATCCAAAACATAATATAGATTGGCTATACGTAAAATAGACTAACTAATTGTTGTTCCATGTCACAAAATCGCTTTGCAGCTGTTTTGTCAAAAGCTTTTCAACTGCCGTCTAATTGAGTATGATGTGTTCCCCGAAATGGGTCATTTGGGCTGTAAAAATTCTACAAAAGATGCTGGCTAAATTTAGCCAAAGAAACATGTGTTTGCGAGTCAGAAATCCCTATTCCATCTTTGCAGGGAATACGCTGGCGAATTCCATCAATTACTTGCCAAAATGTTCGGCAGCGAAAACCATCTGAATCGGCCAATTAATTTACATGCTGTGAAGGATTTTTACAGCGCTCGTAGCAATTCATCGGCAATTAACACGTGCCGCAGGTGCGAAACGAAAGCGAATTCTGCTTAATATTCTCGGAAGAAATTTCTTAAATATTTGCCAACAAATCAGATTGAAATGGCAGCCACAAACAGAGCTGAACTTTGCTCATTACCATCGAGATCGTACGAGGTTCTACAAGTTAATTGTTTCATTATTTATCGGTCAGGCAGCATAATCAAAACAAATATTGAACTCTAGCCGCTGTAATTAATGGGAAATTAAGCGCGAAGAAGATCGTGGGGCACTGGACCACCAGGTGGGCTGCGTGGGTGTCCCGCGACCTTGACAAATTGGAGGGCATCGCGGCCTTACACGTCCCACTTGTTTACCAACCAAATAAAATAATTCAATTCTTTTCTCTTAACTATTTTTAGAGCACTTGGCCATAACGCCCGATCTTGGCCACACGCAGCCGCAGCGGCCAAACCATTTGGAGCTAATGCCATCGCATTCGAGTCTACGCAAATCGAACAGCCTGCTGGTGAGTAACTCATGTCCATCATAATCATTTTGGCCAATGGCCCGCCAATAATAACCGAAATCACAGCCATATCCTGGCTGGGCAATTAAAATGCCGGCGCGATGCTGAATTTTAATGAGCCGAAATCTTTCTGAAATGAAATCAAATACAATGTGGCCCATTGCTTTCGTTTCTGTTTAGGTCATAATGTATAAAGTAATATTTCCCATTTGTTTACCTAACAACGCGGTCAGGAGTGGGTAAACAAGATGGAGAAACAATAATAATATTCCGATTCAATAACTTTTTGTGGCCTCTGTCAAGGCTGAACGGAGTATAAAACAAATAATTCTGTATGTTAAATGGGGAAAAACAAAGGATTCAAAATTAACAATGTCAATTTCATGGACTTTTTCCAATAAAACATTTTTACTCTCTTTTTATGAGACAAATATTATTATTTAAATTCATTGAAAAATTTGACAGTGGAATGCGGCTATTAATCAAAATTGGGTTTCAAAAACATATTTACAGAAACAGTCTAGAAAAGCAATAATTTTTTATGCGAAATATAAAAACTGTTATTGCTTGAAAAACACATTTTCTTTGATCAATCTTCGTTCGCCTAGAAAACAAGCTCATTTAATTGAGTGTAACAAAATCTTATGTTAGTTTATTATTCAGTGTGGCTGGTTATGGTCTATTTGAAAAGTAATTACCAATTGTTTTGTATTTTGTCTGTTATTTTTCACTTTGCCCTTTTTTTATTGGTAATGAAATTAAATTTGTTTTCTTAATTTTAGTGCGGAGAATGTAGGTTTTATTTTTAATTTGAAAACTTTTCTATTATCTTTGGCAGAATAACTTTTACATTAAAATACTCAAGTCTATGTAATGTAACCGTAGAATATTTCATAAATTTCAAATAATATTTTCTTTAATAAATAATTTTTTTTTTTTTAATTTTATAATATTGTATTATGTATATAAAATCTTGAATAAAATAATTATATAGTTTTTAAAGTAATAACTTACTATTTTAATGGCTTTTTCTCCCCGTTCTCCTTGCAGTGCGATGTGGACGACAAGTCGCCGGGCTCTCCCTCCTCGCCGCGCTCTGAGATCACCCAGCTGAAGGACCAGCTGGAGGCACAGGCTCTGCAGACCCGCCAGGCTCTGGGTCAACTGATGTTGGTGCGGGAGCAGCTCATCTCGGAGACCAATGCGCGCATCGAGGCACAGGTGGGTCTACTGATAAAATAAACCCCTTAAAATAGATAGTAATAATTTGTATTAAATTATTATATTTTAGGCGCGCACGCAGCAGTTGCTGCAGCAGAATCGGGAGCTCCTGGAGCACTTGGCCTCCTTGGGGGCCTACAACGAGCAGCAGAGTGCCGGACTCACGTCGGCCAACATCGGAATGGCGCCGCAGGTGAGTCCACTATATATATATTTCCTATATAGCGTATATACTTTATAAGCTTTTGAGTTATGCGATCGTAAATTTGCGCTGATTTCGAGCCTATCCAAGCTGTGCGTCCTTTTTGCATGTTTTTTTTTCTGTTTTTCTTGGCTGCCGTTCGTTTTTTGCACGAGTGTTGTTTATATAGCTGCCGTTCCCGTTTTCGTTGTGCGTTCTTATTGTTGTTGTTCACCCAGAGTGGTATTGTACTAAATGCCCTGTGACCTTTCACCTTTCGCCTCGACTAGCAATCGCAGCTGCAACTGCTGCTGCAGGCCACCAGCAACAACAACAACCTGGCAACGATCAATCAGCAGATCAGCAATCTCGGTAGCATCAATCAGCAGTTGACCTCGTTGAGTCACCAGTTGAGTGGCCTAAATCAGCAGAGTCAGCACCTCCAGAACTTGCAACAGCAACAGCAGCAGCAACAACAAACAACAACGGCCACTCCTGCCACGCCCCCTCCGCCCATTGCGGCATCAAGTAGTCCGTATCCATCGATGAGCGCCCTGCAGAGCATCAGCAATCAGTTGCAGCAGCAGCAGCAGCAACAGCAGCAGCAGCAACAGGATGCGCTGTCCAAGGATCTGTTTCAGGTAAATCAGGAGCTGCTCAATCGCCTTCAAGCCTTGAACTTGAATGCCAATCCTGGACAGAGTCAGCAAACGCCAGCTCCCTCACCCCACAACTCCTTCTTCTACGTGAATCCCTTGTCCTGCACTCCGGCCACTCCGAATAATAATGGAATAACAGGAGGAGGAGCGGGGGGATTTAATTTCCTCACCTCTCCAGCAGCTACGGGAACTCTGACACCATCACCCTTGGGAACCATGAATCGGAACTCCTTCGCGGGAAGTTCCTCCTTGAACGAGGACATACGCATGAGCCTGGAACACAATCTGAACAATCTGGAGGAGCAGCTGAAGGCGGCGGTTTCGAATGGCAATCTGGCTGGCCTCGCCTGTGGAGGATCCACCAGCACCAGGGACACAAGCAGGAGCTCCTCCACGCTGGATTCACCATCCTCGCCGCGTTTGAGGAGCAGCAACAACAACATCAGTCCGAGTGGCAGCAACGGCAACCAGAACAACCACAACAACAACAACAATAGCAACAACAGCAATAGCAGCAGCAGTCGGGAGACGCGATTCAATACGGTCCTGCTGCGGGTCACCGATGAGGCGGGTCACCAAAGGAAGCTCTCGGCCACGCCCAGTTTCATCACGCGGAGCACCAGCGAGAAGGTGCCCAATCGCAGCCAGATGATGAGCCAGGTGCAGCGGACCACTTGGGCCAGGCACACCACCAAATGAGCACCAGGTCGTAGGTCATAGGTTAAAAAGGTTGAAAGGATTCGAAAGGAGCAAGGAGCGCACGTGAGGATCGAGTGAATGATTTCGGGTGGGAACAGTATTAATTTAGGAGAAACATTTAGGAGAAACCCAACTTTAGTTTCACATTTTAGGTGTCCTAGCAGAACGCATTGCTGGCGTTTAATGTGCCAATTATTTGCCCAGCTCAATATTTACTTTAAGTGTAAAGTATCTATATATCTTTAGCTTTATTCTCTAGCTCAAACTGTGCCAAAGTCAAAGTCTATAGCACTTTGGCGTTTGGTTAAAAGTATTTGTGAAACATAATCTTAGCATATCAGCAACGAAGAAACTTACCCAAGTTCGCAATAATCGTTTCAAAGTATTTTCTTTCCCCTAAATGAAGTCTATATCTATATCTACTATATACATCTAGTGGTTAAGCTAATGAGTCTAGTCTAAAACTGGTTAAGTTGGATATACTGTTATTTTTGTAAATTGTTGTATTTTAATTCAATTTATGCGTGACCCGCATAATCATGTGAAATGCATTAATTTGTTTGCCCGGCCAGAGTTATTTGTAAATTATAAATTCAGATATTCGATTGAATATGGAATATATACTCGTATATCGGAAGCAAACACGAACGGCGGACAACAGAAATAATAATTACAATAATAAAAATCGCATAATTATGTAAAAACCACTGGCGACTGTTTCGAACCATTGTCGTTAATAATTGAAAGTTAACGCCAGACTGGGCAATTTCCCTAATGACTTTTCCGACAAAAACATGCAGAGCATACTTTTAAGCGCATTAAGCATCCGCCCCGTGGGACGGCCAGTATATGAATTTCCCCGCCCGCTGGATAAATGAAAAACGAAGGAGGAGCGGCAAAAACAAGTGTCGCCATTTTTCACTCTACTCGGTAGTTGGTTTTTCTTTTCTTTTCTGTTTGTTTTTTTTTTCTTTGTATTTTTTTTTCGTCCTGTTTGCCTACGGATTTCGCTGGTGGGCAGCAATTTGCGCACATAACTCATTTGCATAAATTTACACACTGACTTTACACTCACTCGCTACCCGCTTTTCCCACCAAATTTTCCCAACAGTTATCGTCGACGGCGAAAGTGGCGCGATGGTTCCAACAACTTCCCTGGCACACCGCATCCCTTTCCCGTCCGGAGAGCGGATTCGTTTCCGGGGACTCGCGCTCGGAGAAGTACCAGGAGGATCACTTCTACGGCGGCGGCCTCGTCGCCAAGGAGACGGATGATTTATGCGACGAATTCCTGCTGGTGGAGGGCAGCAGCACCATTTGGACCAAGCTGAGCGCCAAAAAGCGCCGTAAATTGCTCGGCATGCGGCTGGGCAAAGTGACAACGTTCTGAGGCCGTAATGTGTGCGTTTATTAGCTGTTAAGTGTGTTTTTAGTATAGCCTCTAAGTATAGCTTTGATTAATTTCCATTTGGGCCAAGGCCCTGCTAGCCAGTACGAAAACCAATAGACTAAAGGACCAAATTAACCCAAACGAAGCGGAACGTAACGAATCATAACGACATGCTCATTGAGATGCCATGCAACAGGCACAGACATAAGTCAATTAGCGAGCATAGAACGTAAGCTCAATGTGTATTTAAGTATTAACTGAACGGTAGTATTTGGCCAACCAATTCATTAGGCGAACAAACCACGCACATTAATCATACGCCACGTACGCCCAGCCACAAAAACCAACCAGAAATTACTGCCACTGCCGGAGGCCAAAAGAGCACTCACTGCTTAACTTGACCAACTTTTCGTGTACAAGAAAAACTGGTTACTAAGCTAAGCAAACTCGAAAGGGAAAGAAGATTTTCCTGCTCTCCGGGGACCGCAAAAAAAAGATCAAATGTTTGTTATTCATAAATTTTTGCCGGCTTCACCGTTTTTATGCATAAATCGATTCTACTTTTACGCTTGGCAGTCCCTTCGCTTACCTTTTTTTTCCATTTTCCCCCCAATCGGATAATTCTATAAATTTAAGTCAGCTGCTGTGGCAAGTGCAAACCGTGCTTGCGGCATACGTGGCGTATACGCGATTTACTTGAAATTTATGGGAATTTCCTGGCTATAAAAGGGGAGGGTTTGGTAAGGTAGCGTCTAGTATTAGTTAGCAAGCATCGAAGGTGTTGTACAAACTGTACTTCGTCCACTTTGATGGCTTAAGTTAGAGGTAGTAAAACCAGATAAGTTAGTTGAAAATGCAGAACCATCTGCGAAGCACTGTGACAATCATCGGGGTTGAGATAAATTTTGCAATTCAAATTCGAAATGAGTTCAAGCCGGCCAAATGGTTCTCAATCATCATCAAACTCGGTCGAGTTTTTATTGCATTATTTGGTGGCTCCTCCGTTTACTGCCCGACATCACAATGAAATGACGATTTTCCTAACGATTTTATGACATTCGCAATTTAGGTACTAAATTTAGATACGAAATTTATAGATGCAAGCTGCTAAAAAAAAAAGAGAGAAATTAAGGTACGTTAAATGGTTTTAGTTAATTTATGCAAACGATTTTTTGAGACTGAAACTGAAATTTGTTCTAAGCATAAACCAGGATGCACAAACATCAAACCCAAACACACATAACATGCATTCCACAAACATTTGCGATGAATAGAAAAAGTTTTTCATAAGCTACTTTAGCATAACCAAGATAGATTAATATTAGTTGCTCTGGTTCAACGCAATAGAATAAAGTGAAAGTAATAAAAGTTAAATGCAACATGCTGGGCAGCATGCCCATATCCTTTTCCTCCTTTTTCTGCTCCTGCCACTGCCATTTCCACTTTCACATCGCCGCTGCTGCTGACACTTTACAGTTCAATTAATTTAACGCGCTTTGCATGTAATAGAAAGGCATTGCATATCAGCGGGGGCAGCACAAGGATGTGCGAGGACATGGGCCAGGATGTGGGAGAGGACATGGACACAGAATGTGGAGCAGGGGGCGCTGAGCCCAGCAGGTGGGCTTGGCTCGTGTGGAACGGCTCTGGCGGCTAACAAGCGCATTCTGGCCAAGTGGGAGCGTCGTCGTCGTGGAGATATCATCTAAATAGGTGCCGCTGGCTCGACTGGATAATACCCCCCACTGGGGATGGCACATATTTTCAGCTTGGGTAGGTATTTATGGGCACTTTTTCATTGAAAACTCGTTGCCAGCGTCCCAGTATTTATTGCTGTCCATTGGCTTAGGGAATTCAATACAAAATGTAGCTATTTCAATGAAAACATAGTGATGTCAACAGCCAATTTTAAAACAGTTCACACACAATTAATTTTAAAGAGAGCTATGATAAAATTTCAAACATGGTTCTAGTTTATTTATTAATAATTTAGTATACATAACTATTTCCTACGCTTATAATAAATTTTGGGACAATTTATGCCTTGTGAATCTAAGATGCGAGTGTAACAATTGTTAAATTTGGAATCCAACGCAATATCCCCGTTCTGCCTACTAGGCTGATGCCATGTAGATTTTCCAGATGAGTTGGGAGACCAGTTCGCAGCAAGCCTTCTGTCTGTTCTTCGCCGCAGCCATGGCCTAAAATAGAGTTACAAAACAAGAAGACATTATGATCATTAATTCATGTATTTCTTTTAATGATGTAACCCCTTTCCAATTTAGCAAAAAATAGGTTTGCTAAGAATTGACAAAAAATTTATTAATTCTAAGTCCATAACTTTTCTAATTTTAACCAGATTTTTAAGTGGCATACCTGAAAATTGTTTGTATTTTTATTCTATAAGATAAGATAATTTTTTGTCAGATTTCTTCAATTTCTTTTATGCATTTTGCTCGACATTTGTGATGACTGCAAGGGCATGTAGGCCCCATATATGCTGGGTATCACAATTAGAAAACAAAGTGAAGGCACCGTTTGCGCGCTCATAATTAAGGACACGGGCCAACGCAGCGCACTAATGGAAGGCGCAAAATAAAAAAAAAAAAATGAAAAGTGAACGTAAACGTAAACGTTAAAATGAAAATGAAAAATGGCGTTCTCTCACATGTTGCGAATGCGACATGCGATATTTTTGTGTTTTTCGGGGCCGAGCCGAGCTGTTGACACTTTTTGGGGCCGCGGCAGACATAATTACACAGAGGTAGGCCGCGCTGACCCTGAAAGCAGGAAGTTCACTTTGTGTCATGTGAGCCATCCAGGCCATCCAGCCATCCAGTTGCTGACAGCCACGAGAAGCAGTTGAGAGTGCCGCGTGTCCTGTCCAACGTCATCCACTGTGAGTCCTCCTGCTAGCTGGACTCGCACAGGAAAATGGAAACCTCACACAAACACACGAACACACACACAAACACTAACATTCATTGACACTTATCGCGTGGGTGGCGCGTTTAATTCACATTTTATTTTCAGTGCCCGTGGCTGCGCGCGTAATTGTTGCTTCAAAGTCCTGCGAAAGGACTCGGATGTAGTCAGTTCGCGTTGGCGCTGCACGGCGGACGTGTGCGCGCTGAATAATCGCGTTTACTCTACTTGGGTGTGTGTGTGTATGTGAGTGTCCTTTTGCCCAGAGCCATGGAAAAGCAGGATCCAAATGAAGGAAGGGAGAGGAAGCCACCACCTGGTGCTCCGGGGCTTAGAAACTCGGACTCCGTGCGGAGTCCTCCGCCGGCCGCAGCTCCTCGGCGACCCAAGCCGGGCATCCTGCGACTGGACATCGGCAAACCGCGACGCTCATCAGGTGGTTCCGTCGATTTCCGCTGCGTGGGCAGCAGCAGCACCAGCAACAACAATTACAGCAACAGCAACAGCAATGTGGCAACTGGCGCCAACAGTGAGGTAAGTGAGCATGATTTACGGCCCGCCCGGGAGTGCTTACGATTTGGCCTGGCCAACGACGACGTGGTCAGAGTGAGGCATCCATTGGAGGAGTGGGGAGGAGCAGAGGACATAACCCAGCTGCAGCAAGTGCTTCCAATGCCATTGCCACCGCCAATAGCCATAAACACCAATGGCACTTAACTGCCGTTCGCTTTTCGCACGGTCAAGCAATGCAACCAGACCGAGTCGCCCATTAAAATCATTTTTCACGCGTGTCAGTGGGAAAGGTCGAAGATTTTTTTCAGTTTAGGTGGACTAAGGATACGCTTCTAGTTATAAAGTTAAAGGTTGAACATGTAGAAAACATCTAGTAAAAAGATGTTCACATTTTCTATGTTTAAATTGGACAAAACATATAAAGCAGCATTGCAACCGTATTCAAAAAAGAACAAACTTCAGTTAAAAATTTTATTAAACACTGCCACTGCCACTACAAAATAAATCTTATTTTAATTAGCAGTTTTTTTTTTGCTATACCTACATATGACATAAGAACAATTAAATTCTCATAGCTATTCTAAATATTTTTCAACTTATTTACTTCAAGGAGAGATCTTAATTTAAAGACCAAAGTTTTGAGATAATAAAACAGCTTGTTTAATAATTTCAATATTAACCAAGCGTTGATTATTATCTGTTGTTATTAGTTCATCTACCTAATTAAGTTAACTCACCTCGAGGGAGGTTTCCTTTGTTAAACTTCAACCTAGTTAAAACAATTTCGCAAACTTACTCGAAATAAGCGAGCAAAATCTCAGATCGCTGGTCGTTAGTACTTTATGGGACCTAATAAACCAGTTAAATCACTTGAATAACTAAACTATAGCAGGTAACAACCCCAGTGTGCAAATCACACGGCAAACTTTGCTGCAGGGCACAAGTGTATCCCAGTGTTCATTAGGCCCGACATGCGACGAAGGCCCAAAACCGAGTGGATGCGGTGGACACACCCAGGACACTCACTCCCTTTACTTTACTCCACTTCAGCCACTCAACCCAAGCAGTTTGTAAAGGGAATGGGAATGGGAATAGGAAGTCAGTGGGTGGCTAACATTTATTTAGTCATAAAGCTGATGCGTAATCTCAACAAGCCAGGTCAGAAGTGTGTCAGTTGGCACGTTCGAGTTTGTTTGGTTGATTCAACAGCACACACACACACGTACTATATTCCAAATCCCGAAATCATCTCCATAAAGCGAAAGGATGTCCTGCTTGCAGGCGGAGCCCCAGCAGAGGCACTTCGTCACGCGGAGCAGCTATGAGGGCGCCTGGGACAAGGTGGTCAACGTGATGGACGGCTTCGGCAGCTACCGCTATCCGGATGGCAGTGAGTACCGCGGTCGCTTCCAGCAGGGTCAGTTCCATGGCTTTGGCCATCTCCGGCTGGCTCAGCCGTACCGCTTCACGGTGAAGGGGGAGTTCGAGTTCGGCCGTCTGGTCACCGTGGAGGACATGTGGTTCTCCGACGGTCTCCATGTGGAGGGTAGCTTCAAAGGCGCCAAGCTGGAGTGCAGTAACTGGGACTACCTGACCCCCAGTGATCGACGGTATCACGCCGAACGGCGTTATGGCCAACAGCCGGTGGGACCCACTGCCTTTGTCACCGGGAAAATGCTCGCGCGGGACATTCCCAAGCACTGTTACGATGTCGAGGAGGGACTGTTCAACAGCAAGACCTGCTGGATGACCGACCGACCGGGTCCCTTTCGCAGCACCATGTACCTGGGTTGCAAAAGGGACAAGGATTGGATCAAGAAACACTGCCGGAAGGCCAGGAGTTCGTTCATCAAGGAACCGCCGGCGGGCTTTTGTCGCCGCATTATTGCCAACAATTTGTCCACCGAAAAGTCTCAGGTGCGCAGGACCTCCATTTATGCTCCCAATGGAGCTATTGATCGGGAGCGGTACTTCCACAAGCTCACCAAAAAGAGGAACAGCCAAAAGGAGCCACTGCCGAGTGCTCCACGGCGCACAATAGCTCCAGATGATCCCGCCTGGGAGACCGAGATGTGTGTGCGTGCCTACGCCAGGATGCTGGACAAACGCCAGCAGGATCAGCAGGAGTATCGAAAGAAGCATCCTTGCGTCAAGTTGGAGCAGGTGGAGAGACCCCGCGAGTGGACGAGCACCTCGGATGTCCGCAATGTGGAGTCGGGAGGCGCCTCCAGTTGTCTGTCGGAGAGTTTCGGCGAGGATCCGTTGCCCCTGAGTCTGGCAGAGACCTACCGATCAGCCGTTACCATGATGCAGAAGCGACCTGCCGATGCTGTCAATGTGGTGCAGTCCAATCTCATACGGCACAACAGCTACTTGGACATGACGCGTTCTATCTTCGAGTTGTAATTGTTGTATTCTGTTTTCCAGTTTTAAATTTTAGTAAACGCCGCTCTTTAGGAATTCAGTCCAATGGCTGATATAAAAAATAAAAATATAAATTCATTAACTTTGTATGATGTGGAATAAATTTCAAGAAATGTTAACTGGTTTTCCAAGTTTGAAATTTACTACTGTACAGTCAAATACAATACTTGAACTAGTGCTGCAGATTCGTAGTAGTAGTTTTCCTTCATAATTTAAAAAAAGAAAGTTCGCTTTAAGTTTAATGAACCGGATTTTTTATATTTGACAAGAGGAAAACAAGCTAAACAAAACCTACCCGAAATCCCCAATAAATTGTCATAACAAATTGAATATGCAGAAAAGGGTCATATTTATTTAATTAAGCTACAAGTTGACCCAAGTTTAGTAGGAAATGCCAGTCCTTTGGCGAATCCAGTCCAGAGCACTGGTGATCCTGGCAAAGCCAGCAGGCAATCCCAAAGTGCAGCCATTGGAGGCCACGAAGGCGGAAATACCCACCACAACAGATCCCTGCTTGGTGACCAGAGGACTTCCGGCATCTCCAAAGCAAGTGGACCTTCCATTCGGAGTTCGAGTGCAGAGGATCTGGTCAGAAACGGTGGTGGAGCCAAAGACGGAGACGCACTCCGAGTTGGACATTATCTGCAGATCGACGCACTGCAGCCAGTCGGTTAATCCATTGTTGAAGGTGGTAACTCCCCATCCGCAAACGCTGGCCCACCAGTTCTCGTATTTCTGGGATCTGTCCCTTAGAGAAGGCAAGGATACCTTATTCACCCGATTGGAGAAGCCAATCCGGGGAATGTGAACCAGGGCCAAGTGCTGGCTTCCCGTCACATAGTTGCCAGTGCCCACCGAAACCGAGAACTGCGCCTCACTCAACCTGGTGGCTCCGAAGTAGATGGTCACCCCGGAACTGCCCACCAAGCACTGGGCGGAGGTGAGGATCCAGGCGTCGCCAATTATTGTGCCACTGCACCAGATGTTGCTCTGGCCAAAGGCCATGCCCACCACATAGGGAGCCTGTCCCTCGTAGGCGGGACTTCCATTGGTAATAATATGATCAGGAACCTCAGGATCCTCCTTTGCAGTGGCAACAGCCAAAAACAGAAAAACTACCAACAGCTTCATGGTTCCAAAATAAATTGTTACTTTTCTGGTTCAGTGTAGGGTTTATATAGTAATTCCCTCGAATGGGTAATTAGTATTTGCACATTAGCAATATTTGTGGAGTTGTAGAGTATTTAAATTTCAGCTGGAAACGAAATTTATTCAAAATTTTGGTAATTACTTTGAACATTAGCAAAAAAAAACATTCAGAAGAAAGAACTGTGGAGAAATTTCTAATAGTTATTTGTGAGTAGTTTGTGTACTTTTTTTAATTTTAAAATAAAATTATAAATTTAAATTTATTTTTGGTAAATAACCATTTATAAATCCTTTCCTTTTTGAGTGTGGCAAATGAAATGGCAAAGATACCTCTTGCTGAACTGTAGGAACCAGCATCTCGCTGAATTCTCAATCAAGTTTCTTAAGCCTTAAAGTTCAAACATAATTTATCTGATTTCCATTTCGATACACAAAATACCAAAGTAGTTAAAGTGAAAATGACCCAGAGGACAACGGTGTCCCTAACTTCGCAGGTCGAGGTCCTGATGACTGGATCCAGGTATTTGGGGGAACGAAACGAATTGGGCATGCAGGAGTATGGAGTCTACACCTATCCGGATGGAACTCGTTACACGGGGGAGTTCCTCAACGGTCGCTTCCACGGCAGGGGAACCATTCAAATTCCAGATCCGGCGGGTATCATCTACCAAGTGACCCACCGCCATGGAAAACTTAAGTCAATCGAGCAGATGAACTTCAGCGATCAACTGCCTGTGGATTTCGAGATGACGGGTCGTGGCTCTTTGAATTTCGAATCCTGGCCGTATTGCACCGCCGAGGATCGTCGTTTCTTCCAGGAGACCAAGGCACCCCTTGATCCAGTCGGTCCGAACAAGTTCAAGACCAAGGATGGACCCGCTTCCGTGACTTTGGAACGAAATGCCTTCGACTTGGGCTTTGGCATAATCGGAAATCGTGGCTTTATGTTGGACACAAAGACCAACTGCAAGAAGAGTTCCTATTTGGGTTGCCGCGAGGCACGTCGTTGGATTCGGGAGAACTGCGTCCATGGTCCTTTGTGGAATCGTCATCACAAGCAGGAGGTGATGGCCCGATTTGCCCGGGAGATTATCAAAAATAATCAGGAGAGCGCTGCTGTCTGCAGCCGAGAGAATTTTACCCCTGAGATTCGTGTTTGCCGTCGAAGCTGCAGCCTGGACAGCTTCGGATCGACTAGACTCCACTTGGCCAGCACCTCGGACACCTGCTCCTCGGAGGTTCAGGACATGAAGATGCGTCTTCAGGATTTCCGGAAAAAGTGGAGGCGATCGAAAAGCGAGAGCAGCGTTTGCCGCATCAATTGATCAAAATTTGTTAACCTTACATTCAGGTTGCTTTCGGTTCTACTTTGTTTATGGCTTCAAATTAATATATTGTGTGTAGTTGACCCACATTCTGCCACCGCCTTTGGGCCAAGATTTATGGGTAAATTCGCGAAAACTGCAGCCGAACATGGAAAGCCACTTAGGCCTTTTACCGCAAAAGGCGCGGGCGATTTTTCGTTTTTGGGTCATCAAGTCCACCACTGCGGCATTGAACTTTCAGCTCAAGTTTACCTGGACTTGGCTGAAAAACAGAACAAAAAATGAAAAACCAGTTAAGATTTAGGCCTAGGCCACTGGCACAGCGGGTAATGAACCCATAATCGCCGGGCATTATGCTACACGTGCGCCATGGGCGTAGAGATAAATTCGATGTTAATTAAAGCCAGCCGAGGACTTCATTTAATTAAAAGGGAAATCAGAGAAAAGCGAAAGCGAAGCAGAAAGAGCGCCAAAACATATTTCAATAGTGGGCGCTCCCCTCAAAATACACAAACACACACACACAAACACTTACATAAAGGAGACAAAAATGGGGAAAACCCTAGAATTTTGCGATTTTCCTTTATCAACCCTTGCATGTTTGATTTTCATTTACATGGCCTGGCCAAGAATACAAGGTGACTCAATATCAGGCTGGCACACACACACAAACACACACTGATACTCACACACACATACACAATTACATTCCGTAGGAGTTGGAACGCCCACATTCACACTATGCCATCTAAATGGACATTCGAAGTCCTGGCTGGTTACGCCCGGATACGGCGTTGTTATCACATGCCGCTGGCGATTTTTACACTCATTCGTCTTCGTTTCAACTGGGCGAGGAAGTCAGCTAGCCAGGCTATAGGGTCCTTCCTTCATCCTTCCCCTCTTTAACCTATCCTTGCATGTCCATGTAAATTCCTTGGCGCCACTTTGCTTCTCTGTGTGGGTTTTGGGCACGTTTTGGCTTTGATAAGTTGCTGGATGGGCGCGGGTCGTCCGTTCCTCCTGTCCCCTCGGTTCTTCATTCATATTCATTCATTATTAGAAAAATTTAACTTTCTCTCTCCGGTTCGTCGTTCCACCTGTCTGTGTGTGTGTGTGTGTGGGAGGGTCCTTAGTATGTGTTGGTTGCTATCCTTATGGATGATGGCCTTTTGCGCCTTGCTGGCCCGCTCAACCAGCTAAGCCGTTCAGTCCGCGCACAAGGCTGCTCCAAGGCGCTACGGCGGCTAACTGGCTAAATCGGACAAATCTGGAGCTTAAATAAGTGATTGAGGGGATTTTCCTTGAGAGCTCACAAGCAGATATAACATAAATTAATAAATACAAAATAAGTACAGGTGCCATTAAGTGAGAAAGTTAAGCTGCACGCAAAAGAGTAATACCGTGTGTGATTTGAGTAATTAGCTGTCCCGGAACAGCACTTGGAAATAAGTTGAGCACTAAGATTGGACTGTTAATTTGTAGAACAACTCGGGAGTCACCTCGCCACATCAGCTTTCTGTGACCTGGGCACCGCCATGCGAATTGAGTAGAGGCGACTGGCAAATGCAGAGCAGCGCCGATGCCAAGAGGGAATTCTACAAAGGACAACGGGGCAGAAGGTGAGTGTGCAGCTGCATAAAGGATATTCCACCGCCATGAAACTCATTCTCTGGCCCCCTGCGTTTTCATTAATTTGCATTAAAGAGCTGCATCGCAGGAGGACCACAGGTCTTACGAACTGAACGGTATGTAACAACACTCTAAGAAAAACCCTTTAAGCTTTGCATATAAATTAAGAAAATATATCCTAAAGAGCCTAATAAACATACAAAAAAGAGATATTATTATTATATTATTTATTTTATTTAAAAACAATGTATTCGATTTATAACTAGACCAGTTTAATTGAATTATTATTATTATTATTTGTCATAAATTTTACACATTTAATTACAATAATGAAGTTGCAATCATAAAGTTGCCATAATAAAGTAGCTAAAATAAACTAAAATTTATAATCTAAATGCTGAAGTTAAGAATTTAAAGTGAGGATTTACTTTCAATGTTGCCTTTTAATTTTGCAGAAATTAAAAGATAGCTTTCTATTTTGTAAGCCTTGGTTTATCTGCGTGTGTGAAATGAATGCTGATATCCTTACCCGCTCCCCCGCAGACTTTCCAGTGCAAAACCAGAGCAGCGACGCGGAGAGCAGCCACCAGGAGGCGAACTTCGTGCAGGCTCCGCCGGGAATTGGAATCCACGATGGCGACGGCGGCGGCGAGGTCGACGATGAGGAGGACTACTCAATTTCCGTATCGGCGATAATGCAGAGACGTGCCAGTGTGCGCGGCTATCGGGGCAAACGTGGCAGCCGGAGTTCGCGACGGGCATCCAGTCCCATGGATCACGTCCTGGACAGCGTGGAGCGGCGGCGCTCCAGTGTCTATACGACAAGTTCAGGCAAGTCTGTCACTGATGCGAAGTTTATGGCATGAGTATCAAGAACTCTTGAATACGTGAAATCGAAAAGGTTCCTCTTTATGCAATACAGAGAAGTTCAAGGTTTAATATTGGTAGAAGTGTAAAATTAAATAATAATGTACATAAAGTAAGAGTTGAATTTAAAGAAAACTTTTCAAATAATATTTTCTTATTGTTTTTGTTATAATTTTGCAGAATGAAGTTTGTTGCCTCTAAATTTACAATTAAGTTTCTTGTATGAATAAGTGAAGAAGCATTCAATTTATGAAATGATTTCATAATATTACTTTCCCATAAACGTAGTGCTTTTGGTGGACCCACATAAGTGTCCGAAACAGATTTCGCTAAGTTAACGAGGCAGCGAGAGAGAGAGGGAAATAGAGAAGGAGATGGAAGTGGAGTCCTTTTTTGGGGTCCTCCAGTGGCAGCTAATCAACGTCTGGGGGCCTGTTTTGCCGTAATTTTTCAAGCTACGTGCCACATGGACGGACGGACGGACGGACGGTTACGATGACACGGCATACGGGGCGTATGTGTAATCTGTTTGCCTTTGCTCTCGACTTTGCTCCACAGAGGAGGGCACCAATCAGGAGTCCACGCAAGAGCAAATCTTTGAGAACATCCGCCTGCACAAGGAGGTCATACAGTCGGTGAAATTACAGCCATGGCCCATCCGCAAGAAGCTCAAGTTGGTGCGGCAGGTGGGTGCCAAAAATACTTTAAGAATCTTTAAACGAGAAAGAGGAGGAGTATCGAGGAGTTTGGCCCAAAACTGGGCGCGTTCGTTTTCACGCCGCTTGTCGGGTCGTTGAGAATGTTACGACCTCCTCGTCCTCCTCCTCCACTCATCAAATCCGCAGTCAAACTTTTCGATTTCATTCACACCACACCACGAACACACACTCTTTCTCTCCTTATCTGCCATCTTGTGCTACACCCTGGCATTTTTAATGATGTTTGGACTTGGCGGATCGGGCCGGAATGTGTTGACAGGCCAAAACATATGTGGCACGCCACGAGGGCGCGCTTCAGGAGCGCTTCGCCATGTCACGAAGCACGCGCGACTTGTGGGCGAGGTTTAAAATTTTAATGGCCGCAGTAAGTGATTTTCCCAAACCCAAACCCCTTTTCCTCGTTTTTTTTCCCCCGCCTGCAGAATGCAGCGATCCGAAAGCAAAATGCCCCGAAGCCGGGCAAAAAGTATTTATGTTTACACAATTTATGGGCCACTTTCCGGCCGACGAGGGACATTCAATAAATCCGCACTCGCATAACTCACCGAGTTATGTGAGCTCGGCTGGCCGGCATTCTCGACTGGCAAAACCAATTAAAATACGAACTTGCAGGATGCAATTCCTCCACTTAAATCCTTTTCGCCCTCTGATTTTCCATCCTGTTTTTCCATCCAGCGATGGCGACACTGGAAGAGGGAAACGGCCAGCTTCCTTACGGTCCTGATTCCCTGGGAGCTGCGCATCAAGGAGATCGAATCGCATTTCGGCTCTGGAGTCGCCTCCTACTTTACATTCCTGCGCTGGCTCATGTGGGTCAACATCATGATTGCCATTCCGCTGGTCGCCTTTGTCATCGGTCCCGAGGTGAGTGTCCGCGAATAAAGCCCGGCCAATTGCCAATTCGTTATTGCACATTTGCCTTTCCGCCCGGATTTGCTGCAGTACTTTGCCACCAAGCACGGCGAAACGGATCCGCGGAAGAGAATGTCCGACCCGGAGGCTCGGGTGGCCGGCAATCTCTTCACTTTCTGGGAGTTCGAGGGATACCTCAAATATTCACCGATGTTTTACGGGTAAGCTAGCTCTTTTGCAGAACCTTTAAAGTTGAAAAAAATTATTTTCAAAGGTTGATTTTGAAATAGTAAAGAACCCTTCCTACTTTTTATAAAAATTCACAAATCTGCATAATTCAATATTTAGGACAATTTTCAAAGCTGTTTAATTTCATTTATCTTTACCAAAATACTCTCAGATTAGTTGTGAATAAATTAATACTAATTAATATATTAATCATGTGCTTATAGGAATAATCAGTATTCTCAAACATGTCTGCAGTTTGCAATAGAAAACAGATTTATTTATACTACATTTCTGTTAATAGGCAAAGAGATTTTCTGCATATAAATTGATTTAATTAAATACAAAGGAGAAGCAAAAATAATGATATTTTCTTAGGATACACATTAAAATTATTGATTTAATATATTAAATTTGGGTTGGAACTTCATTTCCTTTTCAACGGATATTAACCCTTAAGGTAAAATTAAGCATTTATGTTTTTGTGGAATTAAATATTTCTAGCTCTCTGCTTGGAGATGAGAACTCTATTAATTGCTGGCAATATCCTTATACCACATTTCCTCTTGTTGTCTTTCCCCAGCTACTATTCAAGCACATCCGGCATTAGCACGTCCGGATATAAGCTGCCCTTAGCCTATTTCCTCACAGCCGTTCTCGTCTATATCTACAGCTTTGTGGCCACGTTGAGAAAGTGAGTATGCGGGAGTATGAGAGAGTAAATAAAGGGTCCAGGGGTCAGGGGTCAGGGGTTTACGGTTCCCAGTGGTGTTGGGTAGGCACTTCATTAAATCCCCGGTCATCGAAGCCGCAAAAAGCAAACTAAATGTCAGAACGCTCGTTAATTAATTAAACAAAACTGAAGCGCTGATTAAATAATACAAATCTTGGCACAAGGCGTGTTTTGTTTTTGGGTGGCAGAGAAACTTTCTGCCCGAGAAGCATTGGTCATTATGATTTACGCACGCACACGACCAGACACGTTCAACCAAAAAACAAAAAAAATGAATCGAATAAAAGGAGGCGGGACAGGAAACGGAAATGGCAAAACGCCATTTTGACCGCTGGGCGGCTGGGTCGCTTTAATGGCTTTGTCGGCATTATGTTGATTTCGTAATTGAACAAAGTAGCAATGTCAACAGTGAACTGCGAACTGTGAACAGCTGGCATTGACCTTTCCGCTCGACACTTTTCAAAGGACACGTGCTCGGCGTGCGTGAATTATTCCCATTGCAAAGCTATCCGGGATTCAAAACAGGGATTGCCAGGATTGCGAACACAAATTATGGCTTACAAAAACAGTAGAAAGCAAAAAAGGAAGGCTAAAACATTTATCGATCTGTCCACAGAATGGCGGAGAACTCGCGCAACTCGAAACTTTCCTCGAAGGACGACGAGTGCGTCTTCTCGTGGAAGCTCTTTACGGGTTGGGACTTTATGATTGGTAAGTGGCTGGGCCAGGACTTTTTGCCATGGAGCTGGAGCTGGCATCCTCAGAACTTTTGCATCTCCCACAGGGCACGCGGAAACGGCCCACAATCGCATCGCATCCGTGGTAGTTGGCTTCAAGGAAGCCCTCCTCGAGGAGGCCGAAAAGAAGAAGGATAATCGCAAGTAAGTCGCGGCCAACTGGAGCTATTTACTTACCATAATCGATGCGCCGTGTCCTTTCAGCTGGCGGGTGATACTCCAGAGGATACTGGTCAATATCCTGGTGATGGGACTGCTGGGTTTGTCGGGCGCCACCGTCGTCCTGCTGGTCAATCAGTAAGTGGATTGGGGAAATGGGAAAACTGCGAGGAAAATATTGTGATTTACGGTCGACGATACGAATTTAACTGCTCACTTTAAAGTCTCGTTTAATGGTTTTCAATGGTGAACATTTATAGCTCAACTTAAGCTTTAAATAGTTCATCATAAAGCATGTGCTTGGTTAAAATTGAGCCTATAAAAATTATAATATGATTATTTTTTAGATAATACATATAATAATAAAAATGTAAGCATCAGACTTAGCGTTTAAATTTAATCGTTTGAATATTAACTTAACATTTTTAATTTAATTTTCGTGTAATAGTATAATCTCTAAATATTAAAATATAAACCATTTGTTTGTAATGTAAATATAAATACATAATAATATTATTTTTTTTAGAAACATTCCCAACGAATTTGAACATTGCTTAACCTCTTCTAATTTATCGATAAGATGAATTGAAATAGGCATTTTGTGTTCTTCCTCCTTTAATAATATATTCCTTTCTGTGTAATCGCCTTTATTTACAGCTCTGAGGACTTGGCCAAGCACGACAACTGGCTGAGTCGCAATGCGGTGAACGTGACCATGACCCTGTTATCCTTCTTCCTGCCGATGATATTCGAGGCCCTGGGTTTGTTCGAGAACTGGCATCCCAGGCAGCAGCTGCGACTGCAATTGGCCCGGTAAATTGCAAATTACCAACTCAAATAACGTGGTATATGTATGACAAACGCTTTTCCCTTTTCAGCATTATGATACTGAACATGCTGAATTTGTACTCGCTGATGTTCTCGTTCATCTACAAGATCAACAGCAAAGAGAAACCGCTGCAGATGTTGAAACTGGAAAACGAAACGAATACCATGGAGCTGAGGAATCTACTGAGTTCCATTGAGGCTCTGAAAGCCATGACCCCGACTACTTCGCTGTATAGTGACAGTACATCGGAGGGTTTATTCGATGAGTCCACTTCGAGTGCGAATTGGGGCGAGGATGGTGGCAACTCCACCGATGGCCTCTTTTCGACCACAGCTGCTGCCGCTTTGGTTTCGACGGCCCTTCAGCGACTCAAGTGCTACAACATAACTGTGAAATGCTCAAAACAACGCCACACCTTCATCAGTGCTAAGAACTTGGCCACCACCCTAATGATTCTCAACCTGACAACGCCAGCGATGGTGCCACCCACTTTGCCAACCACTCTGCCCACCACAACGCCCACGACATCGAGTTCGACTTTGAGCACTTGGACAACCACAGAGGCAACAACAACAACGGAGGCAACAACAACAACGCCGACAACAACATCACCTTGGACCACTTTACCGCCGGCGACAACAACCACTGAGACAACAACAACGACTGAGAGAGCCACTTCAACCACAGAAGCTCTAACAACCACTCCATTATTGACAACCACTGCCACGATTAACAATGCAATTCCAATATCCTTGGCCAATGCCTCATCACCAGGATCAACAACTAATAGTGCAATACCAAACTCAACCACTAATGTTGCAACCTCGAGCACTTCAGCAACCACTTTAAATGCAACTACCCAGCAAGCCACCAGCACCACGAAATTAACTACAACTTCAACAACCACCGAAAAACCCCAACCAGAGGATGGTTTTTTCTACACCACTGGCGATGATGAAGGTTCCTACGATTATGGCAGCGATGAACCAGGAGTTTCCTTCTCCGATTTAACATCAGATGCTCCGGAGGATGCCAACTACTCAGATATCACAGAATACTCTTCGGAACCCTCGGAGATTGAAGATTTCGATGAGCAGCAGAGCACTGATCAGGCAAACGATCCTCTAGCTAAAGTTTTGGAACAACTTGATGAAGAGAAGCCTGAAAAGCGTAGTAAAAGATCAGTTGATTATATAGACATTTTAGATGGAATTCCCAGCAAAGGAAAGTGGAAAGAGGATATAGTATTCGAGCCAATAAATGAGGAAGAATCAAGGAATCCTAACAAAAGAGCAGTGGGTGATCCATTTGTTTGGCGCAGCAAGTACAGTAGGCGACATCGCAATGAAACGGCTGTGACTTCTGGCCAGGAAACCACTGATGCCACGGCAAATTCCACGCCCAGTCGGTGGCCCATTTATTGGCCGCCCTACAGACAAACCACACCGAGCACCAGCACCACCAGGAGACCGCCAAGTGGGTTTCTTTCCAGGGAAGAGTGGGAGAAACTCAGAAGATTGAGAGCCAGGCAAACCACTAGTACGAGTACCACTACTTCTACTACAACCACTAGGAAACCCAGAAGAAGATACAGAACCTCAACCACCGAATATACAAGCACCACTGAAGAGGAATCATCTACGACAGAAAGTTCCACGGAATCCACAAGTCCCGAGAGCACTACAGGTGACTACGACAGCAGTAGCAGCACCACCGAAAGCGATGAGTACTCCACCACACCACACTACATTGGATACGTGGACATTTCGGAAATAGGAAGCACCATCTACTACGATGAGGATAGCGAGTTCCTGGAGCTCTGTGTGTTTACTATTTGCCCGAAGGGAGATGAAATATTTGGCAGCACCACCGAGAGTCCAGATAGCACCACCCAGAGCAGCGATGCCAAGCAGCTAACCACCGTGAAACTCACTCCGCTGGAGCGAAAGCAAAAGCGATTAAAGGAAGTGCAGCTGGCGATTAAGCAAATACAAACCAATTTGACTACGATGTGCTGGGAAACTTCGCTGGGCCAGGAGCTCTCCAAAGTTATCGTTTTCGATGGGGTGAGTGGGTGGAAAGTGGGTGAGGGTTTTCCAAGCAGTTTAAAGGGAAATTTATCACCATGAGCTGCTATCAATTTCCCAGAGCTTGGAGCTCGGAAGCCACTTCTCTGCAGCAGCTGTATCAAAATCTATTTAGCCCTAAATATGATTGAACTCAAAACGGGGAGTAGCTCTGCATGAACTTGTTGGGCGTGAAAGCCCGTTTAGCTAAATTATCCGGAAAATTTAACGCAAAATTTGTCTTCCGCTTTTTGTCTTCCCACTCAATATTTCGTTTTTTTTGCTTTTCTTTCCTTTTGCGGGGTCATGGGGACTTTGAAAATCAAATTTTTGCGCTCGTCTAGCAAACCAAAATCCACTTGACTTAAAAGGCCAAACGATTCGGGGAAAACTGGGGAAAAGAAAAGGCGAAATGGCAGCAAAGCAAAGCGAAAGGCATTTTATCATAATAATCGCTCTCGGGAGTCTTTTTCCCATTGATGTGAAACGCAGCTGGCTGCCGGGGAAACAGGGGAACAGGAACTTCGATTTTGAGTCGAGTCGGAGAAATTTACATAAGCCATAAGCATGATTGTGAACTTTGGCCCTCGGAATGGCAAGTTTTATTCGGCCATTTGCCACGTCGAGTGTCGATTGGCATCCCATTGGGCTGCGAACTTTCTCTACTCTAATCGTAAACAAATTCATGGCTTGGCCGAAAGTTTTCAAGGTCAGTCGGATAAGGCAAACGGTGTATATATCCAATAGGGTTACTATTGGCTGTGGACCTACCAAAGGCATCTCAATCTGGGGATTACTTGCCCTTTTATTTTGTACTTAACATTTGTCCGACATTCGTGTAAACTGTGTGTAGGCTAAAAATCCCCAGCAACGGAAAAAAAGACATGGGTCTAGGACCCAATTTTGATTATGCTGCCCTCTCCTTCCCCAGAAGACATGGCGTACATAATCTCTATTAAACGATTTAAGCACATAAATTAGGCAAGTTACGGGCCGGGCTTAAACGCATTTATGCTTTACGCATAACAAAATACCGGCAATGGGGAATCGAGTTTTGGTCATGTGCGGTTTTGGGTTCCAAACCGAATCTCCATCTCGTTCGGTTTTCGATTCAAACTTGGGGCACGTGTTCGTGCATGAATTTCGACCACAGATTCGTGGCGGTGAATTTAGCCATTAAATGGAAGTCAAGACGGGGCAACAGAGATGCAACGATTTGGTTTACGTGAGGGGCAACATTGAAATGAAAACAGTTCATTATAAAATACAATTTTCCAATCATTCGTTATTCCACTTCAAAATAGCTAATGTCCATTGTGGCTCCGTTGTGCATCGATTTTCTGCGGGCACTGTTTGTGCGATATGTCAATCAAAACTGGTGCTGGGACATGGAGAAGACCTTTCCGCAGGTGAGTCCGGGGACACCAACTTCCGATGTCGTTCGTCCTTTTGACTAATGCGAGGCTTTGTTTTCGTTGATGCCGCAACGCAGTACGGCGACTTCAAGATAGCCGAGAACATCCTGACGTTGATTAATAACCAGGGACAAGTGTGGATGGGCATATTCTTCTCGCCGGGCCTGGTGCTCATCAACCTGGTCAAATTGATGATCATGATGTACTTCCGCTCGTGGATTGTGCTCACCTGCAACGTGCCGCACGAGGTGGTCTTCAAGTGAGTGCCTTTCACCTGGCGAAGCTGGTAACTCGTTGCAAGCGTTTCCATTCTTTTTCAGGGCCTCCAAATCGAACAATTTCTATCTGTCGCTCCTGCTGACCATGCTGTTCCTCTGTGTCCTGCCGGTGGGCTACGCCATTGTCTGGCTGCGTCCTTCCTGGCACTGCGGACCCTTCTCCGAGTACAACAGGATAGCCGAATTCATCACGAACACAACGAGGAATGCGCTGCCAAAGTGAGTTTAAAAGTCATCATGAGAAACAATATTCCTTAGTTTAATTTACACAATTAACTAAGCTATTATCATGATTATCAAGCACCTTAATAAATTTAAGTATAGATATTTTAAAAAGTTAAACAAATGCATGATAATATAAAAGTTCTCTGCTTTATTTCTTTTCCTTCTCGTATCTCCATAATACCCTTTGCTAACTTTATTAAAACTTTGCAGACAACTCCACGAGCCACTGGATTACCTGACCTCGTCGAGCACGGTGATTCCCCTGCTGCTGCTGCTCATCCTGATAATCTACTACCTGGTGTCGCTGACAGGAGCTCTGCGCGAGGCCAACCAGGACTTGCGCACCCAGCTGCAGAAGGAGCGGGAGGAGGAGCGCAAGAAGATCTTCAAGGTGCCGGAGGTCAAGCAGGCGGAACCGACGGCCACCACCTTAACAAATCGCTGGCGCAAAGTCCTGGAAGCCAGCTCCCCGGTTACACCCACCCAACCGCCGGATTTCGACACGGAGGAGTATAAAAATCAGGCACGCAAAGGTAAGCCAACTGGATAAGGAGCGATTTTGAGTTCACAAGTCATTTGCTTTGCTTTCGATCCAGAGCTAATCTCACGCATCATGAAGAAGGCGCTGCGGAAGGGATCCGCCACCTCGGACGAGGACTCCTTTGTGCGCCGGGATGACGATGACACGGACACCGAGCACCAGGACTCCCTGCCCCACGACGAGGAGGCCAAGGACAAGCGGTTCGGGCTGTCGCGATTGCAACAGATTCGGAGGACTCGCAAACCCTCACTGGTGGACATCGTGCAGATAGCCAAGCAGGAAAGGGCCCGAGCCGGATCCATTGTGGCGGGAACGAGTTCTGGTAATTTCCCGGTGAAGGAACCCCATCCGAAGAGCCGCTTCAAAGTGGAGAAACACGAGCGCCGGGACAGGGGCAGCATGAAGGAAAAAAAGGACTCCAGATACAGGGATAGGCAGTCGCAGTCGCAGCCACAGCCGCCGCCCTACGAATCGCCCAAGGACAATGAACATGATCCGGATACGAATTCAAGGATTGTCAGCGAGCGACGAGCCAGTTTGCTGCGGCGCCACAAGGAGGCGGAGGGGGAGGGTGTTGGAGAGGCGGAGGATGGGGCAACACCCACCACACCCGAACCACCGCAGACACCAAACGAAAAGAGAGCCGAGGAAGTGGAGCCCTCGCCCGAGGAATCCACACCCGAAACTCCCACGCTGGCCAAAAGCAAATTCCACATAGTTGACGAAAAAAAGCCGCCGCAGGATGTCGACGATAAACCCTTGCCAACAGCCAAGGAGGGTGGTAGTGGGGGAGGTGGTGGAAGCCTGGGAAAGTTCAAGTTTCGCAAGCATAAATTCAAGTCAAACAGCAATGTGACGAAACCTGAGCCCGAAGTTTTCAAGTTCGACGAGCGAAGTGTGGAAAAGGGCAGCGATGTGCCGGCAACTCCTGCCGCCGAGCTCTTAAATAGCGAATCACCTGGTGGCGAGGGGGAGGAGAGAAACCTGCCCTCACCCACTCCTAGCCAAGGTCAGGGTCAAGGTCACCACCAGCGGCAATTGTCGGTCTTATCCCGCCAGGGTCGCAAAAAGATCGGTAATCTTTTGGCTTTGGTTCGCGAGGCTGTCAATCTCAAGAAGGACGATGTGGAGCAGGTCTCGGATGAGTCGCCGGGTCCGACCACGCCCACCTACCTGGCCTACACCCCACCGCCGCCGCCATCAGTATTGTCCAGCGTGTCCAGTTCCACGGCCCTGGAAATGCCACCCACTCCGGAACCGGAATCGCCCACCCCAAGTGCACCACTGCATTTTGGCAGCAGCACTTCGTCGCGTCCACCCATCAAGCCACCCAAACCACCCAAGCCACCGGTGGTGCCTGCCTCCTCGACGGCACCCACGGCCACCATGGACGATCTGGAGGAGCTGGACATGCCGGGACCCATCACGTTCCCCCATCGCAGCGATTCCCATCGACGGCGCACGATGCGACAGGATTCGCAGAGTTCCATTTGGTCGGACAACATACCCACCATTACGATCAGCACCACCGGCAGCGATGAGTGCATTGTGGATGCCAATGCTCCACAAAATGGGCTGCCCGAATCGAGAAGCAACTCCCCGGGTCCCTCGGTCAACATTATAAAGATTGACATCGAGAAGGAGCAGGAAAAGTAAAGTGAAGTTATAAGTGCCTGCTGCAAAAAGTGCCTTGAACGCCAGATTGTCTTCTTAATTAAAGAAATTTGCATTCTTCCTACGAATTAGCTTGAATCTTGTTCTATAGCATTTTGAAAAATGTCTTTCTCTATACAAAATAATGATATTTCATTAATTAGTTTACTTCCATAAGAAACTATAATAAAACACTCTATATTGCACGATATCTAAATAAATTCTTTATTTGGCGAGCTTGATTGGGTTTAACTCATTACAAATTTATCTATAATATATGTTTAAACTATCTCAATTATGTTGATGAGAATTTATCTTTATTCTGAAGGTTAATACTGGCTCGTGGTTGCCTTAAATTTGAAAAGTTCGCCAAACAAAAGTGTTGGTTAACCTTTCCGCAAGCAGTGCAAGCAGTTAGGTTGTAGTTTCAAAAACATTCACTTTCATTTTTGGCGCCACTCATTTTTAATCCAACTAGCCTAATAAGTAAAGAATTTTAACTTTAACACATTTTGCTTGCATTTAATTTAAAAATATTAATATTTCTGTTTAAATATAAATATTTATATTTATTTATTTATTGTTGAATTTATTATAAATCTTAAGCTAATGAGCTAACAGAAAAAATGTTAAGTAAAGACAGATAGCATTCATTCTGAAGCATTTTAAAATACTTATTCTGGCTTAAAACTATTTCACCAATTTCTTATTGACACAACATATTTTCATTTTGTATTTAAGACCCTTATATACAAAAAATCCAAAGTCTGAAAAATTCCCACATTCCAGCATTTCAACGCTCTATTACTTATGGTTTCTTCAATGAAACTGAAAGTGCGGCAACGATTGTGGTACATTAACCTCCTTATCAGCCGGCCCGTTGATAACCTGCTAACTCCAAAAACTACAAACTAAGCGAAAAGTAGAGCAGAGAGCAGCTTCCGAGGCAGATCTTAGAGCATGAATTCCATACTCAAATCTTATGAGACGAATGCTGTTTAAATATTTGCCCGCCCAAAATGAGCAATTAATTGAATTCGTACGAAAAAGAGAGGCAATTAAAGCGCCGTACTTCAATGAGGAAGATCAGCCAGACTGCCGAACTTTGTTTTTATTCCAACTCCCGGGCACAATTACTTACTCCAACCAGATCCGTTTGCGCTCTCCGAGCTTCAGATACAATAAACGAGTACATACCCAGCAGATACAGATACTGAGCGCAGAGTTTCACTCAACGAGCGGAGATCGAGCGATCGGAATGCGAGCCCAATTCCTCGAGAGTCAGTTGAGCATTGGACGTCCTCGTTAGCGGTTGCCTGTGTCTTCTGAGCGGCGAAGTAAGTGCCAAGTGCCAAGTGCCAAGTGCTGCCATCGAATCTAGTTGTCTGCCCAGCGGAGTCTCAAGTTTTCTCGGGTCCCTCGTTTTGTTTTTTCTGTTTTTCGCCGTCTGTCGCAGCAGAAGGCAAAGAAAAGCCCCAACGGTTAGATAAAAAGTATCTCGCATGTGACGGAGTGTTTACCCGTGAGGTTCTTTACCTTCCAGTGGCCGATACAATTACAAGAAATAATAAAAAAGAAGACCAGAGGCAACACAATCCCAGCAGTTCGAAACGCCAGTCAGCAGAAATGCAACAGGGCAGAAAAGTGGTGTGCACACAAGTGTGGAAATTCGAAAGCCAAGTTCCCCGAGTCCTATGAATAATCGTAGGGAAATATTGCATAGCATACTATATATGATTTTTGGAAATCGCCGAAAAGTGCCATGTGTTGCGGGACCGTCGCAGCGGAAAATGTATCTACCATATAAATATAGCCGATAAATAAACGAAAATAACGCAGTTGCTGCGCCCTCTGTGCATCCGTGAGATACGTTAGCTACGAAACGGAGTTCGTAAAAGTATCTGAGTGATTTTTGAGTGCTTTCCACCGATTTCCCTCTACCTGCTGAGAGTCGGTGAATGTGTGCGTGAGCGACTGAACCAGTGGATAAAAACAAACCGAGCAATAAAGATACAAACCAAAAGGTGCAAACAAAAACGCAGTTTTACCTCAAGAAATAAATCTGAAAAAACATAAACTCGGCGCTGTAGTCTTTATATTATATATAGAGTGCGATATCAGCTAGTTCGTAGCCCCAAATTCTTATCTCTAAAGGAACTCGTGTGTTCATAGGCGCGTATCTCAAGCCGCGACTCAAGACCCAGTCTATATGGCATATGGGATTCTCGAATCTGAATGGAGCGGATGTTCGTTCCGACTATATAGTACATACTACTACTGTTGGTGTCTGTGTGTGTGTGTGTGTGTGTGTGGAGTGTATAGTGTGCCAGTATCATTTCTTTTGGCCTCGCCTGAACTCTGTGCAAAGGGTTCAGATTTGAGAGTCGGTCGGCCTGACAACAGATTTCGATCCGTAAAGAACTCAGCAGCAGCTGATAAGCCAAAAAAGAAATGAAAAGGAAATAAATGGGTGCCATTGATAAAAGCAAACTTATAATTAGAAATTATGTACAAACAATTCAAAAACGAATCTCGGTTGTGTGCCTAAAAAAAATATAATGAAACCCTGATCCGAACAGTGATCTTTAACAGATAATGCTTTTGGAATAGAACGAGCGCCGCTTCTGGGAATTCAACTTCGGAATGAGATACACCTAATATATGTACTGTGTGTTTCACTGAATGAAATTCCAGTGGAGTATGTAATTTGTAGCCCTTTCAGCTGGATATTGGAGATCATTCCGCATCTCGCCCACGCGAACTGGTATTTTCCTGTATTCAAAAAGAAACACTTTGTTTTCCATGATACTGCATTCTCTTTCAGGGGATGTGATATCATCTGGCAGCAAATATTTGCTAATTAGAGTCTCTACTTGAATGAATTCAGAAAAAAATACATCTAAGATCTGCAGAGCTTCAATTAATCTAGCCTTGCAGATAGTGCACTGTATTCTAAGACTAAGACCTAGAAATCCTCATTATTAAGAGACTGTCGCTGTAATTGCGGCGGTTGCAGCTCAAATTTTAAAATGAGAATGAGCTGGGGAGTAGATGAAATCATCGCATAGAATTACTTCAGGTTCCAGAATAGCAGAATAGCAAATACTCGTACACATGGTGGCCAGTACTCAATGTAGTGCCGCTGGAACTCGTGTTCAAGAGTTTATTTTTGTGTCTCTGCTCACATACACGCCCGCTCGTTGTTTGAAATTTTCATTTGCAGTTTTGCCTTTCGAGTTTTCGTTTTGTTTACCCGAAAAGCAAATGAACTCATTGCCGGTCCGGCCACTAAAGTTTATTTTTCGAGCGATTTGCTCGGCGAACTAATTAAAAATCGGCCCCGGAACATATGAGTCCTCCGCCCTCCGAACTCCGCTCCTCCGCACAATATGTGGCACACATGTGTTTGTGGATTTGCTGTCTAAACTGATTCATAATCTCGTGCATTTTCCCATAGCATATGAAGTCGCTCAGGCACCACCAATAGGAACGATTTCGTAATGAATTGAGGAGACACCACGAAGGACAACCTCGCAGGAAACCCACCCAGAAAACGATATAGTCTTAGAAATTGTCCACGCCAAAAAAGGACACCCACCTGTAGCCACCGAGCTATCCAAAAACACAAAAACAAAACCAAACCCACCATGAAGCGCAGCTGGTGGAGCCACAGTGGCTCCTCCACGGCGCGACTGCTGCTCCTCGGAGTCCTGATCGCCAGCTGTTCCACCGCCATCCTGGGCGCCCAGAGGACACCCATCAACTCCGCCGGAGGACACGAGCTGCGCGGAACCACCTTCATGCCCGCTCTGGAGTGCTACGATCCGTATGGCCGACCGCAGGTAATGGGAATTCCAAACCACTCGTATTGTTTACCCACTTTGTTTGTCCACAAACCAATTGAAGAGAATTGAGAATTAGCGGTTGGGCATTCGACTTTCGGGTTGGGTCAATTCGACTGAGAGATGCGAACTAATTGAGCAATAAAGCGACGGAATTAGAGGAAGTTCTGGGGAAAAATTAACTTGCGTTCTTTATGAGTGAAGCCAATGGGTTGTCAAAATAAAAATACTTGAATAATTAACTACTTGATGTTGACACGTTGTGGTTTAACAGTTCCTAAAATAATTGCCTCTAAAAAGAAAAAGAATTGCTAACGAAATTATTTTAAAGTTTTTTTACTTTTAATAACTTTTAATAAATATTAAACAGTTTCAGTCGGGTTAATATTAGTGCCTCGAAAAATAAATAAATATTTCTGACAACAGGAAAAATTCAACTTATACATTAAAAATATGTTCAAAATTGTAAAAAAGCGCTAAGAACAATTTCAATCAGTTATTGTTTACATATGGAGTTTGTTTAAATTATTCATATACATACAACATTTTTAAATTTTCGTATTGTTTTAAAGAAATGTCTGCCCGAGTTCATTAATGCTGCCTATCAACTAAAAATCGAGTCAACAAATACCTGTGGTGAGCTGAATGACAATCACTACTGCATACAAACGATGAATCAAAATCACAAAAACTGCGAGTTTTGCAGGTAAGCAAGATAACTTAAAAACTACCCTTGAAGTTGATAATCTAACAAATTCTTTTAAAGAAATGGTGATCACACTCCTTCCTTCCTGACGGATCTGCACGATCCTCAGAATCCCACTTGGTGGCAGTCGGAGACCATGTTCGAGGGCATTCAGCATCCGAACTACGTGAATCTTACTTTGCATCTAGGTAAGTAAATTTGAAAGCTAAAAGAAACTCTTCACAGAAAAAAATTGATTGGAAATTGTCCTTGTTTTTTTTTTGTATGATCAAATTAATATTTACAAAAACTAAGACTGACAGATAATATTATTACCAGTTTAAATGTTACCTTTTTTTATGGTACATATAACGTAAGAGTTTTGGTTTTGATCTTCCGTGTATACATATAATATAAAAGTAATATAATATTTTTGTGCACCACAGGAAAATCGTACGACATCACGTATGTGCGCATTCTGTTCCGGTCGCCGCGTCCCGAGTCCTTTACGATTTACAAGAGGACCTCGGAGAACGGACCGTGGATTCCGTACCAGTTCTACAGTGCCACCTGCAGGGACATCTACTCCCTGCCCGATTCGCGAGCCATTCGAAAGGGGGAGGGCGAGGCGCATGCACTGTGCACCAGCGAGTACAGTGACATCTCGCCGTTGAGGGACGGCGAGATCGCCTTCTCCACGCTAGAGGGCCGTCCCAGTGGCATCAACTTCGAGCGCAGTGCCGAGCTGCAGGAGTGGGTCACTGCTACCGACATCCGCATCACCCTGGACCGCCTGAACACCTTCGGTGATGAGCTCTTCGGCGATCCGCAGGTGCTGAAGTCGTACTTCTATGCAATCAGTGACATCGCCGTGGGAGCGCGTTGCAAGTGCAACGGACACGCCAGCAAGTGTGTGGCAAGCACGGGAATGCACGGCGAGCGGACGCTGGTCTGCGAGTGTCGCCACAACACCGACGGACCCGACTGCGACCGCTGTCTGCCGCTCTACAACGACCTCAAGTGGAAGAGGTCCACCTCAACGGAGGTCAACGAATGCAAAGGTTGGTGCTCCATAAAGTTACGCAAAATATATAATATACTATTAAGCAATTTATTACCAGTTATGGACATATTTTGAAAATACTTTTCCGTCTATTTAATGCTTAAGAAATTATGGTAATTCAAGATTTTTGGCAATTGTTTTTATTAGCCTATTATGTTATTAGAAGTCTGCCAAAAAGCAATGCATTGGGATTACACATTAATGGTTGCACATTTAAGAGGGCATAAAAGTATAAGTAATCTATCTATGCATTTAAAAATTGGGTAGATAGCCAAATATTTACTTTATGTATTTTCAAGACGGTTTACACATATAATTTTTAATGTAATTTTTTTTTGACTCTATAACTTATTTTGTAATTTTTAAATTTACTTAAAATTTTTGTAAACATCATGCAAACTTGTTTTAAACCCCTGATTTTTTTTGCCTGAAAAGATGAGATTCAATCAGGTTTTCAATCAGCTGGACACAGAGTCCAGTCTGGACCTCCTATAAAAGGACAGACCACTTTGCCGTTAGAGGCAGCGTTAGTTAAGAGTATTTTACCCATCAGTCATGATTGTGTCTTCCTACATTGCGGTTTTCTTATTGCAACTGGCTTTTGCCAACGGCTGGACAAATGATTACAGTCTGAAAACCAATCTAATAGGGCCAGGAGTGCCGAATTGGTATCTCATTAATTGTAAAGAATACCTTAATAAATACAATAGGGAATCCGATTAAATCTATTATATTTTCCTAGCCTGCAATTGCAATGGACTGGCGGACAAGTGCTTCTTCGATGCGCATTTATTCAACTTGACGGGTCACGGAGGTCACTGCATGGATTGTCGGGAGAACCGCGATGGTCCCAATTGCGAACGCTGCAAGGAGAACTTCTACATGCGAGACGATGGCTACTGCGTGAACTGCGCCTGCGATCCCGTGGGCTCCCGATCGCTGCAGTGCAACAGCCACGGCAAGTGCCAGTGCAAGCCGGGAGTTACGGGGGACAAGTGCGACCGCTGCGACAACAACTACTACCAGTTCGGACCCCACGGATGCCAGCAGTGTGGCTGCGACGGTCGGGGATCCCACGCCAACACCCCCGCCTGCGATGCCGAGACGGGAATATGCTTCTGCAAGGAGAATGTCGAGGGTCGACGGTGCAATGAGTGAGTAAATCTACAGAAATATTTGCTATATCTTTCAGGCAAGTAGTTTAGTAGTAGTTTTAAACAAGGGGTTTATGGTTTTTCAAGAGCCAGTCATCATTGAGTGATATAACTGAAATCGCAAACTAGTTATATTTTATATTTTTATACGAGTATAGTCAATACAATAATGGATATTCTATCAAAAAAATCCACTTACAAAATCAAGTTTTATTATTTCTAATTTATTTTCACTGAACATAATAATTTTGTGATTTATATTTTAATTTGTCGCTTAAGGCCATTTCTTTTTAAAAAGCCTCCTTTTATAATAAATACTTATTAACATATTTTACGAGTCCATTATATTTAGTAAAATAGTCAAAATGGACTTTGTAAGTTTTTCTTATAAAAAATATCACTGAATCTTATTCTTCCCTTCTACCTCCCCATTTTAGATGCAAACCGGGCTTCTTCAACCTGGACAAGGACAACCGCTTCGGCTGCACGCCGTGCTTCTGCTACGGCCACACCTCCGAGTGCCAGACTGCCCCAGGATACTCGATCGTCTCGGTGACCTCGAACTTCAACAAGTTCAAGGAGCGCTGGACGGCGGCGGATCTGAACCAGCGCGAGGTGGACATCAAGTACAACCAGTACAGCAGGAGCATCGGAACCACGGCCCAGGGCAACGAGCACGTGTACTTCCAGGCACCCGATCGATTCCTCGGTGATCAGAGAGCCTCCTACAACAGGGATCTCAAGTTCAAGCTGCAGTTAGTTGGCCAGGTGGCCAACACCGGAGTGAGTGATGTGATCCTCGAGGGAGCGGGCAGTCGCATCTCGCTGCCCATTTTCGCCCAGGGCAACGGGATTCCCGATCAGGGAGTCAAGGAGTACACCTTCCGTCTCCACGAACACCACGACTACCAGTGGCAGCCCAGCCAGTCGCCTCGTGGCTTCCTCTCGATCCTCTCCAATCTGACGGCCATCAAGATCAGAGCTACGTACTCCGTTCAGGGAGAGGCCATTCTGGATGATGTGGAGCTGCAGACGGCGCATCGTGGAGCCGCCGGGCATCCGGCCACCTGGATTGAGCAGTGCACCTGCCCGGAGGGTTACCTCGGTCAGTTCTGCGAGTCCTGTGCCCCGGGATACCGGCATAGTCCCGCCCGAGGAGGTCCCTTCATGCCCTGCATTCCCTGCGATTGTCATGGTCATGCGGATATCTGCGATTCGGAAACGGGAAGGTGCATCTGCCAACACAATACCCAAGGAGATAACTGCGATCAGTGTGCCAAGGGATTCTACGGAAATGCTCTGGGCGGAACTCCCAGTGACTGCAAGAGGTGTCCTTGTCCCAATGATGGAGCTTGTCTGCAGATCAACGAGGATACAGTGATTTGTACGGAGTGTCCAAAGGGTTACTTCGGTTCTCGTTGCGAGCAATGTAGCGATGGCTTCTTTGGCGATCCCACTGGGCTTTTGGGTCCCGTGCAGACCTGCAAGAGTTGCGACTGCAATGGCAACGTGGATCCCAATGCGGTGGGCAACTGCAACAGGACAACCGGAGAGTGCTTGAAGTGCATCCACAATACGGCGGGAGAGCACTGCGATCAGTGTTTGCCGGGACACTTTGGCGATCCCCTGGCTCTGCCCCACGGAAGTTGCGAGCGGTGCAGCTGCTACGAAGCTGGAACGGAGCAGGACGAGCAGAGCATCACGCGGTGCGACCAGGTGACCGGCCAGTGCCAGTGCAAACCGAATGTGATTGGCAGGGATTGCGGGGAGTGCCAGCCGGGTTACTTCAACATCCGATCGGGCAATGGTTGCGAGAACTGCCTGTGCGATCCTGTTGGGAGCTACAACTCCACCTGCGAGCGGTACACCGGCCAGTGCCACTGCCGACCGGGAGTTGTGGGCCAGCGGTGCGACCAGTGCGCCAACTACTTCTACGGCTTCTCCAGCGATGGCTGCAAGCCCTGCGAGTGTGATGAGAGCGGATCGAAGGGATTCCAGTGCGACCAGAATGGCCAGTGTCCCTGCAACGACAACGTGGAAGGACGTCGCTGCGATCGCTGCAAGGAGAACAAGTACGATCGCCATCGCGGCTGCATCGATTGCCCGGATTGCTATAATCTCGTCCAGGATGCCGCCGACTTGCATCGCGAAAAGCTGTCCAATCTCAGCCAGACTCTGGACGAGATTGCCCGCACCCCGGTGACCAACGACGAAGAATTCGAGGCCAAGTTGAAGGCGGTTCAGGAGAAGGTGGCTGTTCTCGCACAGGATGCCCGCGATAATTCCGGTGAGGGAGGTCAGACCTATGCGGAGGTGATCGATGATCTGCACAAGCACTTGGACACCGTGAGGGAGCACCTGCAGAGTGCGGACAAGTACCAGGCGGATGCGAATGCCGAGATCGAGAAGGCGCGCCAGAACTACACCATCCTGGACCAGATCACCGAGAACGCCAAGAAGGAACTGCAGCAGGCCCTGGATCTCCTCAACGACGAGGGAGCTCAGGCTTTGGATCGCGCCAAGAAGAAGTCCGAGGAGTTCGGGCAGCAGTCGGAGCAAATCTCGGACATCTCGAGGGAGGCTCGAGCTCTGGCCGACAAGCTGGAGTCGGAGGCTCAGTTCGATCTGAAGAACGCCAAGGATGCCAAGGATGCGGTGGAGAAGGCCCATCAGCTGGCCAAGAGTGCTATCGATCTGCAGCAGAAGATCGCCACCGAGTTGCGTTCAGAGGTGGGCTTAGAGCTGAACCATGTGAAGCAGCTGCTGGGCAACGTGGTCCAGACCTCCAAGGAGGCTCTGCGGAAGGCCAATGAGGTGTACGATACCGCCTTGACCCTCTTGAACGAAGTGAATCGCCAGACTCAGCCGGACATCGATATCAACCAGCTGAAGAAGGACGCAGTGGAGGCCAACGAACGGGCAGATGGACTCCTCAAGGCAATCATCGAGTTGTCCAACAGCAATGGAGAGCTATTCGCTGATTTCGAAACCGAACATGAACTCACAGAAACGCTGCTTAAGAGGTGGGTTTACTACTGGTTTCTTTCTATAAAATATCAATAATATTTTTAAAATTTTCTTATTAAAAAACAGAGCTGACCAACAGCAGCAGGAGGACATCGAGTTGCTGAAGCGGGCCAAGGCTGCTCATGAAACGGCCACGAAGGCGGTGGAGCAGGGTGACAACACCCTCAAGGAGGCCAACAATACCTACAAGAAGCTTGCCGGGTTCCAGTCGGATGTTCAGCGTTCTTCGGAGAGTGCAGCCCAAGCATTGCAGACAGTGCCCAACATCGAGAAGGAGATCCACAATGCCGAGAGTCTGATCAGCCAGGCGGAGGAGGCACTGGATGGAGCCAATAAGAATGCCAACGAAGCCAAGCAGAATGCCCAGGAGGCTCAGTTGAAGTACGCCGAACAGGCTTCGAAGGTGAGAATCTAATTATGGGTTAAAGAAGAGTTAAGAAGCTATTCTTAAAAAGAAGAAGCTATTCTTCAAATTATCTAATATTTTTAGCACAAGTCACTATTAATTTCTTAAAACCAAACAAATTTCTCTGCAGGATGCCGAGCTGATTCGCCGCAAGGCCAATGAGACGAAGGTGGCTGCCCGGAATCTGCGAGATGAGGCCGATCAACTGAACCACCGGGTGAAGCTCACCGAGATGGACATCTTCAAGCTGGAGGAGAGCTCGACCAAAGACGACAACCTGGTGGACGATGCCAAGCGGAAGGTGGGCCAGGCCAAGGCCGATACCCAGGAGGCCCAGAAGCAGATCGAGAAGGCCAATGCCGAGCTGACGGCCATCAAGGATGAGCTGGAGAACCTGAAGGACATCAACACGGGCGATTTGGATAAATTGGGTGGGTTTAAATGGTTCTCTTTACTGAAACAATAACCTTACTAATTCGATTTTTAATTGTATTCCCAGAGAATCGTTTGGCCATTGTGGAGGGTGAGATCAATCGCGTCAATTTGACGGGTCGCATTGAAAAGTATCGGGAGCAGCGCACCATTCAGAAGAATCTGATCGACAAGTACGACGCCGAGTTGAAGGAGCTCTCCGAGGAGGTGGAGAACATCGGACTCATCTCGAGGGCTCTGCCGGACAGCTGCTTCAGTCGCAATCGGCTGGAGCCGTAGAGCTCCGCGATCCCCACTTCCAATAACAACTACTTCAATTAACACTAAGTACGAGAACGAGGATCAGAACGAGACGAACAAATCAGATTTACGATATAGAACGTAGCCGTTGAATGAAATTATGTAATTTTAGTGCCTTAGCCGAAATAATTCTGTTTAGTGAACCAAATCGAAAGAAAGGGTTCCACAAAAAGGAGATCAACTGAGCAACGTTAAGCTTTAACGCATCATCGTTCGCATACTGTATGCCATAATATATACTATAATGATACACGGGAATGCCCGAATCAAGAATTAACTGCCAACTGTGCTTCACCAGTTTCAAGCCAGCCACGGACTGTATTATATGTTAAAGAAACACTGAAAAAAACACACACTCTAAAACACAAGACCTTGTACTCCAATCCGATAATCCAATCGCATTTTACTATCTCTGCCGCAGCTCCACCTGAACTCTATTCTAAACACTTATATATTAACATATTTGTCATCTACGTTTAATGTGCCAATACAACTACCATGTATCTTTGTGTATAAGTCGCTTAAAGAGTTTCCCTTCAAAATATAACTTTTCCAACGTTGTAATTTTGTATAAGCCAAGCTCGTTTTATTTGTTGTTCATGTTTCGCAGTAGCAAAAAGAAATTTGCGCTTAGCCGAAATACCTGAAAGTGGGTTGGGTTATATTTAACCAAAATTTATTTATTAGTACTTCAGAATATTTTACCTGCACTAGGAATTTATGGGAGAGATTAGAAAATCCACCCACGCTCAAATTTAAAGTTCGTCGCGAGAAAAGCAGCATCAGTTTGATCATGAACTTGAATTCCTTGGACTCATTATACCAATCGCAGTTATACCAATCATAAAATAGTAGCTCACTCTGAAATCAGTAAATTTTCTTTAAGTAAAATACTTATTTTAAAGTGGATAAACTTACCTGGGTCTCCACTTTTTGTGCGCTCAAATTGTACAAACTGATCTCCAAAGCTATGGTCACAAAATAGACCATAATCATGCCCATCCATACCCAGCCAACTTCCTAAAACAAATAATTTTCAATTAAATAAGTAGGTTATTAAACACATTTAAACAAATTTATAAACTTACCAAAACTGTGCTGATTTTGTAGAGCAGCATACAGATCAATATACTGCTAACGGAGCACTGAACAAGTATGATATATTTGAAGAGATTCTCAATTTGGTAATGATGCCTAAAGGATACCAATTTAAAATGAGAAGCTTAAAATATGTATCCATTTACCTTGAGATTCGCGCAAAGAGTTTTACGCAACATTGAAGATATTTAACTCTTTGATCCTGGGGAACCAAAAAATCAGATGTTGAGTTTTGCACCAAGAACCTTAGAACTTTTATTAAACCAGACTCATATCTAGTGAGCACCACAAAAAGGCTGTTAAAGCCAAATACAGCTAAGCAAAAAAAAAGAAAATTAATTTTGGTAAAAAAAAAAAATATTATTGACTTACCAAAAAAGCACCAAATAGGACCAGATTGCAATAAAAAGAAACGAATCACATAGGAGGGAAATTCATATTTTCCCAACTGCACAAAAGGAACAATGGCTGGGTAAGCTGAAATCATAAAAATATATTAAACGGAACATTTAAAATATTACTTATTATTTACTTAAGGTCATTTCACAAGTGTCCTTAACAATGTAGCAATCATAGATATATTGAAAATAGGGCCGCATTGTATAGTACAAAACAGGCATACAGACAATCTTGAAAAAGAACATGACCTGTTTATCAATGATCATCCAATTATTAATCAATATTAAGCTTAAGCTCCTTAAAAGCTCTTTCTTTCTGGGCATTTCTGGAATCATACTATTATAAAATTATGATTTTAGCAACATTTTTACATTCTTACCCAAATCAAAGAGTCCCAAAGATTTAAGAACCTCGCCTGACTCCGTAGAAAACACCAACTGCGAACAGGACTCAACCTTGCTTTGAAAGTGAAACATTTTAACCACACCAACACTCAGTTGAAAGGTGAGCAAAACAGCCTAAAAAACGAATTTAAATGGATTTAAAGGTATAATATTAAATGATATTTACAAACCTCAACATAGGCCTCAAAGGAGATCATGTAGTTTTCCTTTATAAAAGCCACTAGGCTGTAAATGATACTCAAGTTCACAATCAAGACCGCAATGCGAGTTCTGGATAGAAATTGGAGAAATTTATATAATAATCTGGATAGTTTAGGCTATTACTTACAATCTACAATACTCCGAGCTGCGTTTTCGGGGTGCAATATTAACGCCCAGGCAATAGGCACTGTACTCCACCCACAAAAGCCCCAATTTGGGCAACTTGTCGATCCGCTCGAGTTCCTGATCCAAGAGGTCCTGCATTCCTTAAGGATATTGAATAGACTGTTTAACAGAAAACCGTATCCTTGGCTTTTATGCCATTCGCAAGTGCTTTCGGGTCTCAATTAGTGTACAAATTATACGGTTCCTTACAAATAATTTGCTATAAGTTGTAGTTATTGTGCAACTCGGTAAGGGACACAAATAATTATCGAAATTGGTTGGGCGTTTCCTAAAAGCATTAAAAATTAAGAGCTCAGGGTATAGGCTTTAAGAGCCACAAAAAACCTGATAATGAAAGTAAAGTCAGACTTTACTGAAAGGAGTGTGGAAAATAACAACAACAAAAGAAGCTACAAATGTCAGGAAAAATGCATAAAGGCTAAACAACATTGAAGATTTGTCTATTTATTTTTTCATATTTTCGACGATTGTTCCTGTGACAGCTACATGATATAGTCGCACGATTTTCATGAACTTTATTGAACTTTTTATTTATATAAAATCAATGAAACAAAATTACTTAAAGAGGCATGTTACTTAAAATTCTGATTAAACTTAGAAAAGTTATGGTCCTAGAAGTAGTGAATTTTGGTCTACCAAACCCATTTTTTTTAAAATTTAGAGTGGGGTGACATCATTCAAATTGAAAAAAAAAACGGCCAAGAAGTAACAAATTTATTATGATGCAATTTTTTTCAGAATTGATATACAAACTTTTAGAGGTATGCCACTTCAAAATCTGATTGAAATTAGAAAAGTTTGGACTTAGAAGTAGTCAATTTTGATAATGATAACTAATACATATATTCTTGTTTTGTAACCTTATTTTAGGTCATGGCTGCGGCGAAGATCAGACAGAAGGCCTGCTATGAACTGCTCTCTCGACTCACCCGGGAAACCCGCATGGCATCAGCCTCGGCAGCGAACCGAGACACAACGTTGGATTTTAAATTTAACATTAGTTAATTGACTAGATTAAGACTCACAAAACATGGATTGTCTCAAAATGTACACTATAAACCTAGGAAATAGTTATATTAAGGGGCACAACTAGTGTGACGGCCTAAAAAAATGGTGATTTTTGGGAATTTTTATAAAAAAAACTACTTGATCAATTCTTTTCAAATTTTCAGAATATATTTATAGATGTTTGAAGAATATACAGTAAAATTTTTAAAGAAAAAAATTAAATATTTTTTAAGCTAGAGCCGATCTCCAACGGCACTAAAAAAAAAAGTGCCCCAACTGCTGCAGTGATTCCGGCCTTCTCCGTAGATGAAATCAAAATATGAAAAATTCTCGTTAAACTAGATGATATTGTCCATACAATGACCTACGATAAAAAAAAATATCAAAAATTGACAAAATGGCGGCGTTTTGAAAAAAAAAATCAAATTTTACCCAAAATTTTGGTCGTTTTTGGCCTGCCAAAATTCGATTTTTGATCAGATCAAAAAACCGATAGGTCATTGTAGGGAGGACTATATATAGAACACGTAAAAAAAATTTGATAGTGATCGGATCATTAGTTTTTGAGTTATCACTGCAGCAAATTCGGAAAATGCAGTTTCGAGAAAAACGCGTTTAAAGATAAAATGCTCGTATTCACTGCTATACGAGCGGCTGCTCTTAAAATTGCTATAATTCAAAAACTATTTAAGATATCGATTTGAAATTTTAATATGTTATTTTAAAAGGTTTTATCTACCAAAATATGAAAGAAAAAAAAAAAGATTTTTTTGAAATGTCACACTAGTTGTGCCCCTTAAATTATGAATAAATAAACTAGAACCATCGAAATTGTAGCATACTTTTTGCGGATCATACAAAATGTGCAGTTGCTTTTAGTAAAAAAAAAATAATACACTCTGTCATTTGAAAAACTTAAGAGCACACCACAAATGCATTCTGTTCGCCTGGTACTTCATAGTGTATTATTTTTTTTTTACTAAAAGTTTTGGCTGGCCTATTTTGACCGCGTACAAAGTCACAAAAAGCCTAGAAACTTTTTCCATAATCTGATTGAAATTAAAACATTTTTTTTTTGCACTTAGAACAATCTGTAAAGTTGTTATTATTTATTATTATGTGAAAGCAAATGTGATATTACTACCCAATAACAGCTTTTCATTTATTAAGTGAACTTTTTAAACGTTTAGCCGTTATTTTATATTCCACTCGATAACAGCACATATCGAATGCAGTGTGAACGGACCGTAAGGCCCAGCCTATCTGCGGTGTTTTCGGATTCCTCTCGCACAGCCACACCATAACTTTAAGGTAAACAATTTTATTCGCTAGGCAAGTTAGAAATCGGGTGATTATTTGGACTAGCCTGCTCTAGTTGGCGGGCAGTGATAAGTCAACTTATTTAAAAGCCCGCCCGAAGGGGCAAAAATGGAAGAACGCAAGCTACTCCGTCCGGTGAAGCCCACCAATCCGCTGGTTTACCTGGACATTTCCATTGGCAAGGAGGATGGTATGTGAACTCTACACAAATTCTAGGCCATTGCCATGCCAACCAGTTGAATCTTCTATATTATCTCGCAGCGGGTCGCATGATAATTGAACTGCGCAAGGATGTTGTGCCGAAGACAGCGGAAAATTTCCGCGCCCTTTGCACGGGCGAATGCGGAAACGGGACGTTGGGGAAACCACTTCACTACAAGGGCACCAGGTTCTTTAAAATCAAGCGGGTCTTTGCCGTCCAAAGCGGGGATGTGGTCAACAACGATGGAACCAGCGGCGAGAGTATCTATGGCCCAGTATTTGACGACGAGAATTTTGAGCTTACAGTAGGTGGCATTTTATTGATTCAAACCTCCGTTTGATAAATACCATATGACTTTTTTTAATATTTTAAAATCTCTGGAACTTGCATTTTTTGTATGTACTATGTAAGTAATAAGTTTTCGTCCCCAGCACAACGAAGAGGGCGTGGTCAGCATGGCCAACTACGGCAAGCCCAACTCCACAAATTCACAGTTTTTCATTTCGGCCGTGGGCTGCGAGAATCTGAATGGAACTAATGTAGTTGTTGGACGTGTTATACGCGGTTTGGGCATCATAGCCGAAATGGAACAAAATAGCAACGACGAGGGCGATCCCACGGCGGAGATCGTGATACGAGACTGTGGAGAACTGGCTCCTGACAAGGATTGGGGACTGGAGTGCAATGACGGTACCGCGGACAAGCTGCCCCTCTACCCGAACGACTGGACGCGCAAGTTTGATAAGTTCACAGTGAGTCTAGATTAGAATCTCCTTCATAGCTGCGCCACTGACCCATTTTTAATATCTCAATTGCAGGCAGATGCGGCGGTGGAACTGCTCACGGGCATTCGCCAATCGGGCAATCACTTCTATCAGCTCGGCCGCTATCATGAAGCCCGAGCCAAATACCGCAAGGCCAATCGCTACTATCATTACCTGAGCAAACAGTTCGGCTGGCAGGCGCTAAACCATTTCAAAAAGCATCTCGTCGACACGGATCTCCTAAAAATCGACGGTTTTTCGGTTGTGAACAACATAAACGCTGCCGCCGTGGACCTGAAATTAGGAAACTATGTAAGTGCCAGAAACGATTGCTCGGAGGCCATTCGCTTGGATCCCAGCTGCAGCAAGGCTTTCTACCGGCGTGGTCAGGCTCAACGCGGCTTGCGCAACTACGAGGAGGCCATCAACGATCTGAAGAAAGCTCACAATCTCCTGCCGGAGAACAAACAGATCCTGAACGAACTGAACAGCACCAAGCAGCTTTTGGCCCAGTACAACAAACAGCAACGAAACGCGCTTAAAAATCTATTTGCCTAACTGGGCAACCAGTCACCATTTTCTTGTATCGTTTTTTATCGTTTTTAGTTTAACGAGGACCTGAATGGCGTACATTAATGTAAATACTTAATAATAAATGTTGTTGTTTTACCAACAGTCAGTGGTATACCACAAAAAAGGTAACACGGCACTTGTTTAAATGAAAAAGGAACTTATCAATTTGTGCTGTATTTGATAAATATATATTGATAGATCGCACCTAACACTCATTTGTTCACACAATAATAATGATCGCTTACGCACACCGCAGTGTCTAAGTATGCAGCCTACATACTAAAAGATTACATATAAAAGTGAGCTTACATCTGCGATAAACTTAGTCTATAGATTACTTTAAAGATTTGTCACAATGTCCTGTTCGCTGCGATGCAAATTGCCGGATGCGATGCCCGCCGAGTAGCTCTTCATGCTGATCTCCATGTTGGTCAAGGCGCTGGATACGTGATACAAATTCTCCGAGAGAATGGCGTAGATCTCGAACAGCTCCGAGTCGGATTTGGAAACTATGAAGGCTTCTGCTGGAAGAGTTCAAACGTATAGATTAGAAACCTAAAATTTTAAATAAATACAAATTTCTCGACTACAAACCTGTGCGATCCTTCATAATTCCATGCGCATATGCATTTAGTATCACGGACATCTCATCCCATTTCTGGCGACTGTCCAGGCTGCTATAGCTAAATATGGTCAGGCTTTGATCACCGGTAGCGTTGAGCGTTGAAATCCGCCGATACTGACGCACATGGGCAATGGCGCTGGGCCAACGCTGCAGATCGATGTGCTCGGCTAGGGCAGCTTCGAACTCCTCCTGGGTCATTGGCAATCCTGGTGAAGGAGTGGGCGTGTGCTCGCCCTCCGTTGAGGTGGAAGATTCCAAGCAATCCAATTCGGCTTCGCTGGTGTAGCGCACCAGGGCATCGCGAACCAGGGCATAGAGATCGGATATGTCATGCATCTACAAGAGGAAACGAGTGATGATTCTATCATAATTACAATCAATCATTACTTTTACTTACGTCTTCATTGATACGGAAATGGTTAACCACATTCGAGGATATCTTGTGATTCGATTCGATGAGCAGTAGCAGTTGGAACATTAGCTTGTATAGTGAGCGACCCAAGTCCAGTACCACCTCAGTGGAGGCGGGGTCAAAGGGCATGTAAGCAATGCTGGAGGAGCTAGGCAACTCCAGGCCAGAAGCCGCCACATCCGACTCGTTGAAGAGCGAGAGTTTACAACTGGATTTCACGGCGTCCAGGCACTAAAAACGAAAAAATCCAGTAAGAAAATTGTAACTTGCTTACTTGTGAGATGACTTACCTCCAAAACCTGATCCTTTCGATCGAAAAAGGTCTCCAAATGCTCTTGCACTTCCAGCACATTAAAACGCAGCGTTTCAAATAGCTTGGGAGCGGTGGTCTGCAGCTCGCTGCACCAAACCTGCGGAGGATCCGCCCGAGAGCTTAGTAAATCCGTAAAGAGGGAAATCCTGTTGCCCAGCTGTGAACCAATGCCGGTGAAGAACTTCTTAGCCTCCTTTGAAATGGTAATAGTTTTGAAGGTAAGCTCTTTGATCACCCTGTACAGTTGCTGCAACAATTCCGAGGTATGAGCCGATGGCTGATTGACCAACATGGCCTGCAGCTGGCGTCGCCAGTTCTCCTCCGCCTCGTCGCGAATGGCGGCAAATCGAATGATGCCCGGTAAATGAGGTGAGGCATTGCAGGGTGTTAGATCGCCCAAATCTCCAGCACTAGATCCACTGGTATCGCTACGCGACACCGAGTTGCGACGTCTGCGCTCCCGAAGGCTAAGCGAAGTCGGAGGCACTGCACTGTAGCCAGACTTAAGGAACGACTGGCGGTGATGATCCTCATCCAAGGGCGACTCGGACTCTGCCTCTTCATCCGAAGAATCGTCGGCAATCTGCCGCTTTCGCTTGCTTAAAATGGGGGTCTTGTCACTGAAGCTGTCCTCCAAAGCGGACGAGTGACCTCCCTTAATGGAGCCACCAATGCCACTGCCACAATTCAAACGCTCCTCGTCGCCCTCAAAGAGCGCCTGCCGTCGGACACCCCAGTTAAAGTTGTCCGTGGACTCGCCGGCAATACTGTCCTCGTACTCCAGGAAATCAAAGTCCTTGAAGACGGTGAAGTCGGGTTGACCATCGTCCCTTCGCGAGCCGCTGCTCAAATCGCCCTGAGGACCCGAAGTCTCCTCCGTAGAAGAAGCGGCCGAGGATTGGCGCTCCATCAGATCCGAGGATTGGCTGAAGATCACCTATTGATGCAGTAAAAAGATTAGTTAAGTTCACTAAAGGTAATGGCCAACATTCAGATGATTAATATAGAAGAGTAATAGAGATAAAGCTTACGCTTTGTCTGGTCGCAATCGATCCGGTTATTAGTGACGTGCTCAACGACTAAATGTGTTCAGATAAAGAGTATAAACGAAAAGTACAGTTTGTAACAAAACATGCAACATGCAAACGGAACAACGGAACAACGGAATAGGAAAGCAAATGGCGGTATTCTTGTGTGAAATGTGAAATGAAACACAGGCTAAAGAAAAACAATGAATCTTGATCATAAGTATCTTTTTATTAAATTGAACTTAATATGAAAATAAAATTATAGATCCTTTCATATCAAGTTCAAATTTTAATGCTACTACATGCTAGAACCTAAATCACACAAAAGCAAAACTAAACGCCGCACATAGAAACGTGTCCTTTACCTTTGAGCAAATTGAGTTTATGAAATCGTCCTAGATATGTTTCGATTTTGGTATCGGATTGATTGGTTAATGATGATAATGCGTGTTAGTTTTTTTTTGGTTTGGTAGATTGGATTTGGTGGTATTGGTATTTTGGTTTGGTTGGTTTGGTTTGGTTTGGTATTGTTTACATGAAAGAAAAAGAGTTAGAGGTAAATAATTGCGAGAATGCATGAGAAGAGGGAAGCTCTAGGGGAGCCTAAGGCATGCACCTGGCTATGTACAAGCGGTCGGCTGGGACTGTTCATCAATGCAACACTTACCGAGGGCGATTTGGGCAGACCGACACGCTGGCCGCAGGTGGTCAGCAGATTGACCAGGCACTCACGCACTCGACACTGCGAGACCCAGGGCTTTTTCCATCCACTAAGTGGCACTGTGTCCGCCGGCGAGAGACTTGCACTTCGCCTGGGGGAATTGGGTGTTCCCACCACACTGCTCCCTGCTCCAATGGCGTGTTGCTGCTGCTGATGCTGAGCGGCTGCTGCAGCTGCCATCGCTGCCACATTCGAGTGGGCACGCTGCTGCTGCTGCTGCAGTTGGGCATTCGTCTGCTGTTGCACAGCACTGGGTGCCAATGTCACCGTGGTGGCATTCGTCAAGGTAGAATTTAATGAGGAGCTGCCTGTGGTTGAAGCCGCTCCGGTGGCCGCCGGTTCCTCCGTCTTGAGCAGGATACGTCGACCGATCAGCGGGGTTTGCGAAACATCAAAGGTGAACTCCATGGTGCGACCGGCCAGTTCCTTTTTACAGAACATATCCGAGTCCGGATATGCGCCATAGAAAGAGAACGATAAGCCGGCGCTGCTGCCGTCGCTGGGCGGAACGACCTGCAGGGATGAGCTCCTGGTCACAATCAGCTTTAGGATCTTCAGAGAGTCCTTCCAGTTCACCGTCTACAAAAAGAAAGAAAACGAGGATTTAAAAAGAAAACAAAAACCATAACATATAAACCTAATCATCTAATATGTTTACTGATCGATAAAAACAAGTTTCAAATTATTTATGGTAATCTTTGTAAAGTTTACAACATTAATAAAACCAACCTTGGTCAACAAAAAACAAAATCGAAAATAAATGCGATAAATCAAACTAATTAATTACTTGACTCATATTTTCATTTCAAAAGTTTCTTTTATGGCTTACCAACAATTATCGTTTAACTCAGATTAGATTTTAGCACAGCTAATTTAATAAACAAATAACTAATGATAACAAACAAACAAATTAGCCTTATCGTTCATTTGACAGTTATATGGCATAATAAACGGAATTGGTTTAAAGTTTCACCAGATAAATAATCAATTTAAAGACTTGGTTGTCTAGACGGGTTTTTTCTACGATTTGGAAAGGGGAAGTCCCACTGTTAAAATGTTGTTGTTAACTTACATCGAGGTATTTTCCAATGGCTCTCAGTAAATCTGCATTGATGGTCTGAGCCTGCGGCGCTGATAAATCCACGTAGTGCAGCATGCAGTGGATGACATTCAACACAGGCACCTGCACTTGCTGCGGTCCCTTTTCCAGGACTTCAATAAGGAACGCCACCATATGGAGTCCCATATGAGCATAGGTATCATGGAGGTATTTAACCACACACTTGGTCCACTGGAAGGACTCCTTGCAGAAGGTCTTCCGGCTGTACAAAGTCATCACAGTGCCCAGATTCTCTAGCTTTGCACCAAGTTCCGTGGAAACCTGGGCAATGTTCTCAGCACTTCGAATGCAGATCTCATTGGCATCCTCGTAGTGCAGCAACATGTAGGGCAACAATGCGATGACGTTCATGGGAAAAGCGCAACTCTGGGTGGGATCACAAACGGGCAGGGTCAGCAGCGGAGCAAACTGCGAGAGGAGTGTAATGGTTGGCTCATAGGTGGCACTGTGGGTGCAGCCCTAAAGGAAACAAGAAACCTTATCAAATCTTTACGATTTCATTTTAAATGTATTGACTAACCTTTAGAAGCAAAGCATGCACACCCGGATAAGCCGTCCACTTGAGCTGCTGCTGCAATTTCTCCACCTTATCCCTTGCATCCGGACGATCGAGAGGCAGTCGGTGCAAAACCCTGGTCAGCAAACGCAGCGCCAACATAAATTCATGCTCGTAGTCCGATTCCAAGAGGGAAACAGAGAGCCAGAAGAGCTGCGCCAAAATGGTCATCTTGTCATCCTGCGTGGCCGTATCACCGAGCATCTTGAGGCTCTGGGCACTACGGGATCGGGAGAGAGCTGATCCAGCTCCCACGCCTCCACCACCAACGCCAAACTTGCAAACAACGCTTCTCTCGAGATCGATTCCCGATGATCGGTTTCTCAACTCCACCTGTTTGTCACACGGTGAGTTGTTGGCCTTCCGACCGCAATAGGAAACCGAGTAGCTGGTGCTCCTTCCATGACTTGGTATCGAGTAGTTCGACGATTGTGGAGTCATGCCCGATGGGGATTTCTTGCCAGGCAGGATGGAGTTGGGGCCACCATCCTTGTTGTTCAGATTGGGAGTGCTCTTGAATATATCCTTCATCACATCTAGAGGACGGAAATCCGAGTCCAAACTATCCACAGCAGCCTCCAAAGTGAGCAGCAGCTCCGTTACGTATCCCTGCATATCTTCTCCCTGCTCCGCCACCGTTTCCACCAATCTGGACAGGATATCGGACAGCATCCTTGAGTTGATGGGCACGTTCAAGGCGCGGAAGATCTGCAGACAGCGGCCGGCATAATGTCGCGATGAGCAGGATAAACCCAACTGGAGGGCAGTTTGTGCCCAGCGTTCGGCGATGCGAGCTTGTGGATAACTATCCGCGAAAACCTTGACCATGTGCTTCAGGAAGCAGCTCAGTTGCTCGGCAGATTTCACGGCCCAAACCTTGGCCGTAATATCCTCGTAGTTCCACAGTGGCTGACACGTATCCTGGGCCAAAAACTTTAGAAGGCTCTTGATCACATGGGCAATGGGCATACTAGGTCCAGGTTGTGGAGGAGCATGCTCATCGGGATGGATTAGCGGCACCTCCGAATTTTCCGAATTGTTTGGATTTATTTGCAGGGCAGCCGGAGTGGCAGTTAATCCGGGAGGAGTGGTATTCTGTCCATTCTGAGCACCCGTTTGCTGCTGATTCTGTGGAGTTTGCGTTAGATTCTGCTGATGTGCCGCTATGATCGTCGAACTGGAGAGGTTGTGCTGCAGGGCATAAGCTGCCGCCTGAGGGCTAACGTGCATCAGATAGCTATCAAACTGCTGATGCAACTCGGTGAAGTTATTATCGATCACGGGCAGCGCAGGAACCGTGAGTCCCAGATCTAGTTTGCTAGTCTCGCTGTTCAGGAGGATTCGGGCCACCGTCAGGTGATCGTTGTGCTCCGCCAGAACGATCAGCAGGTTGACACACAGCTGTTTGCAGTGCTCCCTCACAATGATGCGGGTGTGGTCCAGACCCAGGAACAGGATGTGCAGCATTAAGGGTAGGTGAAGGGTCCAGTCGATGCCCGGGATTCCATCCACCACGATATCTGTGAGCAGCATTACAGCAACATTGCATCTGCAAGAGAAATGGAAAACAAATTTGCAATTATTACAAAACAATAAGGTCTGTTAGTAAAATATATATAATAAATATACCAATATATTTCCAACAATTATTGTGTATCATTAATATTATATTACGCAGGTTCATAAGTTCATTTACTTTTTCTTTTCTTTGTCTCATTCTCTTGTTAAAGATAATGTGTGTTTGGAAATGTAAGAAACAAAGATATACTCTTTACTTAATTTATTACCCAGGAATCCCTTGCAAGAATGACTCAGTTAATGACTGTATACATTAAGTGAAGACAACATAGATAACCCTCCGGGGTTGTAAAACTAATTACCCCGCGGCTTAATTATCCTCTATATAACCCGGGATCCAACACGGTATCGACTCAATTTCCAACTAAACCATGAAGGCACTGTTGCTGATTTTCTTTGTGGCTACTGCCTCTGCCCACAGGAATCACAATCGATCGGCTTCCCATCACGATGGTCCCCAGAACGTAATTGTGAACGGGTATCCCGCATACGAAGGTAAGGCTCCCTATGCCGTGGGTCTGGCGATGAACAACGGAGCCGTGGGAGGAGGCACCATAATTGGCAACACCTGGGTCCTAACTGCCGCCCATTGCCTGACCACCGAGTCCGTGACCATTACTACGGTTCCAATCGAGCGTGGAACGGTCAAATCAAGCACACCGTGAACAAGGACAACTTCTTCCGGCATCCTGGATTCGGAAACAGCGCTGGTCACGACATCGGATTGATTCGCACTCCCTACGTGGGCTTCACCAACCTGATCAACAAGGTGGCCCTGCCCAAGTTCAGTCAGCAGGCTGAGCGATTCGAGAACTGGTGGTGCGTGGCCTGCGGCTGGGGAGGAATGGCCAATGGCAAGTTGGCCGATTGGCTGCAGTGCATGGACGTGCAGGTCATCAGCAACAGCGAGTGTTCCAGGTCGTATGGAAATGTGGCTGCCACGGACATGTGCACCCGTGCCACCGATGGAAAGTCCGTGTGCGGTGGCGACTCTGGCGGAGCATTGGTCACCCATGACAATCCCATCCAGGTGGGTGTCATCACTTTTGCCTCCGGCGGATGCAAGAGCGGACCATCTGGCTACACCCGTGTCTCCGATCATCTGGAATGGATCAAGGAAAAGTCGGGAATCGCCTACTACTAACTTGGAAATGCACCATGGCTTTATCGAAATGAAATATTTGTTTATCCGATGAATTTTACCGATTCTTTTGTTGTATAATGTACAACCCTGTATAAAAATATATACCCACTATGAGCTGCAAAACAATGTTATTATTTAAATTTTTTAATTCAAGAAACCTTTTCCTTTTAATGCTTTATCAATTGCACTTACTGATTAAGAATTTTAATTATAGAAATGATTATTTTAAACACTTGGTAACTTAGCTTTCTTCTATCACAGATACGAACTTTTAATTAAAAATTTTACCATAAGATTGCCTAATTTTTTATAATTGTTCTTGACGAAAGTAACCCTTGACAGGCTAACAAAGCTATAAATCATGAACCGAAAGTAAATGCGATACGGTGCACTCATCAAAGATTAGCATATCACTTATCAACCATATAAAAGGGGCTCCCCCATGAAGAAAAGGTATCACTTTCAAAGCTTTTCAACCATGAAACTGTTCCTGCTCACTCTCTTCGTGGCTTTGGCTCTGGCCACTGGTTCCCCGGCGCGTCTTAACCGCACCAGCCTGCTTCCCCAGGTGACTCTTTCCCAGGACGGTCGCATCGTCAACGGTTATCCCGCTGCCGAGGGCCAGGCTCCCTACATCGTGGGTCTCCTGCTTCGCTGGGATGGAAGCAACAGTGCTGCCGTTGGAGCTGGCACCATCATCGGCAACACCTGGGTCCTGACCGCCGCCCACTGTCTGACCACCGACTACGTGGAGATCAACTACGGATCCCTCAACGCCTGGAACGGCGCCTTGAAGGAGACCGTCCGCAGTGATCAGTTCATCAGTCATCCCGACTGGCCTGCCCAGAGCGGTCATGACATTGGTCTCATTCGTACTCCCTTCGTGACTTACACCAGCTTGATCAACAAGGTGGCTCTGCCCAGTTTGAGCGAGCAGAGCGATCGCTTCGTGGACACCTGGTGCACGGCTTGCGGATGGGGTGGCATGGATGATGGCAACCTGGCCTCCGTCCTGCAGTGCATGGAAGTCCAGGTCATCAGCAACAGCGAGTGCGAGCAGTCGTACGGATCGGTGGCCGCCACTGACATGTGCACCCGCCTAACCGACGGCAAGTCCGGCTGCGGTGGCGACTCCGGCGGTCCTCTGGTCACCCAGGACAACCCTCGTCTCGTGGGAGTGATCGCTTTCGGATCCGGCGATTGCCACAGCGGTCCCTCTGGATACACCCGCGTCTCCGACTACTTGGTTTGGATCCAATCCAACACCGGCATCTCCTACTAAACTCGTTAGGATTACTTCGGTTTTTGAACAATAAATATCTTTAGAAAATCACTTATTATTTTTTAATTTGAGTTTGGGCTAGAAGGGGTATGATGGTTTTTTAAGAATCTACAAAATAGATATTCGGCATGTATTTGTAAGCAGTCTTAAGAACATACTTCTCCATTGAAACTTTTAATTTTTCAGACGCTCTTAAGTACAATTTTGATTCACTTTAAAGCACTTGTTTAATTAAATAAATGAGTTTATAGATAAGATTACATTTTAAAGTGATTAATAAGAACGGCTGAGATAGTTGTAACCCAGAGAAAAAGTATTGACATTCGAATGAATGTATAACAAAAATTAGAAAACTTCAGACGATCCAAGAATCAATATAATAGAAAATATAACGCTTGTTTCCTTTTGTTGTCATACGGTTGCAGAGTGTTATAATTTTTAGTTTTGCAATGCAGTGAAGGAGATCTTAGACCCCATAAAGTCTAAGAAGCTGATTTTTTGACATTTTAAAATGGCGTAAACCCAGCACTTAAAAGCCCATAACATTTCTTAATGATGTCCGATTTTAGATTGGTATACCTCAAAAGACTTGTAACATAGTCCCCTAAGAAACTGCATTGTTTGGTTTCGATTTTTGTTTCCCAATATTTAATGACTGCCAGGGTATATCAGCTCGGGCTCGCCGAAGTTAGCTTCCTGTGTTGTTTTTACAATCACTTTGTATGGCGGAAGTAGTCCATATCTTTTGAGTAAGTTGACAGTGGCTCTATCACCGACTAATTTATTAATTTTATTAATAATTAATAAATTTATTTATTAATCAGATTGCTTGTCCCTTATCCACACGTTGTACTCAAGATATACACTAGATTTATGAGGCCCTATATACCCCAGTATATTTTGCATATCCGATTCGCAGATTCCCGTGCCTTGAAGTGGCCCCATCCTCCTTGAGAAGCTAATTCCAAAACAAATGATTGTTAACGGGGCTTTCGATTTGAAGTACAGGGCATAAATGATTTCTGCGAGTATGGGTGAGATACGGTTTCATTGCTGGTTCTGAATAATAAGCCTTATTAGAACTTTTAGCTACCGAATCGTATAAAAGCAGGGCAGCCAGAAGCAGAACACCAAGTTTCTTTCTTTCTTCGCAGTCATGAAACTGTTTCTGTTAACTCTTTCCGTGGCCTTGGCCCTGGTCTCCGGCTCCCCGACGGGACTCAACCGCACCCGGACCCTTCCCCAGGTGACTTTCTCCGAGGGACCCGAGGGTCGCATCGTGAATGGCTACCCAGCACCCGAGGGAAAGGCTCCCTACATCGTCGGTCTGTTCCTCCGCACGGATGGCAGCAACAGCGGCGCCGTTGGAGCTGGTACAATCATTAGCAACGAGTGGATCCTGACCGCCGCCCACTGCCTGACCACCGACTACGTGGAGATCAACTACGGATCCAACTGGGGATGGAACGGAGCCTACAGGCAGACCGTCCGCCGCGACAACTTCATCAGCCACCCCGACTGGCCTTCCCAGGGAGGACATGACATCGGTCTCATTCGCACTCCCTACGTCGAGTTCACCGGACTGATCAACAAGGTGGCTCTGCCCAGCATGAACGAGCAGAACGAGCGCTACCAGGACACCTGGTGCGTGGCCTGCGGATGGGGCGGCATGGACAATGGCAACCTGGCCGACTGGCTGCAGTGCGTCGACGTGCAGGTCATCAGCAACAGCGAGTGCAATCAGGTCTACGGAGGGGTGACCAGCACTGACATGTGCACCAGCAACGCCGACGGAAAGTCCGGCTGCGGTGGAGACTCCGGTGGTCCCCTGGTCACACACGACAACCCTCGTCTCATCGGCGTGATCGCCTTCGCCTCCGCCGGATGCCACAACGGACCCACTGGTTACACCCGTGTCTCCGACCACCTGGGATGGATCCGCGACCACAGCGGCATTTCCTACTAACCTTCCGAGGAATAGTTAACGACAATTTGGAGGAACCTTCTTCGTTTTCATTACTTTTCTAAATAAATTCATTTAAAAGCTGCAATACCTACACTGCTTCATTAAGCCTAATTGATTTGGGTAACAAAAGGGTAACAAACTATTTTATAACCATTTAAAAAGATAATCGAAATCCCTCCCAAAATTAGAGAACCTCATCTCAATTAGAAATTTCAATTTGAAATCCGAATTAAAGTTTAATTTAGTAAGGCCCAAAGATAATTCTCCTTTTTAAAACTCACCTGTGGAACCCGCTGATGGGCAAACTAACATCGGGTAAGAACTCGGTGAGTGGTGCAAAGTAGCCTCCATATTCCGGCATGGGAAGGGGATGTGGATGGGCATTCGGTGGAGCATCCGAGGCTCCACGCAGCTCAACATTCTCCTCCTGCCGCAACTCGGGATCGTTGATCAGTATATCCTCCGGTCGGGGCAGAATAGGAGGTCCAGATGCGGCGCGAATCTTGTCGGCTCCTCGAGGCGGACGACTGCCACCCAAACCAGGAGTAACTGCAGCGGCGGCAGCAGCAGCTGCTGCTTGGGTGTAGGCTCGGATGCCACTATCTGATTTGCAGGTTCTGGGGGAAATATATTCAACTTAGTTCTTGCCTTATTAAATAACAACTTTAGGTAGGGACTTACCCAATTTTTATTGGATCCTCGCCGCTGTGCCGCTTTGTGTGAATGGTGCCCTTTTCCACAGCCAAATCCTGAATTCTGGAGTCGTTAATGCCACCTACAGCTTGGCCTATCGAGAAAATATAATTTTGTTTTATTTAATTCAATCAATGCTCAAAGAAATTGTAGTGATTGTATTAAGCTGAAACACGTATTCATTTTAACTTTACTTAAAAATATAAACATTTATTGTTTTGATATAAGTCTGTACTCAGTTTGTACAAGAAACACTTAAGATGATTTACTTTTCCACTTACCATCGGCACTGTGACTGGAAGCCTTTCGCATGCTGGTCAATCGGTAGAAAGGCGGCGTTTCCGTCCGCTCAATCAGGCAGTTGAGCGTCTCCACAGTCTGCAGCTCAGCCATGAGCTCGTCCAGCAAGCGATCCGGACAGCTTCGCACCAGATAAAGAGCCACCCGTTTGGCCTAATTAAATGGAATTAAAGACACCATTATTTCTGCCACAGATAACAAGTGTAAGTCCAATACTTACATAGGGAAGCAGCTCGGTGGGCGCCATGCCACTCATGATGACCAAGTAGCGGAGGATAACCTTCAGGTTGTTTGGCCAAAACTGGCAGAGAGTGCCCCACAACTCCTCAATGTCACGCGGATGGGCGTCCGAGAACTGCAGTGGAAACAATCAAAGATTAAAGTCCATCCGCTGTGCAATATATATATACCAATATACCTTGGCTGTGATGTAGAAGAGGTTGTTCAGAATCATTTCCGTTGCCTCCGTCGAACCGGTTCCTTCGCGTCGTCCTCGCGTCCCTGAATCCGGAAAATACTGCGAAAGGTGGAAAAAGGGCGTGAAAAGGTTTTTCATCCGAGCAAAGCGAAATAAACACGGAATAAAAACGGTTGGTTATTTCATGCATCGCTTACCATGATGTAGGAAAGGGGCGTGGCAGGCGGCACACTGGTGGCCACCAGCTCCATGTTCTGCAGCCACGGAAGGAGGCACTGCAGCAGCAGGGCGCGCACATCCTCCCGAGCACTCTGGAAGCGGTGGGTGATTTCTGCAAAGGGAAAATATATAAATGCAATTTGTAGAATGTATGTTTAATGCACACAACTGCTTTTCAGAGCTTAGGGATTATAGAACAAACAGAGGTATAAATGCAACTTGCAAAGTCGAGGGAAAAAAGGATTTCACTCGATTTATCTATGCTTATATTTATTTCCCTCAAATGCATAGTTTTCCTTTAAAGTAAAAAATGTGTGTGTAAGGTTTAGGTTTTGAATGAAATAAAGCTTTCTAAAATTATTATCGAATTTAAAAATAAAATTAAAAAAAATATTTATTAGTGAAGGGCTATTTGGAATTCAAGAAAGGTTGCTTTAAAGATTTAAAGGAGTCTCAGGTACACATCAAAAAAATTAATAATGTCTCGCGATGTCAATTTTGGTTATTTTGGTTTGAGGTGCTTATTTGCATACAAATTTTATTACAATCAAGCAGCCCAATGCGAATATCCATTAACTGTCTTGGAAATATATTTATTTATTTTTTTAAATCTGAATACATAAAATCTTTAAGCGAAGGAAAAATTTAAAAATTCAATATGCCTGGAATAAATAATTTCAAGAACTAAACTGCTAACAAATAAGATTTGTATCTTATGAATAAACATGACAAGCATTAAATTACAATATCAAATAAGAAATAAATCACTTCTAGAAGTATAGAATTGAAAGCTTCAAAACTTTATAGTAGACTTAGTTACTCACCCGAGAAAATTGACATGGTAAGCTCCGGACGAAGTTGGGCCAGTTGCTTGGAGAGGAAGCGCTGGGAACGGCAGTAGGCACTGCTCAGCAGGACATCCAAAGTGCCCACCTTGTCGTCCTCTGGAAGAAAAAGAAACCAGAAACCATTAAGTCAGATTACTCGTAAATCTGTACGTGATTTTTAAACCCGACCAAGGTGCACTGAACCCATTTGCGAGGTCATTTTTGGGCTCTGAACTCGAGCAAGGCCCAAAGGCGACTGTGAACCAAGTTGAAACTTCGCCCATGGCGAACGCATTCCAATGCCAACGAAAGAGAGCTTTTCCGGCTTCTGGAAAAGCGCACGAGGGTTTGTTATTGTTTTCATTGCCGCCCAATGACAATGTGGCCGCAACGATGCCATTTTAGGAACGACTCTTCAGCGGCCCATTGTCTGTGGGCCCAGTGGCGTCGTTCTCCTTCTACAAATCCTGCTGAGCTAATCCCTCGATGCGGCGAACAACCACTTGTTGCAAATCCTGCCAACCCTGACCTTGTCTACCTGTTGATTTTATGAATGAAACCGCGCAGGCGCATTGGCCAATGAAAAGCTTTCACTTGGCGCCTTCCAATCAAGTAAATTAGAAAGCGGTTTAAAAGGCTGCCACGTCCATTGTCTCGGCTTAGTTGCGCGCTCATTGTCCTGCTGGCAGGACGGACCGGGAAAAAACTAACCGAGAAACCATCTCACCAAAAATTTGGTTCACCACAGAATTTAAAAAACCGGCGGGATAGACAAAAAAAATATTTTTCTTAATCAATTGCACAATCGCCTCTTGGCGTAAACAAGCCAATTCTATTCCGGGAATTACTAATTAATCGAAAAAATATTGCCTCCACTAAAGAACAGAAGTTTTCGACTCTCGAAAAAAAATGAAAAACAAAACTAGCCCAAAGATAAATTTTGCTTTGTGAAAACAAGAACCCTCAGAAGTTTTGGGGAAAAAACTTTTTATGTGTGGCAAAAGTTTTTAAATTTACCCGGTGTTTCTTCTTTGTTTACATCATTACGAATTGCGGGAAAAAAAAAAAAAAAAATGTTTGGCCTATAACGAACTCAAAACACCTAGGAGAACAGCAATCGGGAGTTTCAATAAGTTTTCCGAGCGAAAAGTTTGCGCGAAAGTTTGAAATAAAATTCTTAATTACGATCTAGTTAAGCGGAAACACAGAAAAATTTACCAACCAATTGAAACTTTGGATTGTTGACATGTGTTGAGTGAAGTAGTTTGGCTTCGAGAACAAAAACTACACATAAACTTTCTACCTTTCGATCAAAATGAAGGCAAAGCAATTAATAGTTGTCATCGAACCAGATCAATTAAAATAGTGTGTCAGCTCACAATTAAAGTTAAAGAAGTGATCAAGTGAAGTGAAGTACAATTGAAGAAATCAAGTGTTAATAATTCCAAAGAACAAAACAAATATTTAATGATGGCTGCAGAAACTACAGATATGGATTATATAGTGAGCACCGGTGGTGGCAATTTGTCAACCTCTACCGCAGCTACATTCATCACAACTCTGGGGGATTCTAATTCCACGGATAGTAATTCAAGTGGATTTGCAACGGAGATGGATTCCGAGGAAGCAACTGGCGAGGATGATGAAATGCTGAAGATAGCATTCTTTATTGGGGATTTCGTGCATCAGTACTATATCCCCGTGGTCTGCTGCACGGGCAGCATTGGGAATATCCTGTCCGTGTTTGTATTCTTTAAAACCAAATTGAGGAAGCTCTCCTCGAGTTTTTACCTGGCCGCTTTGGCCGTGAGCGATACTTGCTTTCTGGCCGGACTTTTTGCCCAGTGGCTGAACTTCCTCAACGTGGACATCTACAACAGGAACTACTTCTGCCAGTTTTTCACCTTCTTCAGCTACTTGGCCAGCTTCTGTTCCGTGTGGTTCGTGGTTGCCTTTACCGTGGAGCGATTTATTGCAGTTATTTATCCACTGAAGCGACAAACAATGTGCACTGTTCGCCGGGCAAAAATCGTGCTCTTTTGCTTGACCATGGTCGGATGTCTTCATTGCCTGCCCTACATTCTGATTGCCAAGCCGGTCTTTGCTCCAAAATTAAACGCCACCATTTGCGATCTCAACAGCGAATACAAAGTGAGTGTGCTCAAGTACTTATAGTTCTCAATTTATAATGTGCCAACATTTCGCATGCGAAAGACAAACAATTTTCCCACAAAAAAGGGGGAAATATTCAAGTGTTTTGATATTCTAAACAAATCTTTTCTGCTTGTTGGACCACCTACTGGTTTATGAAAATATGCTCGCAATAGCTATGTCATAATCGAATCCAAAACCTCAACTATTCACAACCAATTAATTCGTTAATTCAGTTTAAAAAGTTTTTAAACATCATCATACTATAATTAACCTACGGAAAGAACTTTAAATTGGCTTTTAAACACTACACTTTTAATTCTTTATTTCAAGTGTGTATTGCTTTTTAAACAAACAGAATATTTAAAAGTTCATATTTGAAACATTTGTACTTTTTCTTTAATGAATTGAATTTTATAAATAAGAACAAATGTTGCAATATTATTTTTTTTGTTTTAAGTGCCAGTTTAACATAATTATATACCGCTTAAAGACACAAATTAAAGCCTTGTTGTGATTCTCTCAAATAAATTCGTGACAAACACTTTTTTTGTGCTCTCGCTTTTATTCAAAGTACCTGTTAGTTGTAAGTTGTGGCAGTCTCACTCCTGTCACGTATCAAAATCAAACTTCATCAAACGCATTCTTCCAGTGCTTCGAATTTTTCGTTTTGGGTTGCCGGTGGAAACCAGCGACACAACGGAAATTTATCTGGCATTTTCCGCCCCCCTCTATTTGGGTTTCCCAAAGGTAACCCATACGTGGGAGTGCTGGTATTTGTGAATTTTTGTCTGCCTTTAGTATGGCTATTGGAATTCGAGTGCCATTGTATGTTTGCCTTGGCAAATGGCCAGCCAGTATTGTTGCAAAATATTTCACAAATATTTTTAACGCTTATGATTTTGTTGTATCAAAGTTTTGTAAGGGGGGAAAAAAAGATAAGCTCAGAGAATGAGGGATTAAATTGAATATCCGTCACAAAAACATACAGCTGTTTCCCGGGTAAACTTTGACTTGACATCTCTTGAGTTCCCGAATCCCTTCGTCACTTTCGCTCAACTTGGCAATTGACACTCTGTCAATTAGGCCCAATAAATACCGCCAAAATATTCGGATCATGCGCGAGGCCGCAAAGCGAAGCGTCAACTAATTTGGCCGAAACTAGAGCAATTAGTCAATTAATTGGGCCCAAAAAGGCGGATAGCCAACCGCTGTGTGGGTTAAGCGACCAAATTAAGCATTTATTGGCCAAGAAAAAAGGCCACCGCAAATTGGCCAACGAATGGGTCAAACAACTTCCAAAAAAAGAAAGAGCGGACAGCCAAAAATGGCAAGAAGGATAACCAGATACAAAAACAGGGAAAGTGTTTCGGATTGGATAGACAAAGTTTGAATTGGAAGTTTTTAATACCCTAAGAAATTACTTAGTTAATCAAAAGGTGCATTCAATTTCATCTTATTTAAACCCTGATTATATTTTAATAAATTATTTTAGCTTTTTAAATTCCAACAATCATTCCAAATTTTCGCAAAATATGTTTACTATAAACATGTTAATGGTTTTGGCTGAAAAAAAATAATAATTCGTTATGAACATGTTTAAGTTTTAATCCTGATCCAATTTCCGGTTATATTTTAATTCGAATTGCGTTGCAAAAATTTAAGACAAAACCTTTGTTCTCCCCCCAAACGTTGGCCAAACAACAATGACTAAAAAAAGGGCATTGCCGACTCTTAAACCAAAGCAAATATTTTTTCTGGGGCCGCAGTGTAAACAGGACACAACTGACAGGACACGGCAGAAACCAAAAAAAACCCAACCGTCGGGCACGTGGATTAACTGGGTGTGTCTCGTGCGTCTCAAGGATGACAATTCCAATTCTCAGGTTCCAATAAATCTCATATTTCACTTGCTTTTTCAACTGTTTACCTTTGCCGAGTCGCAGTCGCTTTTTGGGGGCTGAAATTCAATGCTAATTTTTCACTATATGTGGGCGTACGCAATGCAATGCAAACAGAACGCCAGGTGAATTAAGCTGGCAAAGAAAGTCAGCTCCCAGCCAGGCAGACAACCAGACATTCAGACATTCAGCCATCCAGCTAGCCTATTAGCCAAATTGGCCCCAACGAAGCGTTAAGTGTCGCGCCTACGTGTGCTCCCCGTTTCGATTGGTAGGATGATGGATCAGTTGAGCGGGCGAAGCACCAAGAACTCAAACGGAAAATTTCGCATTCAATCAACAGAGCTTACACCGAGAAAAATAGGAATGTTCCTAATAAAAAATAAAATATTTCTAAATTTATACAATTTCAAGATAAGTTTGAGTCTTGCAGATAAAAAGGATTAAATGGAAAAGATATCTAATACCCCGAAACACATTTAAAATTAAATTCTAAAATTTGAAATGTTGTGTTATTTTCATTATTTAAATATCCACTATAAAACACTTATAGAAACAATCGATATTTTCAATATTTGAAACCTTTTTCCCGTGTTATCCTTGCGCATTGTCAGCAATTTCGTTTGACAACAATTTCGTTTGAGCGATGGGAACTGCGACGTGGATGGCAGTCAACAGATGGCACATGGCGAGCGGCCAGGAAATTATGCACGAATTCCGCTGGCAGCCAACGATTCGGCTGAAAGCGAAATGGTTTAGAGGGGGCCAAATTGGCAGGAATGGAAGCTGCAACGTGCTATGAACAATATTGCAAAAAGTTAACAGACACACCACTTCTTCGTGGGGGAGAACAACATAAATTTTAAAACAGTCACCGGATGTAAGCCACAAATAGACATTTTGCACTTGGCGGTTGGCATATTGAAAGAAACAAATCATTGTGTAATAGCCCTCTTCGGGATGAGAATGAGCAGTAGAAGCCGAATGGAAAAGCGAACAGATGCTCCTCCTCGGAACTCTGGGAAAATTTACTTTTACTGATAGCAGACTCCTAATGAATAGAGAAATTATGGCAGACGATATTACCTAATTTCCAGACTTTGCAATGTAAGCTACGCAATTTAACATTGGTTTTCCGAATGGCACTCGATTTAAAGCGCTTTTCTATGAATAATTAAGTTCGATATTATGGCCGGCAGTCATCAATAGAAAGACGCCCTTTGATGTATTTAGGAGGCAGATGTAAAGCCAAATTGAAATCGACTAAGCTCATGGAAATCGCCATATGGCATTCTAAGGTCACAGGAAGTGGCCAAGAAAAAGTCGAGTACACATACCATATGCATGGAAATGGGTTTAACCAAAGGATGCCTAAAGACATGAGTAACATTTAGATTCTCCATATTGACATTGCAGTTGCAGAACTTTAAAATGTGTAGATTTCTTTGAATAAAATTCGAATTGGATTTCCACAAGTTTAGCATGAATGGAAAACTTTTTCTTTATTTACTAAATTCGAAATAAAAGCCCTTTGTGTCAAAGAAATATTTTCTCAATTTTAGGCAGCAATAAAAACTTTATATGTGCCAAAGTTAGTGCGTTTTAAAGGATATCAGCCAACAGGAAATGAATTCCCTCGACAATTAATTATACTTTCAAAACAATTTCGTGTATTACAACCATCAAAGGGCAGACATAATCATCGTCAGTTGATTGAAAATATACGAGCTATTACACTTTGATCCACTTGACACACACTGGGCTAAGAAAAAACTGGGAGGGATAAAAAGTAAATAGCGAAAGCAAATAAATTGAATGGTTTGGTCAAGACGGACCGCTTTTACGGTTATGACAGCCATTCGGGGATTTTCCAGAAGGCTTTTCCGAGCTGTTTACTGGCCAAAAGCACCTGACACAAGTGGTCAGTCGGCAATAAAGTAACCGATCAATAGATTAAGGTTTGCCAAACTTCGTAAGCTGCTGTCTAGAGTATAATTTATATAAAAAAATTAAATTGACCTTTTGGGATCATCCCTTTGACTATTTTAGACCCAAAGAGAGCTCCAAAAATTCTAGTGAAAAATCTACCCCCATGACGAAATATTTAAATGGATTTTCGGAATATTTTTAGGCACATGCAAAGGCACAAAGTTAGTCTGAGCACTGAATTACTTGATCAACAATTTTGATTTTGCCGGTCGGTGATTAACATAATTTCAATGCTCTTGTAATACATTTTGATGAATGCCAACACTTCAAATTATGTAAATTGAAAGCAGCCGCCAGAAATTACGACAAAACCCACTGATGATGATTGCATATCTAGAGTGGAAATTGCGGCTGCCCTTTAAAGTGTTCTAACTTAAATTCCAGCACGGCCAGATGGTTTTGTTAGTAAAATACGGCTGAACAGTCGGATGGATTCTAATGGCTGATAATGCGCTTATGGGCTTCCCTTTTTGGTTAATTGTGATTGAAACAAATGGGATTGTTTAGCCAGGCCAACTGGCAACGAGGTTTATTCAAGTGTCCTGGAACATTTCAGATTATACATTTCGGACATGAAAATATGCAGGCCAACAGGAATTTAACCGTTACAAACCTTTCAACCCGAGGATAGCGGAAAATAAATGCTCAAGATGAAGTGAAAATAGTTTACCGCTTCAAAGAGTCCCGGGGGAAAATGGCTTCAACGGAGCAGAAAATGCTGGAAAGTATGCTGAGATTAAGGAAACAGGCCGGAAGGTCAACTTTCGTTGTTGAGGGCGCAAACTTATCGTTTCAGCTCGAAATAATTCGCTTAAGTTGCTCGCCAAGCCGATTATGCAAATTAAAAAAAGGTTTCGCCCGTATTTCTTGCGAGTAGATAATATTAGCATGGGAGTTGCTATTTTATGTTGCACTAGCATTTGGAATAAAATTATAAAAAATAAAAAAGCCAGACTGATTAGAAATACATCCAACTCAACCAGTTATTTCCCAAGCGCTCTGCGTGACATGCAAATGGATTAAGAATATTTTACCCCATTTTGTTTAGCAATTGAATTAGTTTCAGCAAAGAGTTTTTCCGGCGCTTTGATCAAATCCCACTCAATCGAGTTATTGAGCCAAACAAGATTAAATCTAGTTGGGTTTGTGGAACTGAATTACGTACACGTGGCGTATACTCAATTCGCAGGACAAAGTATACGACCCGTTGGCCACGGGTTGACCACAAAAACCAATCGGACTGCAAGCAAAGCAATGATAATAAAAATAAAAAAAACACGATTCCCTCTATTTCGCAGGAACAAATGTCGCTCTTCAACTACTGGGACTCGATTGTCGTCTATGCGGTGCCCTTCACCACCATCGCCGTTCTGAACACCTGTACGGGTTGCACGGTGTGGAAGTTCGCCACCGTTCGCCGAACGCTGACCATGCACAAGATGTAAGTACTGACCGCCGGATAATCGCTGTTCGACTCATTGACCCCTGACCTCTCGTGGAAAGCCACTAAGGCGATTTGCGTGACACGCGCTTAAGAAACACTTTTATAACTGCTTTGGCACTCTAAATCTGTCAACTCTCGTAGTTAATTGTCCGTAAACTCACCAAGCACAATGGCGTATTAAAAGGTTCACGCAAAGTTACTTGCTTTAATTTAATTTAAAACTTGGAAAGCGCTAAGTTAAATCATTAATATGTATTTAGATATTTGTAGCAGAAATTGTGTTTTTTTTTTCTTTGGCTTTCATTAAAAACCCTTTTATAGTTATAAATATTTTTGAGCTATTTTCTATTTGATACTTCAGAAGCCATAAATGTAATATTATATTCTCCATTTGCTTTTCCGTATCCAAGAAACACCTAATTCACTATTTGAATAGAAATAGGTTTTTTTTTCTTTGACTTTCATTAAAAACCCTTTTATAGTTACAAATATTATAAAGCTATTTTACATTTGATACTCTAGAAGCCATAAATGTAATATTTCCCCCATTTGCTTTTCCGTATCCAAGAAACACCTAATTCACTATTTGATTCGATGTTATTCGGTTGTGCAGGAAGCCGCAGACCAACAGCATGCCATCGAACTCGTCGAACTCATCCGGAGCGGCATCTGCAGTGGCCTCTTACCGCATTTCAGCATCGCTGAAGCGCCAGAAGTCGACGGGAAGTCATCCAAGTGGACAGCACAATGTGGCCACCAGGCAGTCGGATGAGCAGCAGCAGCAGCAAACCAACAACCAGCAACCACAACAGCACCAGCAGCAGCAACAACAGCAACAGCAGCAACATCAAATAAACAATTGCCAACACCACAGTGAGATTACCCAGAAGCCAGGTAAGAAAACCCTAGCCATCTGAAAGGGTTTTTCCACTCGGAAAATGTCAGTGCTTCGCCTAGGAACTCGTTCCGTTGACATTTGCTGGAAACTTGCTGCTGCCAGGCTAAGGCAACAACTTTTTCTTAAGCCATTTAAGTTGGCTTTCGAATTTGTTTGCAGCCTTTTTGCAGCGGCGCCTGCCATTAAAAGCGACAAAACAAAAGACAAAAAGCTGAAAAAGCAGGAGGAAAAATGGATGCAAAACTTTCTGACAGCTGCAATCTTAGACAACTTTGCGACACTGACAAATTGTCAAACAATTTGCCAACTATTACATATAATTTCCAACTAATTATGAAGTCTGTGCGAGTGTGAAGAAAGTCTCTTAATCCCCAACTCTGTTATCATCTATATAGACTATATATGTTATATATATATATATTTTTTTTTTTTTGCAGCTCGCCGCAAGGTACAAAACTCATCGCAGATCAAGGTAACCAAAATGTTGCTTATTGTCTCAACGGTTTTCGTCTGCCTCAATTTACCCAGCTGCCTGCTGCGCATTGAGGCCTATTGGGAGGTAAGTGATGCAAACATAACATAAAGGATGCCCCCAGATAATTCGGGCTCTTCTCGGCCAATCAGTCAAGCTGAAGCCACTTCTATTATCTCGGGGCACGAGAATAAACTGTATTGTTATGCCTGGACAATAATGGGACTTTCCTTTGGCTTGACCCAAATAATCAAATCAGTGGTGGTTTCCTCTTTTTATACACCAAGGAAAATACAATTATCTTTTTTAATGTAGATCAAAGGAAATAGAAATTGCATATAATTATTTAAAAGATATTTATCAGGGTTTATAAAAGAGATAAATACTAAAATATTGTATTATTCTTTTGGAGAAAGTGATCTATAACAATATCAATTTTTTCTAAGTGCAAGCATTCCTTATGCCTTTCCAAAACATTGCGGAATAAGTAGTCTTCCAACTTGGCCCTCTACCGTCAGCTTTCTGCTGCTAATTATCTGGCCACAAATGCAGAAGATGGCTGAGGAGTGCTGCTCAATTTCTGACCCGGCTCATATCCCAGATGGCCGTTACAAGGGGCGTAAAGTTGTCATGACAACGCAAACTATAATGGATGCTTTGGCATTTGTGCGCCACATCCCCTGCTGCCAATTTCAATCCGACGGCAGTTCGCCCAGTTGGCTCAAATGTCAAGTTAAATCCAGGAATTACACTCATCAAAGGAAAAAACATTTACACATCCTCATGAAGTGAGAACAGAGTGGTTGGCATGGTGTACGACACATAGGTGTTAATTAGCCTTTAATTAGTTTGTGCACTTCGGGAGCAAGTCGTAAAAATAAAATCAGATTCGTGTTAAATCAAATACTCAAGGTGCCAAAGGCAACGGCAATCGCAAATATATACATTTCCTTAAAACAGTTTTCCAAGAATCTCACTCCTAGAAAGGAGAAATGATTTTATAAGTTCCTTTTTTAAACGAGAGTTAATTAAGCGTTCACAGGAAATGACATGACGTTTCCGATTGAAGCACTTAAGTCCCTTTGAATTAAATACAAGTTAATTAAATTTTCTTTTTTTTGAGGGTGCTTTTCATTAATGCGAGTGGCAGCCTCGGTAAAATTCTGGTTGAGTTGTCATTTTATTTGTCAGCACATCGTTAAAAAACGAACCATTTTTGAGAATTTAATACATGCCATCAGTCAGGCACGTATCCAGGGGGGTGCCCGGGGGCCCGGGCACCCCCCGAAATTTTTGAATTCCAAAATTTTTTCTATTAAAGACTTTTCATTAAAAAGTCTTCAGTAGAAGAAAGCTGACCTAACAGGAACGTATAGATCAGTAGACTGATACAAAGCCAACTTTAATTTAATTTATTGAATTTATTCGAATAAGTCCGCATTTTTTATTGATTTTTTTCCTTGAGCCCCCCCCCCAAAACAAATTTCTGGATACGGGCCTGCCATCAGTTGTCAAAGATCTAACAGAATTTATGTGTGCAAAGGGCAACTTCACAGTTGGCAGACAAATAAATAGTATATATAGATGATAGATTAATTTTTACACCCAAATTCACATGCCAACTTAAACATGTGGCGAAACTCAAACATTGATTGCGACACAAAGTTAATTGAGTGGAAAAGGACGGCCGGCAGACAAGAGATGAATTATTTTCCGGCCTTTTCTTTGAGTTCAACAGGTCACGAAGGGCACGTGCCCATTACACATGACTTTTGAAGAAACAGAAGAGACACGTTAGGCTTACTTACTTATTCCAAACATTACTCAGTCATTAGTGAGTTATGCAAAATTCTGCATCAATGGTATTGATCTCCCTATTATGAGCTCAAAGGCTACAGGAAATCTGTTAATGTGAGGAATTGCCACGGCAACGTAGAACTTCCTAATTGGCCTGCAAAATTCCACTTAATTCAATTTGTTTTTTTTTTCTTAATAATTTTGGCAGACGGAATCGTCCAGAAACGAGAATTCAACAATTGCCCTGCAATATATTTTTCACGCTTTCTTCATCACAAATTTTGGCATCAATTTCGTGCTTTACTGCGTCAGCGGACAGAATTTTCGGTAAGTAATTCCACGCAAATTACCCAATAACGCACGTTTATGTGACCGGATTTTATTACCATTTAAATATATGTATTTCTTCTTTGCATTCACCATACATTCTTTTCTGCATTTCCAGTAAAGCCGTATTGAGCATTTTCCGGAGGGTTTCATCCGCTCAACGGGAGGCGGGAAACACCCAAGTAACAGGTGAGTTGGAGATTTCCCCCCATAATAATAAGGTTCCATAACGCATTCAAGGCAGCATGGAGAAATTTCATATGTCAAATGCGATTTTATGTGCTCAAAAAGCTTGAAAATTTAATTTGTTGTCTTGGCAAAGAGGTCTCCGTACGTTCAAAAATACTACAATAAAAATTCTGTGGCTGCTAAAGAAATTAATCTTTAGAAGGCTTTTTAATATTTTAAAGCAAAACATCTTAGTTGGATAAATATTCAAGTGGCTTTTTCAAGACTACTTTTTGCACAACTTTATGGGTCTTAACTAAATTTTAGTGCGTAGTTAATTCGGTTGAAATCGCGAACAGAATGCCAACAAGGCTGCGGTTTTTATTGCTGCACTTGACAGCTACACTTAAACACAAAAAAAAAACATATTTTTTATAACACTTTATATTATATTTTCGTTTAAAATTAAAATAGACAATTAGACGAATATGCACAGGATTTGCAGAGAAGAATTTGTGGGCTTATGTGAACCACTTTTTGATTAGAGAAGCTCCGCAGCTCATCTTTTGCAGATGCATTGATAAACATTTTGTACGCTCGAATTCCTGCTGACTTATCAGGCTTGATAAAAAAACCTCAGATAAACTTAGCTCAGCCCGGCAAAAACAGATGTCAGTAGCAGGGATTTAAAAGGATTAAAGCTACCAGCAGACTTTCTCCTTCGGAATTCAATCCCGGCCGGCATTGCATTTTACTTCTGTCAGAAGCCAGAGCACTCTAATTGCTGTTTTGTTGCTGTCTTTCGGGAGCTGGGGAAAACTTTTCCTATAAACGCCCTCGGACAGTGAAGGCAAACACAAATCAGCATCCGATGCCACGATTTCTGTTAATGAAAAGCGGTAAGCAATACGACCGGGAAAAAAACCAAGGAAGGCAGGAGGGGAATTTCAAGGACCATAAGGTGCCGGATGCGAAGGATAATCGTGGATGGAAAAAGTTAATAGGATGCGCAGGGAACAAAAAAAAATAGTCTAGAACATAACCTAATTAATTTATTATTATGTAGAGCAGCCCTAATGCATTCCCCTTGCTGGTGCTAATTTAATGACCAAATAATTCCGTTTGCACAATTTGTTTGCTGGTTCCAATCTACCTTAAAGCTTGAACTTGATGTTGGATTTGCAAAATGAAATTTAACAGCCCAGTTCAGTTTTAAAGCTTTTCGAAGCAAAGGCAATACGAGCATGCAATTTTGCATACAAGAGCCAGTGGATAAACTAGGGCAAAATGCTAATCGACTGCTAAATGATTTTCAATTACGCCTCAAGGTTTCAAGAAGCTCATTCATGCAAAAGATTCCCCCAGCCTATGCAACTTTAAGGCATTAATAAATGAATTTACAACTCATTCTGTTAAAAGGCTTAATTCATATCATACTGCAATAGATGTTATGTGGCTTTTTATAAATCTACTATAAATTTAAATTCATTTTTTACTGCTTCCAGTCAAGTTTTCTACTGGGTTCATCAGCAAACCACAAATGTTCTCCCTTCTCGTTCGACCATTATTCACCGGCCATAAAGTTTAGTTTTACGATTTTCCGGCTTACCTTTGGGGGTTATCAATTTTTAATTTCTTACTGAAGCCAAGTACATTTTTGAACAGCAATTTTTCTTCGGCTCTCAAGTGGCATATTGGAAGCCATAAAAATGTCAGGGTGCATATTTATTTAGCAGTATGGTTTTCCACTTGTTAATTAAAAGTGTTTGCCAATTCGTTAAAAGCGGAGAAGTACCAACGGAGAATGTGAGTCAGTTTCAGGAACAAGTCCTGTCAACACGTCAAGGAAGAAAGCCAGGGTAAATGTAAAACTGGAATGTAAATGAAAAAAAAAAGAACTGGAGGAACGTGAAGAGGATAGCAAAAGCTCCAGCTGTCGGCAAGGATTCTTTGGTAGAAGCAGCGAGCCCAAAAGGATCAAACGGGATAAAGAAGTTTGCTCCATGCAAATATTGACATCATGCAAATAGTCGAGGTGTCCTTGTTTTATTTGTTCATGCCTTGGAGGAACAAATATTCAAGAGAGGGATTTGCACAATTGCAACAATTGAAATTACATTTAACACCATCGCCTTGGAAGCGATTTAAAAAAATTAATACTAGTTGCTGTTCTGTTTTTTAGTTTCCTTAGTTCAATTCCGGCAGTCAGTAATTCACCTAAAGTAGTTCAAAATACCTTGAACTACTTATTCCAGCTGCTTTAACGAATTCAGGTTTTAACAAGTTTAAAAGTTTTCCCAAAATGGAAGGAGAAATTTATAATGGCTTTTCAAGCACTAACCAACGAAGCGAAGTCGAACAATTTCAAAATTTTACCCTAATGGTAATTCCAATGTGAAAAGCTTTCGCCGAAATTGAATATAGGGCAGGATAATCCGAAAATCAAACAACGGCAGTTAATGGGGAAAGCGCTTCGTTAGCAGCTTGCCAGCGGCAAGTGGAAAAGCTTAGTTTTCGCACACTCATTTCTCTTTTTCGAACGGCATTACTCATACGCAGCGTTGTACGTGTGCTGAATGCAATGGCAATTGCCGCGCCTCTCGGGATCTGCTGCCCGCCACCTCATTACGGTGTTGCTTATTGGCCATAAATTACGAACGCATCCAGTCACGCTTCCGCAGAATTTCTCGCAGTAGTGCCATCTCCCTGGGAAAAACCCTCCCACTTCTTCCCCGGCAAGTCAATCAGTGCTTGTCTCTGGAGAAGACAGTTCCACTCGCATTCCTTCTCCATTCAGGCATAGAAAAGAAACTAGAACTGCTTGTGCCATTTTTACTGACTATTACCTTAAGGAGAATTTAAGGGGATTTAAATGGCAGAGTTGGTTGTAAAAAAAGGTTAAGTCTAGAAACCAATTTAAATAAATGAAATATGGAGAATGCCCAGAAATGGAATGAAATAAATTTCAGATTTAAATAAAAAAAAGTAGAGCAAGCAATACAATTTCCTTGCTTAGTAGGTAATATTATATTTATTAATAGATAGATAATAGATTGAAATAAACTTGTACAGCAAAAAACTAACGACTTTAATCCAATCCCCACTTGACCTTTCGCTTTTGCCAGCGTTGTGTTAAATCGTTTCATTTATAATGATTTATCTAAGATGAAGCATGACTTTTACTAGGAAATGATTGTGCGGGGTCAGAATACCAAGTAGTTACCAAACTTTTACTTTATAGATTTTTGTGCCTCAAAATATACATAGGCGTGGTTACAAATTTGGCAAAGCAAGCAATTCTATTGACAAAACATCTGAACATAACAATTCACTTAAGATTTCGAGGGCTTCCGTTTGTGAAAATGGAGGCAGGAAGACTTGTGATGACGCGAGAAATCAGTTCCTTTGTGGATGACTGTATAATTTATTTAATAACTTACTGGAAGAGGAATGAAAAAAAGCGTGACACAAAGCCGAGTCAAGGACAGTCGGTGAACGTCATCATTAATCTTGCCAGGCCACAAATATCCACACATGGCAATCAACAAAATTTTTGAGGCGAAACCCAAGGAGGGTGGAATTTTACCCAAGACACTGAAGTGGCAAAATGCTATTTATACATCTTCTTTGTTGACTTGCCGAGGAGACATTTAAAATAATTAAAAGGAAACAAAGTGAGTCGAATGCCAAGCAGATGAACAAAAGTTCAATTCGATTTGAATTTGGAGGAAGACCCGCAAACACAATTACCTTTGAAGATAACCAAAATTATCCAGAGCAAAGATTATAAAGGAACAAATGCAAACAAGGACAATCAAACAAACATTGTGCTTATTGGAAAATACCGCTGGTCTGAATTTATTGGCACTCTTCCAGGCTCTGTGTGCTTTTCAACACGGATGATTGATTAGCTCAGATTGCCATGAAACACAATATTTCCGAAAAAAAAGGAGAAACCAGATGAAATGAATATGCTGCTGTGCCCTGTTAAATTAGATAACAAAAACCCAATGACTGCTTTGACTTGTTGGGTTTTCGGGGGGTTTAAATCCGATTTGCTGAGTATTTGAGACCTTACATTCGGTCTATTGGCAGGCCAATAAATTGGCCTCAAAAAGCCATTGAAAACCACAAAGTACCGAATTTATAGCCTACTTATGTGCGCCTTTCTCGGATGTGGATACGAACAACAGAGTAAATCGCAGCTTTGTCATTTTCAGGTAAAAATTATTGAAAAGGAAATCAAAATGAAGCAAAAAATTGTGAAAATGAGGATTAAGTTAAAAAATTAATGGTAATCATTTTATTAACAAAGAAATCGGATTTGTTAATAAAAAACATTTTCGGTAAGCAGAGATATTAAATTAAAATAATAATAAGAAAAACAAAATATTTTTTAATACGAATTTAATTATGTAAAGTGGGAAAAGATTCTCCCTTTTCCCTAAACTTTGGCCTTCTGCGCCAACATGTGGCACTTAAAATAAATCCCCACACACCCTTAATGGCAATTTGCGTTCACATAACGTAAACTACATTAACATAAGCACATGCAGCTGCATAGCTTATTTGTCGCAGACTTTCCGCACCCACTTGACTACATTTTCACATGGTAACGGAGTGTTTCGCTTTTCTTTTCAGTTTCCGAATATTGTCGCAACACTGGCACCTCCACACGGCGTCGCATGATGACGCAGCATTGTTGGAACGAAATGCACGAGTTGCATCCACTCAAGTGAATTGCAGAGCTTACAGGAAAATTAAACTTAGAGGCACCGAAACGCCAACGGAAAACGGGAAATTGCGAAAAACGCCGCGGGATAAGCAGGAATTTCGTTTTTAATTAGATTTCAGAAAACAAAAGATATTTATAAGAGCAAGAGGAAACATGTGTTTGTGATGTTTGTCAAGGCCAAGCAAATTAAAATGAAAAACAGAAATCAAAATTATAAATGTACTGTATACACCGCATTACATTTACTTAAGTGTTTAAATAACCATAAAGTAGTAAATTCATTAACTTTTGTTTGCTTCCGAAATTGAATGCCTATTACAGAGTCGATTAAAGAGGACCTAATCAAATTCAAATTCGCACGCAAAACTTAATTAAAACCTTACCACAGAAACACAATTTTAAAATGTCAAACATTAAACCCCATAGAATAAATAAACGAAAATGTATTTCTGTCTAACCAACCAGCGCAAAAATATATACACGTAATAAATGTTAATTTCGTTAAATGAAAGCCCGAAAGAGTGCGTTTTGATTGGATTCCCCCGTTTGCCACAAGGACCATTTAAACCATTTTCCAATTGACTAAATCTGATAATCAAACTTAAATTGCGAATTACTGAATATTATTGCGGAATTGGGCAGCTAAGTCTTGTCTACCGATGCATACGCAATGTGAGGGATGTATTATCTTTTCAACTTTGCAGGAACCATTTTCAACAATGGAAAACATAAACTTCATCAGCTTAGTGCAAAAGGCAGAAAAAAGGTCAAAAGGTGGCTTTTCAGGTGGGTGGATTACATTTTTGTGCAAATAACTTTGCAAAAAGGCAAGTTCAAGTGCAAGCATTGAAATTGAGCTAATTACAAATAAAGCAGATTGGTCGCCTTCAAAAACCCTTCTGGGAAAAAGGAAAATCATCGTGCAGTTTTAATTTAGCAGACAAATACTTTCGGAGATTAGATAACGATACCCAGGAAAACAGAAATCAAAGTAAAAAGTAGACAAACTTGCACAAATATTCATGCGATTTGCACACACAAAGCTTGTTAAAGCCTCTTATGTAACGCAATAAAAACTCAACAGCCACACCCGAAGTAAAACAATAACATGGAGGTACGTTATGAAATTAAAATTCAAAATTCAGGCACCAGCAAACAAGGAGGATAAACAACACTTGCCGCATTGGGAAACGTAGACCTCAAAGTATTCAAATTGAAAGGTGAAAAAACATTTTCACTCGTCTGAGAACGTGAGTGTCACATGAGCTTGTTTTCGTCTTTTTATAAGTAGCTCAACCTCTGACAGATTGTGGTTACACACCGGGGATTAAAAGCTGCCCAGGGTGGGTATAATTTTAGGTGTTCTTCCCAGCAAGGTGTCTTCCAGGAACCTAGTTGCTTCACCCTTATTTATTGTGGTTAATCAATAACCAGCATAATGACGAAATTTTCCCGAAATAGAACATCTAAGGAGTTAAAATTGTTATAAGCTACTCAAGTTTCCTAAGTCTATGGAACAAATTTAAAATGTCTATTGTTTACTAAGTTAAACGTTTGAATTGCTATCCAAAACAACTTGAACTCTAAAATCTACCATTGTATCATAGATTTAAAAAAAAAGCTTTATTCCCTTAGCTTCTTTACCTATAGTTTTGTTTATCAACTTAAAAGCAATAAAACTGGGCTTTAAAACTAATAAGAGAGTCTCCAAACATATAAAATTGAATTGCCGCCTGAAGACGACCCATTCCCCTCGAAAGTTCACCTTGAGAATGTCACTTAATTTATACTTTATTGCCATCAAGCCAGGTTAGTTGTCGTGTCAAAAGGAAAAACTCATACCTTTCTCGTTGTCGCTGTGCAGAGTGCCCACCACGCTGCCAAAGAATCGCTTGTCCAGGATCTGCAGCAGTTGCAACGCTGTTGCATGCACCTCCACGCGAGGACAGCCCGTCATGAGGAGCGTTACTGTTATCACGGAGGTGTAGTGGTCGCACGGATATTCCCTGTAATTAAAAGAAGGGATAAAGAAAACAAAGGCTTTAATAGGTAGCAGTAGCTGGTGGCGAGTCAAGAGCTCTCAAAGTAACCTAATGAGGTTGTTGGCTTGCGGCGATGCGGTTGTGGGCGGAACATAAAGCCAACACAACACACACACCCTGCCCCACGTGCCGCCAATCAACAGTTAATGCTCCAACATGGCCAGGTGGCAAGGTAGCAAGGTAGCCAGAAAAGCCATCTGCCCCCTTCCGAATCCCCGACAGATCCATTAAAATGTCGTAGCCCACTTTCAACTCGATGTTTGCGTACATGCATTCACACGAGTCTCTCTACCCCATGGAGGTTGGAATAACACTTTCGGACAAGACACACTCCCCACAGGACCTCCTCCCACTTCACTTTGCGTTGAATTGAATAATTTACGCAAATCGATTTTCGCTTTGCATCCTCGCAAACACGAGGCTTCAATGCAAGAAAGTATGTTGCGGTTTTAATTTTTTTTCTTTTCTTGTTTTTTATAAGGTGTTTAAAGCGAAAACAGAAAATGCAGAGCTTTCGTGTATAATTTAGTATTTTGTATGGCTGTTAGGACCAAGGCTCAAGGACAAATGGCTGGCCATTCGAATAATGCGAATTCTCGGGTGCAAATTGCCTTCGATAAGCAAGCGAATCCCAAAACCGTTTAGATACAATCAATCAATTCGTAGCCAATTTTCCTTGTCATCACGTTTGCTCCTTTGAAGCCTTTAAATCTGTTCAGTAATTTAAAGAATTTATCACACTACCCGTTAAAATGAAAATGCCAATCGCTCCAATGTGCCAACGGCATGCCATGGGCATCGCCACCTGCCACAAAAAATCCGGACAGGCGGAAAATAAAGTTGAGAGTGCCACGCGCTGCACAGATGTTGCATGTATATATATTATGTAGTTGGGCCGTACTAGGAAATACTGTACTGAAATTTATGAAGATTGGACTAAGGGATACCATGCATTTAATGTTCTTTCATACGATTGTTATACGATTCAATTGTATAACAGAATATGTAATAGCATAGATAATATGACAATTTCTAATGAGTACGTAACAAGATTAAGAAGAAATTTAAATTATTTCTAAGTAGAATGTTGACAACTTTGAAATATTCTTAAAAAATTTAATATATTTTTAAGTTAAAAAAACTTTTTTAAATATTAATGAATTGGGTTTTCTTTTGTTTTTCTCAACATAGCAATAGATTTAGAATAATAGGGTATATATAGTAATGTACTATCAAACACACACCGCTTGAAGACGATGTCCAGGCGACAAACTTTAACACTTGGCTACACGTGGTCGTCTCAAGTGCTTAAAATGCTTCTATTATGGCTTTGTCAGTTGGTTTTGGGCAAAAGCCACAAAATCGCACACTGAGTTGGGATAAACCGCAAACAAGTGTGCTCTGGTTTCTATGGCCGATTGCCAAATCCCATCCACCAGGACCAATGTCGACAAATTGCAAATGGAAAATTTTTAAATGCGGTGACACAGACGATTTGCTTTTCAAAAATGGTAATTAGTTTCCATTAGAACTAAGCAAACAGACTGCCAAAACCGCATATGTTGTTGTTATGCCTACATTGCATTAAACAACCGAAATATTTAAAGCGGCTTTTGCGTAAATAGGGTATAATTATGGCAACAATAACATCAAAAGTGTGAGAGGTTCAAAGTAAATTCATGCTCAATTTAATTATGGCAAATTAATTCAAATTTGTAAATGATTTTTAATCCAGTTTGATGAACCGAAAGGTAGGAAGCGATACTTCCGCTGTTTAATTAATGTAATCCCCACTTGAAAAGAGGATATTGCTTGTAACACATTTGTCCCCCCATTTCGGTTGCATTAAATGCAATGAACCATGCAATACTTTATATATTCAACTGTTTATCTAGCCATTTATACAGAAAGCGATCCCGTTCGCAGCCATAATGGCCAAAGTGAAAAAAGGCAAACAGGATGCGGAAATAAAAAACGTGCTCTGCCTGAACAAATAGGCTGTCATCCACTCATGTGTGCTTATGATAAATTTAAAGAGTTCCCCATTGTTGCCGGCAGACACGTGAAATGCTACTTAAGGGCAACTGGGGAGCCGGGATTGGGGTCCAAACTCCCACCTGGATATATGTGTGTGGGCCAAGTGATTACGGACCCAAGAGCACGGACTTGGACTTAAAAGGAAACCGCGTAAGACGATTACGCATCGAACGCCACCCACGTTCATGTGTTTACGGTGCCATCTCCTCCTTTCACTTACTTTGCACTAAAGATCGAGGCCAGGGCCAGGAAACAGGCGTCCGCCTCGCGAGGCGTCGACGTGTAGCACCGATCTATGACCCACTCCAGGAGCTGTCCCATATCCGGATTTGATTCGAGCAGCAGCACCACTGTGTCCCGCGCCAGTTGGTAAATCTGCGAAACAGAATTCAGCGTTAATCCTGGTTTGAGTGGAAGTACAAGTGGGTGGTGGGTTACCTTTTCGTCCTTGGAGGTCAGCAGCAGATCCAGCCACTTGTATATGATGCCGTCGTCTTGAAGATGTGGCGCATAGAAGATGTGACCACAACAGAGCAGAGCGGACATGGCCTAAAGTGGAGAATCCAACAGAGAAAAAAGTTAAAAAAAAAAAAGCGTATTATAAAACTAATAAATGCCTAACAAAATTTAATTAGAAGTAAGTTCTTATTTTTTGTATTTGTCTTATTATTATTAATATATTTTACAATATTAATTTTTAAATACATTGAGAAGTTAACATTTTCCACAGTGCAGAAAACTTTCCCAACGAATATGCCTAATGGGGCTTTTGTCTTTATACTTGCCTGCAGAGCGCTGAACTGCAGCTTCTCCTCCTCGACGGTCTGGCCAATCTGCAAGGTATAGCCGAGTGGCTTGGAGAAGCTGCCGCACCATGTGGCAAACAAATTGAACAGATTACGCTTCAGGAGCCGGGACAGGAGTGTGGCGCAGGATTCAACTAAGAGAAATGAACAGGCAATCAGTTGTAGAAGCAGATAGATTCGCCAGCGAAGTTTGTGGCGATGACAGCTTGTCGAGGACTTTGCGGACTTACGTGAGAAGTTTTTAATCATCTTGCGTATGAAATTGCAAAAGTGCGCCTTCACCTCGCGAATGCTCAGGTTATCCTTGTCCGTCTCAGCCGTTAGGTAGGCCATGGCGCCCTCAATGTACTCCACGAAAGTGGGATGCAAGGACATCGTGTCGCGTTCCAGCACACAAGTGCTGCAAATGGATGGCGAAAAGTTTTTGAAGCGTGAGAAACATTAAGGAAAATCTTTTGGGTATTTAAGGATGGGAATATTTAATCAAATAAAATTGTAATCAAATAAAGAAATGATTTTAACTAGTATTAATATCATAACTCTATATACGAAGGTAGATGGAATCCTTTTTATTTTCGTAAAAATTGTTAAGGGTTTTCCTTTCTTGCATTGTCAGCAAATTTTATCATAAAAAACCTAAAGGATTAAGGGGACGTTCTCTTTGTTTTGGATCAAAAAATCGATTTTTTTTTTTTTGCAAAAATTGAAAGCCACATATCCGTAGAATATGTGTGTGAAAGGATTTTTCGATACGATGTATAGTTTGTCAATGAGAGCGTCTCGAATAAACCTGCGTCACGCGCGCTGTGGTATGCTCTAAAAACTTTAAACGCGTTTTTCTCGAAACCATGTTTTTCAACAAAATTACGCGTCCACAGCTTCATCCTGTGAACCGATTTGCTTCATGTAAAATTTTTATGAAAGTAGATGCTTTTCTTTACGGCACTAACCTACTCCGGAAAAAAACAATAATTTATTTATAAATTTTCAACGTGGTTTAACTGAAAAAAATGTACGAAAATCGAACTTTAAAATTCGAACGCTCATTACGCGGTCAATTTATGGCCGCATTGTGATGCCACTAGGTTAGTGCCTCGCACAAGTATATTAACTTAACATAATGGTAACAATTTTCTATTTCTGTTGACTACAAGAGGCTGCAGGCTCGTAATTTTGGGACGATGTTTGCCGCGCGGAGGCAGACGAAAGCCGCCATTTTGCAGCCGCCATTTTGAATTTCACCATCAAATAAATTAAAAAAAATCTTGAATAATAAACGAATTCAAAAAGCAAAACCCGAAGTTCGTGCGCCTTTTCATTATCCCACAAAAAATTGACGAACTTTGCCTTCATTTCGACCAAAACAAAGAGAACGTCCCCTTAAGGCTTGAATCTTCATTTTCAAGCCTTTTCTTACCTCACTCCAAAGGTTCCATTCTCGGCAATCTTCTCCAGCACCCGCACCACTTGCAGCCGCAGAGCATCCCGTCGCCGCCGTCGGCGCATGTTCTCCTGCTTGCGATCCACCGCCTCCCGGATGTACACCACCAGCTCCTCCATCAAATCCCTGAAAGAAGGCAAGCATACATAAGTATTTAGTAAGAAGGAATAGATTCCAGTTAGACATGGCTTAGGGACTTACTTGAGCGCATCGTGGTTTATCAGACCCAAGGCGTTCACGGCGGCATCGCGCACATCGACAACCTCGCAGCGGAGCAGGGGAACCACCAGCTTATAGAGGGCATGTGGCGAGGCGCTCCCCATCGCCGACTTGTCACTGCGATCGGCGTTCAGGGAGTCCGGCGATGAGCTGTAAAACAAATTTACGGCCATGGATTTTAGTGTCAAACAGCGAACAGCGGAGCGCACCGGGGGCAATAATTTCTGTTAATGTTGCTTTCTGGCTGGAGGGTGCTTGTGCTGCCTTGGCAAGGTCATCATTTAGCGAAAGTCCATAAAGTTTACTGCGATTTAAACTGGTCTGTAAAAATTCGCTCACTTGACAACTTCGAATTCCAGACCGTATTTTGCATATACACAAACACAGGTCCCTGCTCAGTACCTCTTTTTTTATTCCGCGGTGCAACAATAAACATTATGAATTTTATATTTAAAATTTTCTTTCAATTAAAACCCATTTCCTTTTTTTTCCTTTCGTTTTCCCGTTTTCCCTTTTGCAAGGGTCGGTCAGAAGGAATAATAATAAATGACAGCAAGCAAATAACAATTTTATAAACATTTTTTGCTGCTGAAAAAAGCGAACACGAAGCCAAATCAAGCTCTTGTGGGTTTGGACAGTTGGAAAAAGGAGGTTTCGCAAATTGTGGGGGAACTGGCTGACATGCGCTATATGAAAAATAAACAAACTTGTCTTAAAATTATTTTCCAGCACATAGCAAACAAGGGGGCGTGTTCGTTTCAGAGGCGTGTTGCACAAAAGGAAAAATAGAGGGAGACGAGCGAACTGTTTGCCAAATTATTATACGGCAAAAACTCAATGAAAACCAGGCAAATGGAAATGGGAAAACATATTTGAAATTCAAAGTCAAATAAATTCAAATTTAGCTACAAATAAACTAATTCAAATAGATAACTTTACTGACCAAGACAACATATATACTGCTTTAAATATTGGGTTTTACAATGACTTCCTAAAGAGCTAAGGAAAATAAATATTTTAAAATTGTGCCTTCTAAGAAACTTAGATTTCACCTGGAGGTTTGTAAATTAAACACATGGACTTTATTTTTTTAAGTAAAAGTAAAAGCAGTCAAAGTAAAATAATCTAACTCTTGGTGTTTTTGAGAATAACTGCAACTAAACAAACTCTAGAAAAATATATACTATTTTATCTGTGCTTATTTAAAAGTGAAAAACAAAACTCACGCAAAATAAAGGATTTAAAACTAAGGAATAGCTTAAAAATTTTGATACTAATTCAAAGCGTTTTTAATTTCATGCCAAAGCTACATACACAAAAAAACAGAGACACGCAACAAATATAGATAGGATATAAACACAGAAATATTCACATTTTGCATTCAGAATTAAATTCGGGAATTTAACAAACAGTTGGGAAAAACTGAGGTAAAGTTTTGTTGGTATTTTTGTTGCAATATTGTTTGGTTTTGGTTTAGGTTTTGGTTTTGATTTGGTTTGGTTTTGTTTGCTTTACCCAAGTCGTTTTTGGCGCGCCTCTTTGCGTCCATAGGAGAGTGGCAGCGTGAAACGCGTGACGATTCCCTCTGGTCCAAAAACATTGGATGGTATATTGTCCAGGGAATCGGACAGCGAACGCGAGTCCGACTGATCTTGTAAACTATAAATTACAATCCATATATATTCATTGGTAAACAGAGCAGGTTTATATGGTTTCTGAACGACTTGTGGATGATTCGATTCTGATTTATATGATCGAGATTTGATGTACGCATCTCACAGATATATTTCACGATTGCAAACAGTTAGCCAATCTGTATGCCCGACATCCATGGGATGTTGTCTTTTGGTGTGGACACAGACTTTCTCCTTTACGAAAAAACATGGGTGCAGATTGGGTGATAGTGGAATGTGGGAGTGGGCGTGGATTTTTTCGAGTAAAATCCCCATTTTTATTGACATTTTCCGTTGGCCAACATTTGCACACTGATGTGATGAAAATGTTTTGTGTGGGTTTCCGCATGTGTGTTGTGGGTTGCAATATTTCCCAATATAATTCAGTTAAATCTAGTTAAATTTGAAACGAACAACGAACAGCTGAAGTTCAATGATACAATTAAAAAACATTTAAAATGCAATTCAATAAAAAATGGTTCTGATAAAACTCGTCGTAAAAAATCTTTATAGTTTCTCTTGATAGTGCACTTTCTGTTAAATTTGTCCGTTTTTTTCCGTTTGAAGCACTTTCATAAGAAATATATTATTTTGTGTTCACTTTTTTTAATTAATATGTGAAGTGCTTTTGACAGATCAATCATTTTATAATTGCCTTCTCTTTGGCTACATTTAAATAACAAATCAACTTCAAATTCCAACGATTAATACATTTTATGTTAATTTATTTGCAATGAATGCGTAAGTAGCTTAAATTGTTTATTTGTTCGCCGCACTTTACATTCGATTTATTTTGAACAGCTTTCAACATTATAAATCCTAAGCTTTCAAATTTACTACATCCCTATTTAACCTTTTCAACTGAAATAATAATCAGGCTAATAAACACACAGATGTGATGAACAAATATTGACACTGTTGCTTTAATGTTTGTATGTGTGCAACCTCATACATAATGTTCAACATGCAATGTTATATATAAATTTACAGTTAATATTTGCAGTAACTAATCGAGTGCAAGCATGTTAAACAGTCCAGCAAAACATACAACGTGGCGTATGAGTAACGCAGATGATGCAATCACAAAATATGATATATTTAAGACTCATATTGGTTTAAAATTAAAATGCAAATTGAGTAAGACCATTCACACACAAATTTTAGAACACACAGAACTCATCTTTTTGTACAACTGCATGCAGCTTTACCTTAAATTTCGCTCGAAGAATGAATTTAAAACGGAGCCACGCCCCCTTGCCCACAAATTACACAAATTGCAGTGAAAAGTTTGTGAGTGATAGGAATGAAATAAACTGAATTTTCGTGCAGAGTTTGATTTTTCAATTTGACACCCACTCGTAATAACAAAGCACAGGTACACTACAGTATATAAACACTACATGTGAATTCGTGCCGAATGTAATCGAATGCGAAATGTTAGTCAAACAAAAGTAATGAAGTGTTTTGTTTGTTTTGAGTTTCGGTTGGGGTTAGTGAAAAGGACACAATTAATGCACAGAGAAAACTAAAACAGAAATCGCCAAATACATTATTCCATTTTAAATTTAGATTTGTACAAGCTAATTCCATTTTAAGCAGGCAAAATTTCCTATTTAAAATTAATATTTATATTGCTTCATTGTTCTTTTGAATATTAATTTTATGCAAATTTAAATTTGAGTAGTTTTTCTCTGTGTGAAAATGATTGACAAGCGCTTTGCGTTTCCTCACTCACCTCAAACTCAAATCTGGTGAAGCACAACGAACGGCAACACTGGGGATTTGGGGAACCAGACGCATGGCACATGCCACCTGATTCCTCCAGAGGCGCAGATACGAATCCTTCTGGCTCTCGGTGGGCACTTTCTTGGTGGGCGCCGAGCTCCTCAGCAACGAAGCTCGATTGTCGCTCACGGGGCTGCATAATAGGGAATAATTTAATTTTATTTAGCATCATGGATGAGTTCGTTTCAACTTACGTGGGATCTATGACACTGTAGAGTGCATTGAGGCGCGTAAAGCAAATTGGCCAGGCCTGGGCCACTGCCGAAGGACACTGCTGCAGGATGCGCTGTCGCTCCAGCAAGCCAAACAAGCAGGTGGCCCAGGGATCGAAAGGAGGTTGTGGGGAGCTGGCCACCGCAGCCGAGGCATTTGCCGTTGAGCTGGATTGCGACAAATTAAGCGTGGATGTTGAGGACTTGGAGTTGTCTGAAATAAATACAAAATCTATTAAATCCATTAAAAATTATTCAACTTTAAAGGTATCTCTACCATCTGTTAGGCCCGCCAGCCAAACGCCACTGGATCTTTCGGCTATCCACTGAAGATCAATGCAGTTGGCATTCAGAATAGCCGTCTTCTCCGCTTGTGGCAGCAGTGGCAGGCACTTCTCAACGATCGCCGGCACACAGCGATCCATGACATCAATTAGCGGTGGCTCTGTTTCCGGAATACCCAACGTCCGCATCAGATTCTTCACCTCCTTGAGGATCATGGCGGCCAACTTGCGCAGATAGGGCCGATAGTTGCAGAGCAAGACCAAAGCGAAACCCTCGACAAAATGCAGAGTGGTGGCCAGCGGAATCTCGTTCTTTTTGCCCACATCACCGGCCATATTCAGCACCGTATGCTGGGTGATGCTCGACATTCCGCTGGAGGTGGTTATGCTGGAGGCAGCACTGCTGGCTGTGTTTAGATTCTGCTGCTTGGACAACTGACTGCTGGCGGTGTCCTTCGCTGGCGCTGATGATGCCGCCTGCACCACCGTTCCCGTTCCCGTTGCGGTGCCTGTGGCCACCACTTTGGGTTGTGCTGTGGCAACCACATTTGTGCCGCCAGTGGGAGCACTTGCGGCATTATTGCCATTCACAATGATGGCACAGCGCCAGATGTTGAGGAAGTTGAACAGGATGCGCGTGCAGTTCTCCAGCAGCTGCGGATAGGTGTCGGTAACGTCGCGCACCAGAAACTGAGTGTAACCGTGCACGACATCCTGACGCCAATCCGGAAAATCTATAACCAACGTGGTAAGCGACTGGTGCGTTAGTATTCGCAGCTCCTCGTCCATGTGGACGGTTAGCCGGGAGAGCAGATCCACCAGTTCATGGGCGGTCATCGTATCGGGAATCAAGCGCGGCACGGCAGCCACACAAGTTCGGAAGAGATCGATGCGCGGCTTCCTTTCACCCGAGAGCATTTCATCCGGCTCCTTGTTCTGGTTCTGCGTGTTCGTCATCATCAGTGGACGACCGTAGTGCACATCCAAAGCCCTCAAAATGTCTACAAAAACTCGGCGAACGTGTGGGAAGTACGTGGACATGCCAATGCTCCGCGCAGTGTCATCGGTTAGCATCTTGTTGATGTACGTCTTCTTCACACGAAGCGTATTACCGGATGGAAGGGCTGGCACCACTCTGGGCATCGGCGGTTCACCCGCCTTCTGCTGCAGTGAGTCGGCGACGACCAGGAAGGCTCGCAGTCCGATGCTCATGCGTTCCGGGTTGAGGATTAGCTTGATGGAGCGACCAACGCACAGCAGATCGTAGACAATCTCTCGCATTGCAAAATCCAGGCGCTCCTGCGCAATGAACTGAATGATCTTCACGAAGATATTTAGAGGGGTATCGCGAGGTACAACTCCCTTGGAACCCCTGAAAGGTTATTTAATTTGGAGAAATTAGTTTAAAAACTTAATAAATTAGTAAGTAAACTCACTTGGGGAACAAGGAGTTCACAATGCTCTGCAGGCGGGAATGCGTGGCCGAGTTGGACTCGCACTTGATGCGGATCATGTAGACCCAAAGTAGACGGTACAGCGACTCCAAAGCCACCCGACTCATGTTGGCATCGCGGTTCTTCAGATTGCTCAGACACATGGCCAGAAAGTAGTGCCAATAGGTGAGGAAGAAGGTCTTCTGCGAGACGCAGAGCAAGCAGGTGACCAGCGGGAAGAGAGCCAAACGATGCTTTGATTTTGTGGAGGCATCCAATGTCTGCACATAGAGCAGCTCCACAAAGTTCTTGACGCAAGGAACATTCACCTCGTTCTTAACGGCCTGTGGGAGAATAATTATCATTTTTACTGCTTAAAAAATCGAATATTCTTTAACATACCGCTGCCACAGGCACCAGGATCTCCACAAAGAGTCCTGCCAATGCATGTTTAATGTCCTTGTCCTTCACTTCGAGGAAGTACTGACCGCACTCGTGCATGAACTGAAACGAGGCCTCGAACTCCTCGATGGGCACCATCTTGACCCGGAAGAACTTCATGCCCATCAGCAGGGAAATGATACTCTGTGTGGTCGTGGGCGATGCCTCCTTCCCGCGCAGCTCCTTCAGTTCGCTCATGAAGCGCTTGCGCACCGATCCAAACCGACTCTGGGCCAGCACACCAATCACCTCGGCATACAGATCAGCGATCATGTGGATATTCATGCCATTCGGGTTGTTCTGCAGGCCATCCTTGTACTTGAAGTGCTTGAAGGCCAGGTTCTCGATGCTGCGCACCAGATCCTCGTGACCCGGATGGTAGGGCAACTGTTTGAGGATCTCGATGAGGGCCAGACAGAAAATGAACTCCACAGCCGCCTCCCTACGCTGCAGTTGGAAATCCAAATCCACCGTGGGTTTGTTGCTTCCACCCGCCTGCGAATTGCTGCCACTCGGCGCCGGTTTCTTGAGGTCGTTCTTGATCTCCATTTCGGACAACTGGCGACGATGCCAGGCGAGCAGAGTGTGCAGCAGGGATGGCAGGCAGTGTTCGGCCACGGATCCCAAGGCCGAAAGAAGCTGATCGAACTGCTGATCCTCGCCGCGCTGCAGCAGCTTCGATAGATTCTTGTCGGCACTCTCCAGCATCACCAGCTCAATTTTCTTCTCCGCCTGGGCGGTAAAATCGCTGAACAGGTTCCGCATCACAATCTCGCCAGGACGCGGAGCGGAGATCTCCACACTGGCCACGCTGGCGGCCAAGGCATGCATCTCGGCTTGGGTGTAACTGGGCAGGACGTTGATGATCGAGCTCCTCGAATGGGCGCCCCAGGGAAGCAGCGATTGCCGCTGGGGAATCACGAGTGCCGGCGGTGAAGCGTAACTCTGGCGACTGGCCGGCAAACTTTGGTAGGTAATCGCTGGCGATTGCTCCACTCCGCTCACTGGCAAATGTTGGTTGTGTTGCTGCTGCTGCTGTTGCTGCTGTTGCTGCTGTTGTTGCTGCTGCTGTGACTGCTGCTGTTGCTGCTGCTGTTGCTGTTGCTGCTGTTGTTGTTGCTGTTGGTATTGCAGTTGCTGTGACTCATACTCTATGCCATAGGGATAGTCATCGCCGGGCAGTTGGTAATTAATGGGCGATGTTGTTCCACTGGCGGCGTTGCTGCCATTCGGACCATTCCGACTGGTCTTTGGAGTGGATGTGTATTCCGCCGAGTTTATCGAGTGACGCTGGCCGGGCGATCCACCGCTCGGATTGCCTTCCGATTGAGCCGATTCAACGTTATCGACGCTATCGCCGCCAGCCAAGTTCGACTGATAAGCATCTTCCTGGAAAACGCTGCGTTGTGGACTCTTTGTTGGTGTTGACACGCCCACTCCAACGCCTCCTCCGCCTCCGCCCGCTCCTCCCACCGCAGCGGTCCCTGCTGTTGTTGCTGTTGCTGTTGTTGCTGCTGCTGTTGTTGTTGCTGCAGCAGCTGCTGCGACTGTTGCGTTGTTGCTGTTGTTGGGACTGCCGGTGGTGGAGGGCGAGCCAGCCGGTTCGCTGCTCAGGTGCTGCTCATTTGGGTTTTGATTTGTGCCTGGTTAAAAAAAGAAGAAAGCCCATTATCATTATCGGTTTTACGATTGAACGGATTACGCTTATCAGTTATTTATAGGCACGGCATTACATGTTCAGATAGAGCCACAAAAATGAATCATTCTACTTGCAGAAATCAATAATTAGACTAGCTCATGAGAGAAATCATTTACAGTATATATCAGCTAAGTTTTTTATTATGTATTTTTATTTTTAAGTAAATTTTATTGTTTACAAAACATTTACTTATTTTGTTTTGTTTTCAATACAACACATTTATATATGAAAGGAATTCCTTTTAGGTTCTATTTTTATTTTACTTATTAAATAACTTAAATTGAATTCGTGCCAATTTTAAAACCCAAGCTATTTGTTCAAAAACGTAAAAATATATCTACGTTTGGACCAAATTAGACACGAAGTGACGTTTTTTTTATTATTTTGACATTCCTAAGTTTGCTTATAAGCGATATATACTGTATGAAATTTTGATTTGTGATCTGTTGTTTTATTTGTTTACCCAACCTTGGTTCTAGGACACGCCTATAAAGCGAAATCTGTAAATAGAAATTATCATCAGCAACCATCAACAATTTAATCATCATCAAGTGTGGGGGTGTGGCAAGAACACGCCCCAAAAACTCAAATTAGGGGAGAAACCCGAAACAAACTCCCTTTATGGTCCCAATTCCGAACTTTGCGACTGTTTCGTGTCGAGTTATCATTCAATAAGTTGTTTCCTATATCTTAATTGCCTGGAAATAACTGTAAACTTGTTATTGCCATATGGCCTGATGGATTTTTATCCATCAGCCATCTGCCAAAGACATATGTACGTACAACCTCTGCAGAATATGCAAAATAATGATTACAATAGATGACTTTGTTTCCTTCTGGCAGCCCTTATCTTTTTATGTACAGTGATAAAAAAAAAATCAAATTCTAGCTAAAGATGTCAACATGGATGTGTAATAAAAGTTTCCAAAATATTGTACAGCTAATAATTTAAAAATATTTATAAATGTGTTCTGTTTAAAACAAAACAGAAAATATTTTGTGACAGGCGACAAATAAAGTTTACCCACTTATTGCCCAACCAAAGGAACTTTGTATATTATAAAGGTAAATTTTCAAGACTTATCCCTACCCGGAATTCCTTTAAAATCGAAATCAATCAATAGAGCAAGACACGATTGCCTCGAGTGTCCTTTAGGCCGAGTCAAGTACAATTGTATGTGGCCGGTAAATAATAGATGTTGGTACCAAACGTAATCCAAACGATGTGCCATGTGTCATGCATCGCAGTCAGCTGTTTAAGTTTCGCCCGAAGGTCTGTTAGAGTTCAGGGTAAAGGTTTCCGTCGCCCTTTTCGGTGAATAATTGATACAGTCGAAGTACAAGGTAATTTAGAAGGCTCACGGGGACAGCAAAGGTTGATCCCTTACTTTCAAGCAAACGACATGAAATCTTCGTCAAGGAAATTGGCTAAAGACAACCAAGTTTAGGCAATTAAATGTCGTGCGCAATCAACGGCGGAATAAATAATGTTTGGAAATAGAATTGAAAATGTTTGACATTTCACTAAACACATGTGTGTGAAGAAAATCGAAAAAATTCAGAACGCAATCTCAAACAAAATGCGAAAACATATGTATATACGTTCGCATTATTAATACCGTATTAACACGCTCACCCAAATCGTCTTCCGAAACGGAACGTACGTCTTATAAAAGCTCTCTGGATGTGTCATATAATAGCAGCAACAAAAACACAAACAACCCAACTCAACGCCACTTATGAGATGTTCGACGAACCCGAACAAATATCTCTCTGCTAACCGATTAATCCGTCGCACTGGGCCAACTCAAATCCAAAATAAAACGGAAAAAGTTTTAAATAAAAACTGCAACAGAGGCAGGAAAATAAGGCACACAGCTGATAATTCGGGTATCGACTTTAAAATACCCATTGGTCATTGTTTTCTTAAAAAATTATGATAGGAATAACACATTTTTGTAGAATCTTTTTTAATTCTTTATGTTAAGTTCTTAAATTGTCTGGATATTGTAAATAAATTCATATTAAATATTAGATATTTTGTTAGTCAGAATTTCAGCATAATCAGTATTTCAGTACTCATCCAATATAGCTTTGCATTGCTTTTGTATCAGCTACTAAAACGAATTGTCTTATTTGTTTTTCTATTTCTTTTATTCTTCTTTAACAAATTCGATTTCGTTGGAAAACGTTAATTCTATAGTTCGGCGCATGGAAATATTTTTAGCTGTTTTTTTATGTCGCTGTTGAAAATTTTGAGCATCCCATAGATTTTCGCTTGTGTTTCCCCGTTTGAAGAATGTTCTTTTTGTTTATGAGGAAATCAAAAGAAAAATTAAGGTCCAAATAGTAATAAATCTATGAAAAACGATTTAACAAAACCGCTTCAATTAATTCGACGCAAATCCATTGATTTATGGTAAGATGATAGGAAATCCAACTTCAATTCAAAATTATTGTGTCAGATAAGAAGTAAATATTCTAAAAACAATAACGAGTTTAAGCTTATAAACAAAGGCTTTTGTCGAAAATGCTTAATAAAAAAAAAAAAACAGGCGATAAGTTCACCACAGATATTTATTTTATTGCTGCTGTAAAATAAAAAAATTGTTTTTAATAGGTAAAAACAACTTACAATTTTCTGCACCAACAATAAGTAGTGTACAAACATTTAACTTTTTATTAAATTAGAGTCTTATCGAACATTTATAATTAATCCATCAAACTGCGCCCTTGAACCGAATGTATGGAGTTTATTTTCTTGCCATTTTTGTTTCGATTATCTGCCCAGCAAGTGACATCGAAAACAATGAAAATTATAAGAACTTCGTAACCACACCGATAAGATAACTTTAAAGACAACCATGTAAACTTTTCGCCTCTCCATTCCCTCGACATAAACTTGAACTTCGACAAACAGTCGAAACCTTCGAATTGTTTATCACATTTATTTTTATCGTTTGTAAACCAAACATTTCCTGGATACATATGTGTCACCCCATTCTTTTATTATCGTTTTTTCCTTACTTCGCAAAAAAAAAAAAAAATGTATATACAGTTTCCAACCGCAAAATTTTAAACACAAAACTAACCTTTTAGTTTTTTTGGAGTCCATTGAAAATTCCATAACATGAAAGTGGAGCATAAATTTGTAAGGGAATCGCAGCTGGGAAAACGATACTCGGGCAGATTTACAATTGTTCTGCCCGACTGAAAAAACAAAGGCGATAGCGAGTGTATTTAACACTAATTAACACGAACAACTATTTGCAATTAGAGGCACGTGATTTGGTGCTTCTACACACAACCAACAAGTTAAATTTATTAATTGTACGTTCAATTGTTTATTTCACTGTGAGAGATTGTATTAGGTTTGATTAAAAACGGTTCGGCTGATAAGACGGTTTAGAACTGTGTCACTGGGCTAATATTCAGGTTTATTTCACTATAAAAACGCTAGGGGATTAGTAAAAATTGAATAACACAGTATTTTTTCATTGTTAGAATCATATTTTTTATGACTTTTACAGCCGCTTTGGAGCTTTACGTTTTTTATGCTAATTAGCCAGTAATAATGAGCTCAGCGTTTTCGTATCTAAAACGAAACTTGCACACCTTTTTATTTGTTTACTTATTGGCTGATGTCAAATTACTTTGGCAATTTGAAACTAATTGTTTATGTGGGACCGATAGAACCGATGATTTCGATATGGCCGCCCGTATAGACGGATATTATATATAGTGGTATATATAGACGGGTAGCACACGTTAAATCCAAAATAAAAATTTCGAGCGGACCGCAAAGTGCAAAATGCGAGGCAAACGGCGGCGACGACGACGATTTTCGACTGCGGCGAAAACGAGCCGAAAAAAGCGGACGAGCTAAAGAAAAAAAGAGCGAGCGACGTCAATGGCAGCAGAATATAACAACAAAAACAACAACAACAACAAAAAGCCCAAACAAAAATCAACAAAAAGTGAGCAACTCGCGAGCGCTCGCAAATTGGAAGCTCGAAATCAAAACAAACGATTATTGTCTATTTAAAATTATGATTAACAATTGCGAGAGGGCTGAGCGAGCGTAACAGCTGTTTTCTAACTGCGGCGAAATCGAAATCAGCTGAGTTGTTTTCAAAACAACACTCATACGCCGCGTTGCACGAAATGAAACTAAACGAGCGATGATTAGACCACTCGTATGTTTATTTATTTGCGTTCTCTCTTTGGCGGATTCGAACTGATTAGCACTGCCAGTGGTGTACATATCTGTCGCATTAGCTTCAATTTACGGACGGACCTGACTAGCGCACCCCCGCCGACAAGTGCTAAATGGAAAACTTTCCGCCCTCGCCGTGGAAATCCCGCAGAGCAGCCAAGGCTGGAGCTAAGCTACAACACTTCTGAGGACGTCCTTAACCCGAATTCCGTGCGCTTATAAGCCGCGAAAATCCAATTCAAGGCAAGAGCTTTACGTTTCCTAGAAAGGATTACGAATAAGCATTCAAACAGACAATAAAACTTCTTTAAAACTAAAACAACCAAAAAACACAGCTGAATCAGAATATATTTAAACAAATTTACAAGCCTTAGTTTGGTACCAGGAAATTCATTCAATTTAGTTCTCTCAGAAATTGAGATTAACAATTGCGAGATAACTTTGAAAACAACACTCATACGCCGAGTTGTACCAAATAAAACTACATTTTTAAATAAAAACCCCTGGATAAATACAAGAATATTTTTTAAAACCGTCATAGAAAAGTACGAGTTACCTAAGCTCGGCTGAATGTAAATAAATCTCCTGAGTGTACTAAAATGTTTTCCATTATAGAAATGACCAACTGCCTTGGCGAATTTCTAAACAAACTCTGTGCGAATTGATTTCACCAACACAATAAATAAATAGGCAAACAAATAAAAAACAAAGCCGAGGCTATTTTGTAACGACAAACAGGTAAATTGATTATGTACGCGTCCAGATTGTTTGCCATACAGTTGAATGCATGTACGAGAAATTAGCACTTGGCAAGGAGCACTTTCCATCGGTACAATATTGGTTAGGCGAATTAGTTAACTGCTTTTTATTGCAAATTACATCACGCCCACCGCATAACTGGGAGTTTGCTAGCTAGTAGCTACTAAATGATGGACAGACACGCGATTCGCGAAGGTAAACACGCGACCGGAACGCACTTTACACCCGCCGAAATAAACACTTGGGGACGCACTTGATTTCTGGGCCTTAAGTGGGCTATATACTGCCGCTCAGCTGATTTTTCGTTATATTTTTCCCTTTGGTACTTTGTGGCTCGACGGCGGGCAAACAAATGAGAATGTGAATGAGAATGAAAATGGGAATGGGCTGATGTACGAGCGTTTGGAGCCCGAACTTATGCAATTTCGCACAGGTGATGGTAACGACGACTCGACATTTGACTTTGGATGGCTGGCGGAATTTTCTAATTTTGCCACACTGCGCTACAAAATCCGTTGGATAACTGCCAGGTGGTGGTGGCACAAGCCCGCCCCGAAAAAAATAACAACAAGCAGAAACTGAAACAGAAAAGTCCAACCCACCCATTGACGCCAGACATTTGTTTTGTTTTTCTTCCTCTTTCCGTTTGCTGAATGTCATTATCAAGGTTTATTTGGCACTCTTTTTCCCGCCTTTTTTGTTGGTTTTCTGAATGAAAAGCGTATAAATGAGTGGGTGGAAATGTTTTTGGGGGTGTGTACCGGGGGATCGTTGAGATAGGGCCCCATCGGTTCGGGTCTCGGCTTAACGTCGCGTAAATCAATCTCAGAGTATAATGAAAAATTGCTGTGCGCCAAAAAAAGAACGGAAAAAGTTGAGTCAATAAATTTAAGAAGACAAAGGGAGAGATGTAAACTGCATTATAGGCACTGTGGCTCTAGATTTATTTTTTGTCGACCAATATTGTATTGCTTGAGGATGCAAAGTTTATTTAATAATTTTTGTAAATATGAAAACGTTTTATTAAGGTCGTCTTTTCTACAAATTGATTTGACTAATTTTTTATAATAGATGGACTAAACATTATTTTTGCTTGAATTACTACATTATTAAGTCGCTCTCTCAAAGAATAATCGTTCTTTGACGACAAATTAAGTTTCGGATACACTTCTTATTTACAAACGCAAGACGCTTTTTTTAAGCTCAAACAAAGACCATAAAATGCGATTAAAAAGTCTTACTTTGATCTAAATCTGGGGCAGAGGTAAATATTTGTAAAGATACACAAGCACATCGGCGATTCTTTGTGAAGTCATAAACACTTGGGGCTCCTAAGTGTGGAGTTTTCAAAAGTAAACAAACTGCTTCCTGATCAAGGGGAATTCGCTTCACTGTAGTGGCACAGTGAATTAAAACCATAAATTACTGGATTTGATTAGGTGCGCAAGTGTGAGTGTCCGAAAGAAAGAGGTTGAGAGTGTGTTTGTATTCCGATGGCCGGCAATCAAAGTGAATCATCACTTAACAAATGAGAAAGACAGAGCAAACAAACAAACGGATAACGGATAAACAGATGCAAAAGCGCCGACGCAGACAGCTGAAGGTGTGAGTTAAAGGGAAAGGGGGAGAAAAAAGAGGTAAAGAAGTGAGTGAATTGCAGTCCGATAACGCACACACACGAGTGCACACCATTAAACAAAAAGAGGGCGTAAACAATTGGCAATAAAAACAAAGAAACCAAAATGCAGCTAGTTGCAAGAACTGCGTCCACTAAATAAAAAACTTAAATAAACCAGAAGGCTGTTTAAGGCCCAAAATAACCTTTCTTAAGCAGCTGAAAAGTTAAGAGCGCTATTGAAACCCTCAAACTTACCTGTATTACCTGGCTCCAAGGCAAACAAATCTTCTTGCAGCTCCAATGGATCCATTTTAAGCTACTGAAAGCCCTTATTTATTATTTATGGCTAAAAACAGCACGCGTCTGGGAAAGTTGCAGCTGCGGCCATTTTTTTTGTTGGCCAAACGTCGAAATTCACTTGGTAACCTCGTTACCGGTATTTAAACACACAGAAAACACTCACTAATCTCTTGGTACACTTGCACTTTATAAAAAACCACAATTTCCAATTTGATTTATGCAAGTTTTTGGGAAGTTTTTGTTGCAAACGTTGAACGAAAATTTACGCGTAGTGAAGAAGCAGAGAAATATCAAGCAGCTGTTTTTTGTTTTGACCAGGGGTACGTACTTTGCCGCCTATCGATAGGCAGCCTGCGTTACGTTACGTTACGTTTGCGCTATCGGCGCTCAGCTGTTTTTCCCGGCAATGACGTCACGCGTAGTCAGTCACTTTCTTGTATTTTGATTGGTATTATCAGATTATTATCGCATTTATCTACAAATACTTGACAAAACATAAATAAATGCGTGTTAATCAGGGCTCGACCATGTCGCCGGCAATTGCAATGAGTGGTTAGAAGCCTATTGTGATGGCCACACAATCAGAATTTGACGAGGCGCATAGGAGCTAAGAAGAGTCCCCCAATAAAATTGACAAAAATAAAAAGTAAGTAATCGCAAAATACAGTGTTAATTGTATACAACGAACTTATTTAAGCGGACTACAATCCGCGTATTTCTGTTACCTGTGTGATACCTGTTCTTATTTTAATCCAATTCATTTAGTAATTATTTATTAAAAGTACATTTAATCGAAGCAGGCAAGTTGCACTTTACTGAATTGTTTATGAAGTTAAAGGTGCGAATTTATTAGAATACAATTATTTAAAGTCCACGATAAAAATAATCAAGCTCAATTGGGCAGAAGTATATATATTTTAATTTTAAATAATATTACAATCTTGTTTGCAAGTTACAACTTAATTTTTCTGTAAAATTTCGTCTCAATCAAGGAATATATCTAACCTCCTTTACTTTTAGCTATCAACATGGAGGTGCCAGTTCATCCGCTCAGCCAGGATCCTACGGCTGCTTGGAAGGACATCAGCAAAACGCAGCGAGTGATCAAAGTGACGATGAAACCACCGACGACCACAGTGGCACCTAACAAGGCCCGAGTGGTTTGCATGTCGGACACCCACTCCCTGACTCCCTACATAAAATTCGACATCCCCGATGGAGATATATTCATCCATGCTGGGGATTTCACCAAGTGCGGCCAGCTGGAGGAAGTGGAGGAGTTCAACACCTGGATTGGAGCACTACCGCATCGTCACAAGATCGTGATTGCCGGCAATCATGAGCTGAGTTTCGACCGCACGTTCACTCATCCTTTTCAAAAGAATCAGGCCAAAGGCCATGCTTCGAGCAGCAAACACACCGGCATGTCCATCCTGGATGATCTGCCCACTTTGGGCAATGCTAAGGAGAACCTGGAGAGCGCTGTCCAGACGCAAAACGTACGAGAAGTTCTGACCAATTGTCGATATTTGGAGGATGAGCTGCTGGAGATTTGGGGCATTCGAATTTATGGCTCGCCCTGGCAGCCGGAATTCTGTCGCTGGGCGTTCAATGTTCCCCGAGGAGCAGCCTGTTTGGAGAAATGGAATCAAGTCCCGGAGGGCATCGATATCCTGGTGACGCACACGCCACCCGTTGGTCATGGAGATCTCTGCTGTTCCGGCGTAAGAGCAGGATGCGTGGAGCTACTTAGCACGGTGCAGCAGAGGGTGCGACCCAAGTACCACGTTTTCGGACACGTTCACGAAGGCTATGGCATCACCAGCGACGGCAGGATCATCTTCGTGAACGCCTCCACCTGTGACATCAATTACCTACCCAACAATGCCCCCATCGTTTTCGATGTGACGCTGCCCCCCGGTTTTCGCAAGGATTAGTCCCCTTAGAAAGATTTTCATTCGCATTTGTTGCAGGTTCAATGAATTTATTTTTGTCACACTCTAAGTTTAAGTTAACTTAATAAGTTTAAAGAGATTTGAAAGATATCAAATTAGGTGTCCTTAGAGATTTCTAAACCATTAAAAAGTGCCGGTAATGAGTAAGTGCCATTACATATTTCTTCAAGTAGGTTGTAGAAGTTTTTATAGCACTATCAAAGTAAGACCTCTAAATATACTGACATGTATGGGCACCTAATATTTCATTTTAAATCTTTGAATTTATATGTTTAAATTTGATCGATAGGCCACCTGGTCCTGGAAAAACCTTGAAACGATGATCGTTGTTCTGCAACCCTGCCCCCCAGTTTGACATTACTCTTTGGCGCCTACTAACGGCGCTTTTCCAGTGACTCCACAACCATCCAACCAACCTGAGGCTGCACTTTTCGCGTGGCGAGACCAAAAAATAATATTTAAAGACAGGTCCCGTGGTCGTAGTAATTTTTAATTTGTATACCCCGATTTTAGCTCTGCAAAGAAGCACTCAAATAAAATGGTGAGATTAGAAAAATGTGTTTTTTACTTTTGGTTAAAAAGGGTGTAATAAAGTGTATAAAGTGGGAAGTGAAAATGAATAAAATTGGAATGAATCAAAAGTAATAAGAGATAAATGTGCTAAGAAATTCACAATTCCCTTAATGTGGAAAAACCTTTGTTTTAAAAATGCCAGTAAAATCCAATAAATAAATTATATAAAAAAATAATTAAAAATATATTATTATTTTATAATTACAGTAGGGCATGAACGTGGTCATAAAAAATATATACCAAAAAATTATTATTATCTTCTCCGAAATTTTTTTATAAGAGTATAAGGTTTGCATCAAAACGTAAATTTTTTTCTTATAAGGCAAAATTATTTATCTTTGTAAATGCAACCTAACCTAACCTTAAACAATGGCGCCTTTACCTATCAACCCATTAATTTTCTTTTATTCTCGCCAGCGCGAAGTGATTTCCATCCAGGTTGGCCAGTGCGGCATCCAGATCGGCAACGCCTGCTGGGAGCTGTACCTCCTGGAGCACGGAATCAACTTGGATGGCAGCCTGAAGAGCAAGGAGGAGCTGACGGCCAGTGGAAGCAGTGCCAGTGTGGGTCACGACACCTCGGCGAATGATGCGAGAACCTTCTTCACGGAAACCGGAAATGGCAAGCAAGTGCCGCGTTCGATTTTCGTGGATTTGGAACCCACGGTCATCGACGATGTGAGGAATGGCTGCATGAAGGAGCTCTATCATCCGGAACAACTGATTTCCGGCAAGGAGGATGCCGCCAATAACTATGCCCGCGGTCGCTACTCCATTGGCAAGGAGGTGATCGACAGGGTGACCTCGCGTCTGCAGAAGATTTCCGAGCAATGCGACAGCTTGCAGGGATTCCTCATCTTCCATTCGCTGGGGGGAGGCACGGGATCGGGGTTCACCTCCTTGTTGGTCGAACGCCTATCCACCGATTATAGTAAGAAGTGCAAGCTGGACTTTGCCGTTTATCCATCGCCGAAGGTCTCAACCGCTGTGGTGGAGCCATACAACGCCCTGCTGACCACCCACTCGACCATGGAGCACTCGGACTGTGTGTTCATGGTGGACAACGAGGCCATCTACGATATATGCAACAATAGTCTGGGTGTGGACAGGCCAGCCTATAGGAATCTGAATCGTTTGATTGCCCAGATTGTGAGCTCCACAACTGCCTCGCTGCGTTTCAGTGGCTCCATGAATGTGGATCTGAATGAGTTCCAAACGAATCTGGTGCCCTTCCCCAGGATTCACTTCCCCCTGGTGGCCTATGCTCCGCTGATGTCCGCTGAGCGGTCAGCCCATGAACAGCACGCCATTACCACGCTGACCAACGCTTGTTTTGAGTCATCCAATATGATGGTCAAGTGTGATCCGCGGGCGGGTAAATTCATGGCCTGTTGCATGCTTTACAGAGGGGATGTGGTGCCCAAGGATGTGAATGCTGCAGTGTCGGCCATAAAATCCAAGAGGCACATCCAGTTCGTCGACTGGTGTCCGACTGGTTTCAAGATCGGTATTAATTACGAGAAGCCAGCTTTTGTGCCGGATGGGGATTTGGCCAGGACATCGAGGGCCTGCTGCATGTTGTCCAACACCACCGCCATTTCGGTGGCCTTCTCCAATCTGTCCTACAAGTTCGATCTGATGTTCAAGAAGCGGGCCTTCGTCCACTGGTATGTGGGCGAGGGCATGGAGGAGGGCGAGTTCACCGAGGCCCGGGAAAATATCGCCGTTCTGGAGCGCGACTTTGAGGAGGTTGGCACGGACAATATCGAGGAGGACGGCGGCGACGACTTCGATGAGTTCTGAGATCGAAGATCACAGTTTCCTATCCCCAGATCCCTGCCCCAGTCATATTTGTATTCCATAAAAATATGTAAATAAACTAACAGAGCGTTTAAACAATCATGATTTTAACTTTAACTGGGAAGATTTAGTTAAGGAATAAAATCAAATATAAAAAAATTGGAAGTTTAGGCAAGGAATTTCTTTTTTATAAAGAAATTTTTCTGGAAAATTAGAAAAGTTTATTTGGATGGTTTATTTTTGAAAAGCCCGAATTAATTTATTTTAAATTAATTACTAATTACAAATGCCTCCAATTAGAGTAAAAATAAAAACACATAGTTGCTTTAGTTTTCTGTAATATTTTTTTGTATTTTTCTTTAGTTTTTTTGTTGTGTTTGTTTTGTTTATTATTTTTTAACGCCTATTCGCTATGTTCTTTTCAATTTTATTTTTTGTTTTACTTAATTTTACTAGATTTTATTTTGAACTTGCAAGTATTTTGCGTTTTATTTTTCTTCATGAACTTACAATAAAGAATCATCAAAAAGTTGTTGCACAGTGTAAAATTACAATATTTTTGTTGTGTGTGAGTGTATGTGTGGTGTTTTAGGTGTGTGTTGTGTGTGTGTGTTGGGTGTAGGTGTATATCTTCTACGGTGTTAATCTATAAATCTAAATTTCTCTCTAAGAGCAGGCCAATGTTTACACCAATCAACTGGGAATTATCGTTCGTGTTAACTTTTAAAATCAGAAAACGGCAAAAGTTTGTTTAAACAAAGATCCTACTGTACAAAGGAAAGGCATTGCGATTGTGTACTTTTGTTTTTGTTTGTGTTGTTTAGTGTTATATTTACGTTCCTATTTAGTATAATTACATAATGACGATTTCCCATCTACTGAGTTTGCATTTGCTTTAATTACAATAGTTAATCCATAAAAAATATATAACGATGATGATGGCAAAATATGTTTTTTTTTTAGTTTAAATTGTTGTTGTGGTTGTTGGTTGCATTACAAATTGCTGTTGAAGTTGTGTTTTCGCGGTAGCTTGCTAACGGTGTTCTGGTTGCTGTTTTAAACGTTTGCTGGTCTAACTGCCGTTTTGTTTGTTTGTTTGTTGGTTTGTTGGTTTGTTTTTAGTATGGAACATTTGAGAAGAGATACGAGACACTCTCGCCGTTGTGTGTCCGTCTCACGGCCTCGGCGAACATCATCGAGACATCAATGCACTGCAGAAAATAAAAAGAAAATTATTATACATTTTAACCAATTTAATTAGTAAAACGATTATGAAATATATAAATTTGTTTAACTGATTAAAGAATGAAAAGGAAAACAGTTGCTTAGAAGTAGAAAAAAGTATTTACTTATATCTTAAAAAAAAAACAACGTAGCAAATTAGTTTCAGATTATAAACCCACCTGGATTTTGGGACAATCCCGCATGTGTCCATCCTGTGGGATGGTGTTGGTCACCACCACCGCCTCGAAACAGGCATTGTTAATCCGCGAAATCGCGGGACCCGAGAAAATGCCATGCGTCAGAATGGCATAAACCTGTTAAAAACCGAAAAATACAATTTTAAATATAGAAATAAAATCAGAAAGTCAAGCAAACGCACCTTGGTGGCTCCAGCTTCCACCAATCGATCGGCAGCATGGACAATGGTGCCGCAGGTGTCGGCCATATCGTCGACCAGGATGGCAATCTTGTCCTTGACATCGCCCACCAAAACCATCGAAGCCACCTCGTTGGCCTTCTTGCGCTCCTTGTGTATCAGGGCGAACTCCACATTCAGGCGATCGGCAATCGAGGTAACACTAAAGAAAAGTTATTTATTAGATCATTGAATCATTACAGAGGTAAGAAATAAAACCTACCGCTTAGCACCGCCAGCATCGGGCGACACAATGATCGAGTTCTTCCACTCGGGAATGTTCTCCTTGATCCACTTGAGTACCGCTGGCTCGGCATAGAGATTATCAACTGGTATATCGAAGAAGCCCTGAAAGAATCCAATACAATTAATAAGTAACGAATCTAGTAGTCATTGCCCTTTTGTAAAATCATTGTCAAGCTTTAAAAATTTCGATTCCCTAGCATAACAATTTTGAACCCTCAATAGACAACATATAGCTCCATTTTATAAATTTAAAACAAATTGAAACGAAAGTGTCGCAAACAGAAAATAGAAAATCAAAAGAATGTCCCAACCGCAATCTCCGAAATTAGTGCAAAATATGGACGACCAGGCGGATCTGAAACAGTGGCTAAAGGAAGAGCGCATTATCCTTGACCTGCGTGCTCGGCGCCTCTTCTCCGATGTTTTGCCAGTGGCCAAGATTGTCAAGCGAAGCCATCCCCGTTTGGTGGATCTGCACAACTATCCGCCCAGAAGCAGTGTGGCTCTGAAGCTCCAAAGCTGGGAGACCTTCAACTTGAAGGTTCTAAAGAAATTGGGCATCAATATACCGCGTTCGGGATTGGAGAAACTTGCAGCCGCTGTGCCTGGAGCTATTGAAGCCCTATTCCAGGAACTGATTGCAGTGACCAAGTGCGGCAGCCCGAGACCAAGTCCCATGTTGGAAGTTTCACCGACGCGTTCGCAGAAAAGCGAAATGGTCAAACCTTTGGCTAACAAAGATACCCGGAAACGCAACCTTCAGCGATCCCTGACCCAGGTGATCGAGCGTTCATCCTCCGGTGAGAAGCCGCCCAAAGTACTGACCATGGATGTGGAGGTCGTGGTGAATGGCGAAACGAAGAAGGTGGCCCAAAAACTAGTGGCCTACGAACATTATGCCGCTGCCATGAGGAAAGGCGCCGAGAAGTCCGAATATATAAACACCATCACGCAGAAGGCGGAATATCTGGAGAGTATAATTGCCGTGAAGGAGGAGCGCATCTCCGAGCTGATGGATCAACTGGGAAAACTGTCGGTGAGCATTCTTTCCATGCGACCCATGCTCAGCGATAACGATGATGATAACAGGATCAGTATAAATACCCATACCCATATTAACGAAAGCGTTTCCGAGCCTTGCTTCCAACTGACCACCTAGCCAAACGAGGAGCCAAAAGGAGTCGCTTTCCAAGGATCTAGGATACAAGATTCCGAAGCTAAGACCAATTATCCTTTTTGAGATCGAGCCGCCGTTTGATCCTTTCATACAACAACTTTCCACCGAACTGAAAACTGAAAACAATACCTTTTCGACTCCGCTGTTGGACGACCGCATGTTATTGGATATGTCTCTACTATATATATTTTGTATTTCAATTTGGTTTCTTACAACAACAACACTTTCTTTGGCTTCAACCCAATAAACAAAGCGAAATTATGTCGTTCAGAGTGAATAATCGCATTTTGTTCAGCGTAATTAAGTTTTTGGCTGATAAATGAAATCTAGGCAGCGATAGGAAAAATGCATTGAAGATAGCAAAGATAACTATAAAAGTTGGTTCCTTGGTTTTCAATTGAATTTTGGTTCTTACATATATCTCCCTAATTATTTGTATAATTATTTATAATTTAAGCAGATAAATTTGTTCCTTGATTTTATTTGAATTTTGGTTTAATATCTCCCTCTAAATATTTGTAGCAATTATTAAGTTTCTCTTTTTTAAAAGCCTACAAGCCTCGCTTTTAAGCTTATTATATAATTTTAATATGATTTCATATTGACTGTTGTTTGCTTTATAAGTAGATAAATTAAAGAATAGACTTACCTGAATCTGTGAGGCGTGCAGATCCATGGTGATTATGTGATCAGCTCCAGCCACGGACAGCATGTTGGCCACCAATTTGGCCGAGATGGGCGCACGACTCTGTGCATTGGCCAGCGTAGAAAGAGATGTAACGAAAGGTTTCCATTAGCGCAACTAGTAGTTAGAATCTCAGTACAAATTACTTAATACTAGGCATTATGAGGAGTAAACCATGGAAATCAAAATCGAACATGGACACACATATGTATATAGACGGAAATCAACAAAGAGGTTAACGTTCCAATAGATTGCAATATATGGAGAGATACAAAAATTCATAGACAGAAAAGAGATTCAGTTGCGACAACACAAAGGACGAATGTGATTTGGTGCAGCACCCCAGGATAATAATGAATTGATCGAGGTCGAGAATGAGATATAATATATACCCAGGTGATGAAGGTGCAACGCCAGTTAGAGATAAACATATAAAGTAGATCGGTTAATACGCAAACAAGTGCAAAGAAAATCGAACAATTTTTGCTTTTCTTTTTCTTTCTGCTATTTTTTTTTCAGTTGATTTGGGGCTTGGGTTTTTCGGTTGTTGGTTGGTTGTTTATTTCGATTCCGAACTGAACTGAGAACAAGGCATGCAAAACGTCGATCGGATATATAGAAGTGTGTAAAGATAGGATGGGGAAAATATATCACCGTCTGGTATCATCATCAACTCAAAAGAAAAAAAACATTAACAAACGCAACAAAGCAAAAGGCTTAAGACAAAAATAATCTAAAGCAAAATGTTGTCTTTTTTGTTTTTGTTTTAGTTTTAGTCCCGCAGCAGCATTAAAAATAATAATGCCTGGGATACAGGAACTAACCGAACTACTCACAGTATATTGTTTGGCTGAAAACTCCTAAGCTCAGAACAGAATTGGAATTTTGTTTGTATTTATTTTGGGTAATTTGATGCAATAGAGAGACAAAGAGTATAAAAAGAAAAAGAAGAAAACACAAAAAGTTCAGAATAATTCAGAGTTTTAAAATTAAAATTAATGTGTGGTGGGGAAAAAGGGGGTCATAGGTCATAGTGTATCATAAGTTAACAAACTTGTAATCCGAATTGCAAAGGAATGTAATGTTAGTCAAGTGGGGGGGGGGGACTCATTTCAAATCAGGTTGCAGTGCCAATTCAATATAGTACTATATATTTTCCTTCCATTTCAACTGATTATATTCTTTTGAATGTCAAGAAACTCATTTACAGATTACAGAAATGAAAAATATTTGTGCATTTTGCGCGCTTGACCCCCAGGGTTCATCGTCTATACAAATACACAGTACAGTATATATACCCCCCATTGCCGATCCGATCGTCTGACGTCACAGGGGATTATCTAGCAACGGAAAAACTTAATCAAGTCGAATGGAAAATATTTTTTTTAAGCCCCGAAAAGGAGGCTGTTGTCGGGGACCGATAAGACAAGAACAAAAGTGCAAGATCACAACAATCAAGACAAACAAACAAACAAACAGCAGTCTAAACAACACAAACAATAATATTTATTAGAGGTCCGTTATTAAATATAGATTAATTAATGTAAATTTTTATTTCGTGTTCTCATTTCATTTTTTTTTTTTTTTGTGGTTGCAATGAAGAGCCGCCGAAACAAAAACAAACAGAGGCAACGAAAATATGTGGAAAATTTTTATTTTTCATCGCCAATTAATATTCACCAAATTATTCTGTTGGTTAGCCAAGAATTTTTTAAGTATTTCGTTATTAGTTTATTAGCGGGGAAAGGAGAAAGGATCTAGAGGGTAGGACATGCAGAGTAGACAAAAAGCGAGTTTCTCTAGAGAAACGAGAATCTTGTTATGCCAGACGCCAAAAATTTCCTTCGTGAGTTATGAGTTCTGAGGATGAGTTTGCCATTTTGATATTCCCCTCCAGATTGTCTTTGTGTTTCATTTTTTTGTTTAGGATTGAAAGAAAATTAATAAGAATTTTCCCATTAGATATAGAAGAGAACATAAAGTGTGAATTAGGTGAGCGTTTAGTGGTTGAAAAGAAGGTACAAGGTAAATACCCTAAATTTCCAATCGTAGTTTTTCTTGGCTAGTTTCTTGCTTTCCGCATTTTCCTCACTGCCCGCCAACTTCACGGAGAAAGAGAGACAGAGATCGATAGAGAAACGGAGAAAGAGAGAGAAATACACCAAGGCACACACACACGCGCGGGTAGAGGGAGATAGCAGGAGGGCGGGAAAGAGAGAGCGAGCATGGTATTTAAATAAAATAATTAAAGTATTTTAATCACAAAAAGGCGGGAAAATTAATTAAAATATATCACTAAATATTCATTAGATAAATTTTCCACATTTTCCAATTGCGTGCGTTTGTACATTTTTCGCCAGCTTAGCTTCGTTGCAAACATTTTGATAAAAGTAAAATCAAATTTAACTCGATTAACAAAATGCATTTGAAGAACACACAATCACACACAGAAAAGAGAGAAGTATATATAGGATAAATTAATCGGTTATATAGCATTGAACAATCGAGCTAAACGTTGGGGAAATTAATCATTCGGGGGAAAAGTTTACGCGCTTTTTCGTTGCCACTTTTCCCCAATCAAAACAGAGTGTGTGGGCTTTGAGAGTTGGAGTAATAATCGGATCATCTAGAATTAATTGTTTACATTGCTTTTCTTTGCACGTTGGATCCCAGAACAAAAGGATCCATTGAATAATACCGTGTCAGTTTTGCTGCGGATCGGCCGGATCGTGTTGAGGCAAACCTACCTTATCTTTTTTGTCTTGGCGGGCATATGGAAAGCAAGGAATCACAGCTGTAACACGAGAGGCTGAGGCGATCTTGCACGCATTGATCATGATCAGCAGCTCCATCAAGTTGTCGTTGATCTCGCCGGATCCCGACTGCACGATGTACACATCCTCGCCGCGCACCGATTCCCCAATTTCCACACTGCAAAGACAGAGAACGGGGCATTCAGTTGAAAGGCTGGATGGGGGAGTGCACTGGGAGAAAATATCGGCAAGTTTGGGTTTAGTTTTCGCACCAAAATTGGCTTGAGTGCAAGAAAAATCAGTTTAAGATTGCAGAAAACTTGAGCATTTTACATGATAAAGAATGAATTGAATTTTTTTTTAATTTCCGAAATGTCTCAACCTATCTGGAACCCAAATTAATTAAACTTTTTATTATAAAGTATGAGTTTTAACCCTTTAAGCAACCTTGGAGCTTCACTTTGAATGTGCCTTGAATAAATTTCACTACCTTGGTCTGGTTTAATTTCAATTGTTTGATTTAAGCTCGCATGTCTTGGCAACACTTCTCAAATTCTGAAGCTCTCAAAGTATCCTGTTCGTTACATTCACAGCCCAACCCTTTCCTTAGTTATTGATAGTCTAAACAATACACGCCCACCCCGACAACGCCCACAATTGTTGACCTTTGACGACGCCCAAAGAAACTGCAAGCCAACGCAATCTAATCGAATAACTTTTCTAATTCTCTCGCACACACACACACACACACACGTAACACACATGGCGTATGCGCAATATTTGCACTGACAACTGACGCCGACGCCGCTTCGCTTATTATTTTGTTTACATTTTGTTTGTTTTGGTTTCGATTTGGGTTTCGAGCTGGGTTGCTAACTTGAACCATAGGTTATTGATACCCCTGACGGAGAATAGGTGGTTCAGTAATCAGTATATCAAAGGCGGACATAAATAGGAAAATAACCCAGAATATGCGTAAACAGTTCATGTTTATAAACCTTGCGGTCATTTCTGAAAAAAAGAAATAAAACTTAAAAACAACAAATTTTCATTTATACTATGACTGGTTATATAAAAATTAATAATCAGATCACTAAATTAAATTTTCCTCTAAATCCCAAACTATTTCCCTTACAAAAATCGACACAATAGGAGCGGAAAAAACTAGTCTCTGCTGAAAATAAATTTTATAAAGCAACCAATTTCACTCAATAATACCCTGGTGGAACTACTTCTCAGTTCGTTTGTTTTTTTTTCGCGTTCTCATGGTTATTTTGGCTTTTGTTTTTCCACTGAAGGTTAATTCAATTACATGGCGCTTCAGAACATCAGTACTCAACCGGCTATCGATTGAACGACCTGTGCCAATGCGGCCAGTAATTAATTTGTCCAATATTTTTCGGGGTTATCTTTGCCATATACAAATGTACAAATTCATGGAAGTAAACGCCATGGAAGTGGCCAATCGCGTGACACGTTTTCGTAGTATAGTATTGTAGTATAACCTAATTCTGCACACGCTTATCAAAAAAAAAAATATATATAGGCGAAAAATTCTATTGACTGGTTTTGTTTTCGGGGTTATTGATTGGAGAACCTCTTCTTATCAAGTATAACACGGTTGGCCGGCTAAATGCAGCGATTTCATCAACCTTGGCCGGATGCATTTTGCCATTAAATTATGCATTTCAGATTTGCCGTGGCTGCAAAAATATAAAAAAAAAACACTTTCACCGCTCGCCATACCATGACATTGTTAGAATGCCGGGAAAACTCGCAAAAATCGAAGGAAAACGCCGGGGCAAGGGCAGGGAAAAGGTGTTTTGGGCGTACGAAAGACTTGCGACAGCTGGCAATTGGCCAGGAATCGCCGCATTTGCCAGCAACTAGCAACAGTTCAGCAGCTGTTTCTTTGGCCGACCGTCAAATAGAATTTCTGCTAAAATTCATTTCGTTTTCCTTTGTTTTTTACGTATTTTTATCTCTTTCCTCGTTCGCAATTCTGTCTGCTCATGTGATAATGTAAACCAAAAAATAGAAAAAAGAAGCACGAAACACAGTCCAACTTCTCTAATTGAAATCAGCTTTTTCGCACATTTTTTTGTGTTTGTTTGTTTGGTTTTTTTTTTATAGTTGTTTGTTCAAAAACAACATTCTTTTTTTATACATCTTATCATATGGAATTTTTAGAAGCTGTATGATTAAATTTGTTGGGTTGTATTAAGATTTTTTAATCGAAAAAATTATAGTTTGGTTTTATTTAAAAATTATTTCATATATGGGAATGATTACTCTATAAAGGTATTACTGTACAAATAAAAATTGTTGCCAAATGTCTTCCGAAATGGTGTGTCGCCCCATCTCTTTCTGCCGCCCACTAAGCTTATCTCAGTCTGGCACAATCTAAATCGCTTTCGCTTAGTTTCAGCTGGTTTTTGTAGATTTATATGCCCCTTATCACTATTAACTCGGGCCCCTTTCAAAAGCTCACTGATACCCAACGACCTCACAAGACAAACACGCAAATTCCTTATCGATCAAACTTTAGAAAAAAATGCTTTGTAATTGACATTTTCAGTGGGTGGGGTATGCTGGTCCAAAGGGGAGGGTGGCGAAAAAAATAGTTTAGAATTGCGTGTGGCAAAACCTTCGAAATTGGAAATTTAAGCCCACTTTGGGGTTATTGAAAAATTACTATGAATCGCCATTGAAATTGAACTTCGCCTGTGGCAAAGGTCATTTGTGGGTTTTCTCGGGTTGTAGACGTAAAAGTGGATACATAATACCTTTAATGTCCTTCATGTTGAAGACCTAAAAGGTTTATGAGTGCAATAAATACAAAACGAAATACAAAATTGAACCACTAAGCTGAAAAAGTTCTCGATGATCGAATTTTTAAATTAATTACCGAGTAATCTCACGTGTGACCTTAAAAAGAAGAAAACCAAGAATTTTAAATTCTTTTTGTTCATTTACTTTAATCTCTTCTCTTTTTTAATGCTCTTATCATCCATTATCACCAAATTGTGCAAATACTAATTAGTGTCTGAATCGTATGTGATGTCATCTGAGCGCCCTTCAGTTGAGTATAATCTAGACTAAAACTTGATCTCTTGCCCAGACGACCCAAAACAAAAACAACAACAGAATCATTATCATCATCGCCTTTCGTTCGCTTTTATCAACAAAAGCAATCAAGACAAAGTAGAAAAAAAAGTTAAGGTTGACCCGTTAAACCAGCACTAACAACAACAACTAGTGTAAATTGGAGCAAAAAGAGCGCACTTAACTGTCAATATGATTTTCTGGCTGCTGTTCGAGAGAATACTAGAAAAAGCCACAGAGAGCGAGAAAGGGAAATGGAGAGGCGTGCAACAAAAACAAAGCCGACAAGTGCAAACAGCAGAATTAAACAACAACAAATAGAGCAACAACCACTATGCACACGTGGGGGTCTGACGTTTAGTGAGAAAGAAAGAGCGTGAGAGGGCTCCAAAGAGCGCCCCAATGCATACTATGCGGGGGCGTCGCTGTCGCAGTCGACGTCGACGTCGAAACGTCTGCCGACTCTTGATGTATAACTCTCTCCGTTCTTACCTAAAGAGAGTTTTCCAACTCTCAGACAGCAAACGAAAAACGTGACAGAGTCGTGTTGTGGTTCTCTACTCACAGGCATTAAGCCCCCTGTAATGGGGTATGGTTGGTTTACAAATGTATTTAAGAGGCATAAGTTGTTTCATTAAGCATACTTTTGTAGTGTTAATACAAAATTACAAAAAATGTCATTAGAAAAACGTTATATTTTAAACTATTTCTTTACAAGCAAATCAAAATAGATACATTTTAAAAGATATAGTTTCAAAAAAAAAACTTTGAAACTTTGTTAAATAAAAAATTGAAAATAGGGCTATATTATAGGGTACCTTAGCTTCGAGGAGCCCTTACTTCTCGTTTTTTCCGCAGCTTTATACCTTGGTGTGCGTGCGAGCATAACAAAAACACACACTCACACCAACTAAGCGCCTATCATGTCAAAAAGCTTAGCGCGTATTATAACCTCTATTTTCGTTTCGGTTTCTTTTGCTTGCCTCGTTTCTTTCACCTTTCCTAATTGCTTGCTAATGTGGCCTTTGTTTTATTTTATTAAAAAGAAAAGCTGATATCGAAAAAATGGAACTGGGGGTGGGGAAAACCATGGGCGCCTTTATTTATTATTTGTTGTTGTTGTTGCATTAGCAGCTGACTGGCTGTTCCTGCGCGTGTGTGAGTGCGTGCGAGCGAGAGAGAAAAGCAAAAAGCGTGCAAGCCGCAAGTCTAGACATACACACACATTCACAAACAGTTGCTAATTAAATTAAAATTATAAAATGAAAATAATTTAGCTTATTTGGTTTCCTTTAGATCTTTTGGGTTTTTTAAATTTTCATTTAAATTAACCGAAAATTGCACGCGACATTGGCTAAGCTTTGCATGTGTGTTTGCCTGTAATACTCTCACTCACACCAGCTCAACATCACTATACACACTCACAAACGCACGGCTGTATCGACAAAGACGGTGTACAGTCCACTTGTTAAATCAATAAAAATAAAAAGAAATCAGGTCCACAAATTTCGGAAAAATCATACAGTTTTAGGTAATCAAAATATTCACTGATCCCCATGTTTGATTGCGGCACCGAAACGCCAGCAACCTTCAGCGAATGTCAAGGACCTTTTGAGCACATGTGTTTTGACAAACACTTTTTGAAACCCAATTAACACGCTTTGAAACACTTTTAAACACTTTGATTAACACTTGTTGGTGGCCCCTAAGGATGGGACTTTGTCGCAGGACTACTTACCAGGTCTCCAAATTGCTAAATTTCTTCGTAACCACCTTGCCGAGATCGATGCCCAGACGATCGACGATCCGTTGGGCCAAGTCCGGATGCGAGGTGCCCGAAAACACTTTGATGTTCGGCATTCTGGAGTGGATTAAATTTAGACAACCAGCCTGTTTCTCCAAATTGTCTCGGATCAAACTTCTAGCGCGTATTGGATTGGCTGAACGAACTGGCATCACACAATCTGCGAGTAGAAGTTTTTATTATAAACTTTTTTTCGCCACAGCGCTGGCAGCGCCGTCGCCGCCTTATCGGTGAGCTCTCGAGAGCGCCAAAAAGAGAGCCGTTTGCTCTGTAAGAGCGTAGCTGAATTCATTCATTGCAAAGTACAGTGGACTACATGGTTTTTATGTAAGGAAAAGTGCGGCAATATTTTGACTAACTTAAGTTACGTTACCACTGTTAACAGATTCCATGATGACATGTAGTGAGATGTTTTGGTATGTTCAAGCTACTGTAACTGAGTCCTATCTTTTTTTGCAACAATGTTATTTTTACATTGTAAATCAGGCCCATAATTTTATTTTTAAACATACTTTCTAATTGAGGTTTACCGAACCACTGTGCAACGCCTACGTCGACAGCGACGCAGACAGCACGGACTTGGTTGTGTGTGTAGAGCGCCACTCTCTTTTGCTCTCTCTTTTTGTAAAAGCCACCCCAAGTCGACCATGTGATTTTTTTACGTGTTCTCCGGGGAACTGGAAAAGCTATCGATGTCGATTTCGTTTTTTTTAAGCTGCTCGATAGATTTTTAAAGATTTATGTATTTATTGAGTTATATATTACCTGTTGCTAATATAGTATTGCCTATTTTTTTACACTATTTACAGCTTTTAACACTTTTTTTAATAAATGAAAAATACACATGAAAACCTTTTCTTATTTGGACACCGTTATTTTTGTTTCATATTTTATCAAACTTGTAATAAATTTTAGTTTGACACTTCTGCTATCTAATAGATAAAAGGAAATGTATCCTCTCAGTGCAACCTAAATACTTAATATAAAAAATATACTGGTATGCCAACAGGCGCGCGCCAAAAAGAAGCTTTTAAATCAAGACAAACAGCTGTTCCACGGATGTCCCAAGTTGGCCATGAAAACACACACGCACACAGGGACGGACAGGAAAAATGGTGATTTCTAGGATATAATCTACGCACCATTCTGCTCGTTCTCTGTGCATTTCTTATCGGGCATTATTCACAACTTAACTCCCGAGATCAAGGTGCAGCGACAGGTAAGCGGCGACTGAAAAAAGTTTTGTTCTTAGTTGCGGCTCGTTTTACAACAAGTCGCACTCACAGCTGATTTTTCCCTAGGTTAACTGAAAAGTGCACTGTTTTTTAGCGAAAATTGGAAATTGAGATTAGCAGTCGCAGAGCGCCGCATCTGGCGAAATTGAGCGAGCAAATGGAACTGAGTGCCGTACAACATGGCGTATGCGTCTATCACACATACGCACTGGCTGCACACACCAACACATAAAAAGAGAACGAGAGCGAGAGTGAGAGCGAGAAAGAGAGAGAGAGAGTGCCAAGGATGATGCGCAGTTGATGCTACAAGCTTTGGGGATGCCACAACGATTGCGATTTTTAGATCAGCTGTTTTTGGATGGCACTTTCCATTTAATTTGAAATGTATTTGTCATGTTGCGTTTTTAAGTGTTTGCAAAAACCAGCAATGATGCTGTTATAAATATAAAAAAGACAATAAAAAAACTGATTCCAAAAATATTAAAATAAATGGAGCATTTTATGTCACGCAGTTATAAATGGCATGTTAAACAACCTTTTAAAAAAATAGCTTTTGAAATATGTAACTATCCCAATGAAATTTCTTTATAGATGTTTAAGATATTATTAATATATTAATTTCCTTAAAAAACCCGAGACATTTTATAATAAAATGATATTAAATCTGAGAATTTTTGTTGTTTTTTTCTGTGTAGTTGGGCTTTGTCTTGTAATTCAAATTTTGCTCTGCAAACATTCTTTTTATATGTATCAGCAGGAATGTTTTGTTTTCAAGATTGCTTAAATCTCAGACAACAACAGGTACAGTTTTTTCATTTCACGGGGGCTCGTCTTTTTACTTTTGTTGGCCCTGAGAATATGCTTTCTTGTTGTTTGTGCAACTGTACCTGGGATGCTGAACAAAAGAAAAATCGCTGAAAAACACTGCGATTTGTTAAATTGTCTTTGCGTGTCTTAGGCTAAATATAAATGAACTAATGCTAAATGCTGACGTACTCTTCTCCGTGTTTTATCCCTAAAAACTGACGCAAATGCCGTTGCAAAAATATAGGCATTGTGGATTGCGGGGGGTGATGAGGCCAAAACCACGTGCCGAATGCGACGCACGTTTTAAGTCAAGAGGAAAACAAAGGCACGCACACGCCGTCAATATTTATAATTATAATCTAGACTTACTTAAAACATGTGCAGTAGAAAAGTGTCGCTATTACTTTAAACTTTAAACTACTAATCACCAAACGATGAAATTTGGACACGTTGGTCAGAAAAAACAGAAACGCTTGTAGTTGTTGGTCCCGATTGCAGCTGCTTCTCCGAAATGCAAAAGCTGAATGAATCAGAACGCTTTTAGTTTGAGTTTGAGCGAGGGAAGTTGCGTTTCAGCCGTGGAGTTTTATTTTGCGAGAGCGTCAGATAACGAGAGGGAGAGCTATCTTCGACATGTCGAAGGGTTCATACTCTGACAGCAAGACAAGAGTTAAATTAGGACATATACATTTACATTATTAAAAAAAAAGTCCAATGACTTGCAATATATACAAAATAAATATAATATGTTGCTAATTTTGATTGTAAAAGTTCAACTAGTCGTATGAGTAATAAATTTTGTACTTTATCGTTTTTTACAGATTTTTTTTTAAGTGCCCAAATTTTTCATGAAATATTTCAAAATTAGTGTCTTTAAATTTGTTTATAAATAGCAATTTATGCCTTTGTGAATTATATGTTTGTTTAAAATAATAATATTCTTCAAAAGGGTATTAAAAGAAAAGAGTATGAAATGTTAAAAAGGAAGAACGCAAGAGAGAGAACCGGCATTTGTTTGTTTGTATCGGTCAGTCGTTTTGTTTTGGGGCCGAAAGAGCGGCGCAAAAAGGGGAGCAAAAACACGTGTGCCCAATAGGCAAAACAGTTTATGAGTTGCAAAACTCCAAATGTATTTTTAAATGTTCGCTGGGTTTATTTCCTTATCGCGGAAAAGTTGTTGCTGTGTTGGCTCTAAAACTTCGACACACGCTTTTGCTGACACGTTTTTTTTTCAAGCGCCATTTGGGGCTATGCAAAACGTGAATTTCGGCAATAAAAGAGAATGGCAAGTTTTAATTAATTCCAGACGGGGGTATACCGTAGGTAGTAATCTTAGAAAGTGTCATAAAATTGTAACACCTTACTATTTAAAAAAATTACAAAAAGTAAGTTAAAAAGCTTAGTAATTTCGGTTAAAATGATTATCTTTTTTAATTACTCATTGGTCCCGAAATAAATTATTAGTCATTTTTCAACAGATTGTAAATTTTTTGTAAAATTTATGGAACAATTCGGAACTCCAGTTGAACTCGATATACCCGAATTTTTATCATTACCCATTATAAACACAAGATCTTACGGCGCATTATTGAAGTTTTTCTATTATTTTTGGACTGTTGCTAAGAGAGGCCTACGCCTCAAAATAACAAATTCTTTTTTTTAGTTCTTTGGAGGCAAAACAAGTTTCAAATTTCCGACCGCAGACAAGGCAGGTATGCGTAATAGAACCATTCTACTGAGGTCACAAGAACTTCGATTACTGTTGATATTTTTAAGTTTTATGTGTTCGCTGTTCAAGATCAGAGACGCAATGGAAAATAACCTTAGTTCTGTGTCAATGAATGCTGCTTATTAAGGCGATGGTATAGTTGATTCTTGGTGGAGGTTTTTTGATCCGGTATCACAAACGGGTTCAAATCAGAAAACTTTGATTGAGTAGGTCGCTGGGCCATGGTGAAGTAAATAGAGCTTATCAAGATATATGTTATTTAATTGATTTTTTTTTTTTTAAACCATAACCTAAACAATAATTCTACAATAAATTGGCTTCGACTTCTAATCAGTTTTAATGTTTGTATCTTAGCAACTTGTGCTTTTGATTTGGATGTCAAAAAGAGCTGACTATGAATTCCGACGCCGTCCCTGTTCAGATTCCATTGGAAATGGTTCCAGTTTCTGAGACGCCACTCTCGGAATTTTCCCAACCGAATGAAGCCGGAAAACCAAACCAAGTTGGTGATCAAAACGGAAATCCACCGTCAAAAAACTCCTATGGGTATCCAGTTCAACCCCCACTTCAGCCATTTGAAGGATGTTGCAACCAATTCTTGGGATTACCTATGACAGGATATCCCCTTGGACATCCTCCGATAGTCACCCAACCTGGAGTGGGTACTGGAATGGCACCAGTTGGATTATCTGGAGGCTGGACCAATGTAATACCAAACTGTCTACGAGGAATGGAGTACCTAAAGACTATCGACCAGCTTTTGGTTAAGCAACAAATTGAGTTTTTTGAGGCTATCACTGGATTTGAGACCAACAACAGGTACTCGATCCAAAATGTCTTGGGTCAGAAGGTCTTCTATGCGGTGGAGGACACAAATTGTTGCATCCGAAATTGTTGCCCCGAGAGACCCTTTCACATGAGGATTTTTGAGAAATATCTCAAGGAAGAAGTGATTCACCTACATCGGTCATTTGGTTGTTCCTCCATTTGTTGCCCGTGTTGCCTGCACAAAATCGAGGTGTCTGCTCCACCCGGAAATGTAATTGGTAGCATCCAAGAGGAGTGGTCAATTTGCAGACCATCCTTTCGCATTCTAAACCAAAGTGATGATCTTGTTCTGCGCATCGAAGGACCCTTGTGTTTCTGCTCGATGTGCCGCAATGTCGACTTCAACGTGTGTTAAGTTTATGACTATTTTCTTAATGCTTTTATAAATGTAATTTATGTTATAACAGGTTACAAATCTCAACGGGGAAAAGGTCGGTAGGATCTCTAAGCACTGGTCAGGACTTGGCCAAGAATGGCTAACGGATGCGGATATTTTTGGCATCACCTTTCCAATGGAAATGGACGTTAACCTTAAGGCGGTTCTATTAGGAGCAACATTTTTAATTGATTTCATGTTTTTTGAAAAGTCCTGTGATTGTTTATTTAAATATAGCAGCTGTTGTCTTAATTCATAAATTGTAATAATGTAAAAAATTGTTAAGATTTAAAACTCGTAAGACTGAAAAATATGTATGATCAGTTCTTTTTGTATATTAGTGTATAAATGTAAATAGTAAATAAGGCTCTTCTTTATGATGAAAGAGAGGTTATAATTTTCTTCTTGTTATTGTATAATAGCAGGTCTGAATAATCTGTTCTTTACTATTTTGATGTTGAATAAATAAGAAATTAAAAGTATACCTAATACACGATTTAATTAGTGGTTAGCTTTAGAGAAATGTAAGAAATTCAATTCGAAATTTTTTGCTTAAGAAAAACATGAAACATATGAGAAAAACCGTTAGTAATCAAACTGACACCTCACATTTCAAAAACCGATCTTCGATGTAAGGTACATTTTTTGCGCGCCAATTTGCAGAACCTTTATCGATACTTTCAAGCGATGGGTGAGCTTTCAGAATTTTTGGCATGCGGCACGGCGGGCACACTAAGAAAACAAAAAAAAATAGCACAGCAAAATAGACGTGCTGAGCACTGTAAAAAGTCAGTTTTGATGAAATTGGGATATTGAGTTTGTTGTTTATTGTGTGCTGGTCGAGCTCCTAGCCTCGACAAATCTGTAAACCGATCGGAAGAAGCGACCTTGGAGGCCACCATTCAACCGGATTTTACGCAACGCGACACAAAATCCGCAAAATTGCACAGGGGCAACAACAATAAAAAGCAGTTGAGAACAGTGAAAGGGGAAAGGAGAACGGGGAACGGAGAACAGTGAAGAGAGAGCCCGAAAACAGAAAACAGAAACATCATGGCGAACATGGCCGTATCGCGGATCAAGAGGGAATTCAAGGAGGTGATGCGCAGCGAGGAGGTGAGTGTGTGGAAAAGGGACCAAGGACGAAGTACACTTACCCGCTACCTTGGAATCGCCAGCTGCACCACTGCCACCCCTAAGAGTTGAGGTAGTTGGAGAGGGGTCCACATCCCCGGACTTTGGTTCCATTTTTTTTGGCGCGCTTCTTGGTCCCTACGTTCCAGATATCGATATCAAGTAAAAATGTGAACACTGCCCGCACTGATTTGTGTTTTGTGACTTCTACCCCTTGACAGATCGTCCAGTGTTCCATCAAAATAGAACTGGTCAACGACAGTTGGACGGAGCTGCGCGGCGAGATCGCCGGTCCTCCCGACACGCCCTACGAAGGCGGCAAGTTCGTCCTGGAGATCAAGGTGCCCGAGACATATCCCTTCAATCCGCCAAAGGTTAGTACAAGTAAAAAGGACGAAGGATATATGTTGTTTATGTGTAATATTGTGTTTCTAAAATTGGTAGTACAAGAACAATATTTGTATATGCTTCGAAAATAACGTAAAATTTATGTTCATTGTAAAATATAATTTATTAAAATATTTATTCGATTAGGTTATAGACATAAATTTATATAATGAAACACAATATCTGTAGTATTTCAAGAACTTTTTAAATATCCACAACAAAAGACAGCATTAAATGCAATTCCAACCTGCTTTCAGGTCCGCTTCATAACGCGCATCTGGCATCCGAACATTTCGTCGGTGACGGGCGCCATTTGCCTGGACATTTTGAAGGACAACTGGGCCGCGGCGATGACACTGCGCACTGTGCTGCTGTCCCTGCAGGCGCTCCTGGCCGCCGCCGAGCCGGACGATCCGCAGGACGCCGTGGTGGCGTACCAGTTCAAGGACAAGTACGAGCTGTTTCTGCTGACCGCCAAGCACTGGACAAATGCGTATGCGGGCGGACCGCACACCTTTCCCGATTGTGATTCAAAGATCCAACGTCTCAAGGACATGGGCATCGACGAGCACGAGGCGCGCGCCGTGCTGTCCAAGGAGAACTGGAACTTGGAGAAGGCCACGGAGGGCCTGTTCAGTTAGCTTGTCCCAGCCACTTTATCACCAGTACCATTCTCGGCGGCGGCTTCACCAACAGCACCAGCAACTTCAGCATCAATCTTTCAAACTGGCAATCACGCTAAATTCTAGTACACACACAACCAGAAAATCATTTTCGTAAATTATGTCTACAAAATCGCATTGCCTGTATTTCTATGAATTCGATGTTATTATTTTTTTTATTAATTTTTAATGACTATTTTTGTGCACCTTTTGCCGCTGGATGGGTCAACGAAAGGTTGAGCCTAAGGCCATGCCCACGCGCCCCTCAAGCATGTGTTATGCAATCGAACCCAGGGTTCTGTTTCATTTCCTTACGTGCAGTCGCATTTATTTGCAGGCCCCTTCTTAAATAATACTGTTTTTCCATTTCAATCTTAATTTATACAAGAAAAAAAAACAAAAGAAAATTAAAAAAAAATTCAATGTGAAAATAAGAAGTGTATAACAAATCGAAGTCTTTGTAAATTGCGTTAAGTTAATAAATAAATAAATAAACAAATATTAAGAAATGCTTAAATAGAAGTTATAATTTTAGTTTGTGGAGAGGCTGCAAACGTAAAAGAGATTTTTGTAAAACAATCCTAGACTGAAGAATGGAAAATGTAATTTACCCTAGCTTGAGAATTGTATATTAAAATAATTTTTGTCTAAACCAATTTTTTAAGGCTCTGTCTAAATGCCAACACTTAAATAAAGCCCAAATTCTTTGTAATTGACAAACCAAATTTACGCAAGCACTGTTTCCATCACAAAAGTCGGAATCATTTTGAGATGCAATACAATCATTTATATAATTTTCTACATTTTCAATTAATTAATTTTTTTCTACATTTTCATATGAATATTTATGATTTGCACTAAACATTTTACTAAGAAACGGACTAAATATTTGGTCTACGAATGGCGAATGCAATTAACTTCTACTCGGGAACGAATTGCTACTTGTGCTTCTGCTTGGACATGACGGAAACGGAGGATCCACCGGCAGCGATTGTGGATCCCATGCAAGTGTTACTATTCTGCGGCATCGAAATGCCAGTGGCATTGGAATTTTGGATGCTGTGGTGGCTGTGGCGCTGCTTGAGCATCTCCTTCCATTCGGATTCGAGGCGAACATAGGAGCCACCAAGTGGCTGGGCATTCTGCACCAGGCACTGATCCGTTCCGGTCTTCTTGGTCACATAGTTGGCCACCTGCTTCATGATCTTCTCCTCGAAATCGCGCTGGTGATCCTGGTTGCTGCGGGCGGAGAGCTCGCCGGACCAAAAACGACCCGAAACATCGGTGGGACTGATTATAAAGGTCAGCATTGAATTATAAATCTATGATGATCTTTCTAAACTTACCGCTTTCGTGACTTCTTTCCCCTAGTTTTCCTGGGCGGTGGTCGATGCTCCGATTCGCAGCCATCGCTACTGGAACTGTAATCCTCATCATCATCGTGAACATTGCGCATGCGCGGACGCAGGCATCGCGCATCATCCTCGCTGGTGGAAGTCGTCTCGGAATCGGTGCTGGTGTCCATTTGGTAGCGCGATCCTCTCATGCGACGGCTCACCCGGTGGTTGGTCACTACGAATTTAATTTCATTAAAAAAACATCACCCAAAAATCCATTAAATACCCCTTTTTAGGACACTGTCCATGCAAAGCTGCGGCAAAAGACCTTGACGACATCTCTGGGGAGTCAGGGAGATACCCTGCCAACTGGGACTGATCTCGCCAGCAGCTGCCAGTTCTTGAATCCTCAGTGGTGGCTGCTCACAAAGGGCATAGTTCTCGCCCACCAACTGGGCAATGGCCAGGATGGCTCGTTCACGATCCGTTTCCACCAGGACACTGTGCTCGCGGAACTGGCAGCCCTGAAGAAATATAACATTTCGGGTTATTAAATCTACCAGATAAAGTTAATAACTTATTAGTATAGTCGTCCGATTTTCATGAAACTTAATGAAATTATTTCTTCATATAAAATCAATGAAACAAAGTTACTTTTAGAGGTATGCCATTTCAAAATCTGATTAAAATATAAAAAAAAGTAATGGACTTAGGAATTAGAATTTTGTCAATTTTTAGCAAACCCATTTTTAGGAAATTTGGAAAGAGGTTACATCATAAAAATTGAAAAAAAAACAAAAAAATAAAAAATTTTCTAATGATGCAGTTTGTTAAAGAATTAAAATAGAAACTTTTAGAGGAATTCCATTTTGAAATCTGATTTTAATTAGAAAAGTTATGGACTCAGAACTTGTTAAATTTGACAATTTTCAGCAAACCCATTTTTTTTTAAATTTGGTAACTTCGATTCAGTTCGATCAAGAATATTATACTTTACTCTGAACTTTAAGTTGATACATACATTTGGTCCTGGCAGCGTCTCATAGCGAAAGGCCTGCTGGCCACAGCAGGAGAATCGTCCAGCAGGCCCGGCATTTCCCACGGGACCCAGGAAGTTGGGTGCCTCCGGATGGAAGCGACACCAGTGCATCTGGTAGACCGGGAAGTGGGCCTCGCAAGTGCAGCAGTAGAGATAGTGGCAGTGGCCCCACAACTTCCAGTAGACCTTCCTCCAGGACTTGAGTTCCTTGAACAGCTGGACGATGTACACGTTGAGATCCCAGTTGGTGTCCCTCACATGATGGCTCATCAGTTGGCCCCAGCGATTCAGGCGGATGTTGCTGGGCACACAGCTCACATAGGACTTCATCGTATTGGTGACACAATTGAAGCATCTGGAGCAGCGAAACAAGCCAGACATGCTGTAAAAATGTCCTCTAAGCACCTCGGGATCCGGTTCGCAGAGGGACTGTATCAACTTGGTCCACAAACGCGGTGTCACTCGCTCCTTCTTATCCCGCACCATTTCCAGCTCAAGATTCGTGAACATGGCCGCCAGTCGGGTGACCAAGGCATCATTCAGACACGAGAGATTCGTGGATGTCCTGACCACTTCGCTCAGGTGAGCATGACAGAAGGCCAGGCACTCGAGGAGCAGTGGTTCCATCTGCAGGAAACTGGCCGACACCAAAATGGGCACCACATTATTGCCATCCAGCTGGGGACCGCTGCTCTGGCCGGAAACCGGGAGATCCTGGCTCTGGGCACTGTGCTTTATCCACTTCATCAGCCAGTCGAAGATCAGGATGTCGCAGTGCACCGATATGTCCATCTCCTCCAGCCGCTGACCCGCAGTCACGTCCGCAAAGTAGCCCATTTTGGTCACCAGCAGGTGCTGCGGGCAGGTGAAGTCCTTCGAGGTGTTCTTCACCTCGTCGCAGACGTGGATCACTACTTCGGGTCTGTTAAGAAAATATAAAAAAGTATTATAATTAAAATAGAGTCAATACATAATTCATAGAATTCCATGAACAATTCACATACTTTAAAAACTTTAAACAAAATTGAATTAACTCATTTAGTAAACTGGAAAACTGTTTGCTGACTAAAATATTAAAATAGTTAAGATAAGAAACAATAAAATAAAAACCTTTAATTTAAAATTATTTCTCTTTTTTCTATATATTGTTATTATTATTTCTATTTACTATTATTTATTCTTATTAATTCTATATAAGCATTTGTATTTTATAACCCAATAATGAGTTGTTTCAAACTTTCCCTTGGAATACTTACTCCTTTCTCTCCTGCCTGGCATGTTTGCTATCCTTAACCAGGAGCAAGGACTTGCGTCTGCCGGCGTTTATAACACCCGGCTTTGGAATCGGTTCCTTGATCATGGCCCTTACCATGCTATTTGTGATCTGGTCCGGATGATGAGTATCTCCGCCGTGATGAACTTGCTGGAGGCAAGGAGCTGATGGAATGGCTGAAGGCATCGGCCCATGTGAGTGACCCAACTCCATCAGGGACTTGGAAGCCCCCGAGGTAAGAGGAGCTGCCGGAGGAATGGGATTCGAATTCGGAGTGGGCGATGTCTGGGTGAGAAGCTCTTTCGGTGGCTGCAGCTGTTTGGGTTTAATCTTTCCATTCTGGAGTTGTGTGGGCATGGGAACCGGGCAAATAAAGGACAAAACCGAATCCAGGACACCCTCGTTGATGGCCGCATCCAGTTGTTCGCCCAATTTGGGATGTAGTCCTCGGTAAGTAGATTCCGTACGGGATGACCGGCCAAGGTGACTGTGTCCCGAACGCAGTACACTAGTTTTCGCCTCCTGGAGCAAACTGGAGCTCGCCTGGTCGCCGTGACGAGCATTGGAATTCCGAGAGGGTCGCCGCAATCCAAGTAGTTCGTTAACCAGCGGATTTTCCGCCAACTGGGCAAAGTCAAATTCGTCCTTTTTGGAGTTCCGCTTGGAAGTGGCGGCACTGCCCTCAATTGGTGGCACTGGCTCCCTTGTGTGTGGTTTCCCCATGTCGGACTTGGCTATCATATCGTTTACATGACAGGAGAGTTTCAGAAATTCTAGAAACTCGTTCAAACTGATTTGAAACTCAGCGCCACTTCCGGAATCCAGGGACTTCTGCGAGGGAGCCGGTGGCGAATCCTCTGGCTGGCCAGCAGAGGCTCCCTCGTCGGAGCCCGATTTCTGCATCCTGGCCAGTGCACCAATCAATGAGAATTGGAATTTTAATTCAAAGTTATTGATTGATTTGCCCGTTGCTCTTAACAACAGTGCAATAACCAAGAAAAAACAAAAAACAATGCAACTAGTGACACCAATTGATTTTTCAAACAAACCCAGAATTTTAGGTCAGATTATGATTAGTTTTCATTATAATAAAATCATATTTTCTATTTGTGTTTTGAAATACTTATTTTTAATTAGTATAAATTTGACTTTAAATTTGATTAAATGCTTAGACCTAAACAACACAAATAAAAAGCCGTATTCTTATTAATTACAATCCAGCTTAAAAGCATTATTATTTTTAAGTATTCACCTTCTAATAGTTGTTTTACTTATACATAACTTGTTTTGAAAGATTTCTTTTAAATTCCGCGGCTGCGCGATAACACCCTCGTCTTAACAAGTTGGCATGAACGCTGTAATCGTAAGTTGCCAGAGCAGAAGTAAAATCGATATCGCCTTAATAAAATCGATATGCCAAAAACAGAAAATGAAAACATATCGAAAGCAAACATATACATACAAAATTCATTGATTTTGTCAACGTAAAACACACAGCGCATAGGAATCCAAGGCACACGGCGATTCGAATTGGATTCCCCAAGTGAACTTCAATCGAATTGGAAACGGTGGGGCATCGCAAAGTGCAGCGGCGATGCGAACGGACTAAAGTTTGGAAGCCCCAAAGCGAAGGCTTTTACTTGGGCCGCTGTCCAATCAGAACACTGCTCCCAATCAGAAGTGGGCAGGGGGCGGGGGTGGCGCTCGACCGAAAAATCCGGATACGGTGGGAAGCAGCCAAAAACATTGGAATAAATAAAAAACAAAGCCCGGGGAAGCGAATGTGAAAGCGGTAATGGGAAAATGACCAGGACACCACTAAAGCCACAGATCACGGATGATCACTAACTGATACGGCCTTAAAATGCCCCGGAACACTTGCAGGCCAAGTGAGTGTGCAGCTAGCCAGGATGAGCCGGAGCCAAATGCGAATAGTAACAATAATAATAATAACAACAACAACAATACGGGCAACAACAACGAGGGCATCATCAAGCAGGAACTGGAGGCGGCTCCACCGGTCTGCCACCGGAAATCGGAACGCCGGAGAGTGGCCCGGGATATCTTCCTGGTGTTCGAGGAGCAGACCACCCGTCGCCGGGGGAAGGGAGCCAAGGGCAAATCGACGCGGGCCAAGCAAAAGTTTGGACACCTCAAGGTGGCCAATACGCCGCGCATCAATAAGAATGTGCTGCGCGAAATCAAAACGGAACCAAAGTGCAGCCCGGAAGCCGTTGTCCCGGCTGCTGCTGCTATCCCATCCATCGCACCCATTCCCGCACTGAATCACCCAGTTACCGCTCAGCCATCACCGCTGTATCCCCTCCCATTGCCGGAGGAGCAACAGGACCAACATGAGCAACAACAGCCAGCCAAAAGTCTGCCGCGTGCGGCATCCGTTAAATTGGAAACCAAAACAACAGTCACATCCACAGCCACTGCATCGAATGTGGCGGCCACGAAGCGCATCAGTCCCAAGCCCAAGGCTCTACCCGTTTTGGAGGAGAAGGTGGTGCCCACCACCACTCCCGCTGCAGCTGCTCTGCCAATTCCACAGCCCGTTGCACCCGCACCCGCCTCCTCGCCGACGACGCCCAGCGTCAATCCGATCTTCCTGTGGGTCAAACAGGACGACACGCGCATCGTGGAGGTGCGCTGCGAGGACTACGACAAGCGGAACCGGATACGCCTCACCAAGACGACGAACGGCTGGCGATCGATGCCGCGCACCGATGCTTCCTCAACTAGGATAGTCAAATTCTTCCACGGCTCCGCCGCCCCACTGATGAAGGTCAAGCGCGAACAGCATCTGCAGCGTTTGGAGGAGGAGGAGGTGGAGCAGCAGCATCAGCAGCACTCGGAGCATCAGCAGCTGGATCATCACGCCGAGGATCATGAGGATCGAGAGGAGCCACACAGAGAGCAGCAGTTGCCCTCCATTGGGCAGAATCTGCTGCAGGATTGGGAGGACAGTGCCACGCAATTGCCAGATGATATCGAGGAGGAGGAGGAGGAGGAGCCGGAGCAGGCACAGGAGCATGAAACTGAGCCTGCAGCACAACAGAATGGCCACCTGACCACCGTGCTCGAGGATGTGGTGGTGCTGCCGCCTGTCCAAGAGCCGGAGACGACGGAGGAGGCCACGCCTTGTTTCGATGGACTGCTGGACAGCGAGGAGACGAATGCCTCGACCAAGGCCACCAAGACCAACACGCCCACATATCAGAGCTCGACGCCCTCGCCGCTGCAGATGCAGCTGTGTCCCAAGACGGGTCTGTTCCTGGCCAAGGGCGATTTCCCACTGGTCCAGCTGCCCGACGAGGATGTCCTGCCGGAGGAGGAGGAGGAGGAGGAGGAGTTGGACGACAAGCCGCTGGCCGCCGGCGATCATGTCGAGTGCTTCGATGCGAATACCAAGAATCTGAAGGATCTGCTGGACGACGCCGATGATCTGCTGCAGAATTGCAGCAGCGACAATGGCAGCAACGGTGCCGATCTGCTCGACTCGCTGGTCAAGCGAAGCTGCGAGGACAATCTCGTCCAGGAGAGCAGCACTGGCAGCGGGAACAACCAGCAGAATACCACCACCACCTCCACCGGCGACGAGCTGAGCTCCTTCTGTGTGCCCGATCTCGACAAGGACCTGCCGCGAATTCTCAGCATGGACAGCGACGATGCCCCCAAGTGTTTGTCCTTCAACGAGGCGGGTGAAATCGAGGGCTTGAATGGAGAGCTATTCCTGGGCATCGAGGCCTTCGAGAAGCAACAGGAGGCGGTGGCCACCGAGCCGGAACCCCAGCCACCCACTCCGGCCACCGTGGAACTCACCCAAACACCAACGCCCACTCCCACGCCGGAAAAGGAGAAGGAGAAGCCTTCTGGCGGGGACGAGACGCCCAAGGATTTGAGCTACAAGAAGCGCGAGGAGGTGTGTCCACCCTCGGAATCGCGTAGCCAGTGTGCTGTCACCTCCAGTTCGGATATACTCAAGTCCCCGGAACGGGATCTCCAGCTGCCGGCCAACTCCATACCTGCCGAGGTGGAAACCACCTCGGAGACCATTAAAAATCTCATCCTAGAGCAGTTCCTCAAGCTGAACAACAATCCCCAGCAGGCGGAGCCCATGGATCTGGGCAAAGCCGGACGCGACGGGAAACTCGAAACGGTCGTCATCGATGACGAGGAGGAGGAGGAGTCCAGTCAGCCGCTGAAGAAGCGACCCAAGGCCAGCATCAAGATGGACAAGGATCCCGATGCCCTCACCCAGCTGAAGATGCTGATCAGCAATCCGCAGTGGAAGGTCCCAGACCCGATACTCGTGCCAAAGGATCGTTTGGGTGCCGTGTTGGCCTCGCCGGCGCGGGAGATTCCCCTGCTGCTGACCACCCGGCCGGAGTTGCGTCTTCCCGAGGCCTTCGCCTATCCGGAGATCATCCAGAATCCCAATATTCTCGTGGTGACCATGGAGCAGCTGGAGGCCATCCTCAAAACAGAGTCGGAGCAGGCGGCCAAGGCAGCGAAAGATCCGGATCCGGTGATCGTGGTGCCCAGCAAGCCGCGGAGTCCCAGTCCCAAGCAGACGCTGCCGAAACCGGTGCAAGCTCAACCCAAACCTCCGGTGGTTCCTCCCGTGGCGCCCACTCCTCCCTCGCCGGCGGATTCGAGTCTCTCCACGGATCTGAATGCCACCACGCTGGCGCTGCTCCAGCAGATGCTGTGGCTGCCGTACTTTGGCCAGCTGTCTCAGGAGTTCTTCAAGACCATCAAGGATCCGTTGGGCTTGCAGCGGAAGTTCATGAGCAACCTGCTGCCGCTGTACAACAGCCAGTTTGGATTGCAGCACCTGGACGAGCTGTACAAGCATTGCATAAAGCAGAAGCCGACGGAGGAGCAGCAATCCCAGCAGCAGCAGCAGCAGCCCAAGGTACCCACTCCAGTGCCACCTGCAGCGGCAGCTCCTCCTCCTGCGGCTCCTGCTCCAGTTCCCCAAAGTCCAGCCGGCGGTTCGAATGCCTTTAATGGCTTCACCAATCCCGTGGAGCTGGCTCTCATGCAGAAGCTGCTGCAGCCGCAATTGCCGCAGTTCCTCAATTGGGACGCGGCCAAGGAGGCGTCATCGTCATCCTCGTCCACCGCCGCCCCATCACATCATCATCACCAGGAGCACAAGCGACCAAGGCGGGAACCTCAGGAAACGGAGGCCATCGCGAACTTCACCAAAACCAAGACAGCAGCCGGTGCTTCGAATACAACTGCTGCTCCATCCACCGCAGCTCCAGTGGCTCCGGTGGCCACCACTGCTGCTCCAGCGACGCCGGCGCCGGCGGAGCACAAACCCAGACTGACCATCAAATCGCTCTCGAATCTGCTCGAACCGGAGGCGAACGTGGTACCCCTGCTCAACGTGCCCTTCGACGGAATGCGAGGGCGTCCCAATGCCCTCTCCATGCACAAGTCGGCGTCCGATCATCAGGTGAAGGGCGGCGACACGGGAACCGGACACGGACGCACCCTGCGCTCCAGCAAGGCCTGCGTCACCTACAACCCGTTGGAGCAGGCCAAGCAGCAGATGCACCCTGCCGCCGGATCGCAGCAGCAGCGGAAGCGGGGCAACATGCTCGCCCAGGATGTCCAGCAGCAACAGCAGCAGCAGCATCTGGCGGAGACCGCCGCAGCGGGAATGGATGCCAACTCAGCGCTATGGCATCCGCTCTTCGGAAGGTGAGTAATTCCTTAAAACCAAAGCAGATAATACTTGTAACCAGATAAAGTTCATAATTCAGATTAATTTGATTTATGTTGATGAAGTTGCAAGTTTTAGATATTTTTTAAGTTTCATCGAAATATATTAAAATAGGTGCTTAAGTAAACTATTAAATTAGATGATAAATAGTACAAAAGAGTTTTAAATGAAACAAACTCTTAGATAGAACGTTTGATATATGTAATTGTTTAGAACTTTTTTTTATTTACTTGGACCTTGAATTCGAAATTTGCAAGGCGTGTATTTATAGTTTAAAATGAATCACAGTTCTAAGTTACTCAGTGAAGCTTATCGTCTCCACAAATTTGCTTTATATCCTATTATTCTTTACCTAACATACAAGTAGTTGAATAAAATTTACCAATTTAAATTGCTAAAAGAGTTTAAGAAAATTAAGTATTTCTTCTTCTAAAAAACAAATCATTGATCATCATATCAATTCCAATCCCTAATTCCAGCAATCCAAAGCAGGGCTACAACAGCCCCTGGCAATGGACCACGGTGACGGCCTCAGGTGAATGACAGTCAAGCCGGGCTCACAAGGAGCCAGCACCTGCGACGGGAACAAGGACGGCCAGCTACGAGGAGCAGCAGCAGCAACAACAGCAGCAGCAGCAGGACTATAGCAACTACCATGCCTCGGCCAAGCAGCAGCAGCAGCAGCAACAGCAACAGCAAACACATCTTCCAGTAGCCAACAATCAAAATCACAGCAACAGTAGTAGCAATAAATTTTGTTATCCAACGGCGGCGGCCATGGAGAATATGTTCCAGAACAATCAGATGGCGGCCGCCGCCGCCGCACGTGAATCGCTGCTGAATTCCTATCTGTATCAGAAAGAGGGCGATGCCAGCAACTACATGACGGAGCAGAGCTACTGGCAGCAGCAACAGCAGCAGCAGCAGCATCAACAGCAGCAACATCAGCACCAACAACAACAGCAGCAACATCAACAACAGCAACATCAACAGCAGCAGCAGCAGCAACACAAGCAACTCCAGCAGCAACAGCAACAGTGGAGCGGCAACAATGGCAGCAACAACCAAAGGAGCAATAACTATGCCAACAACTATGCGGCGGCAGCAGCCGCCTCCATGTACATGCAACACTTCAATCCCTACATGCAACAGAAGGCGGCGCTGCTGGCGGAGAAGGCCGCACAGGCGGCGGCAGCAGCGGCGGCGGTCCAAAACAGCAACGGGGGCAACAAGCACGGTCGCTTCGGCGGCGACTACGGCTAGGATCCGCCGGGATCACGGTGCAACTAAACCGGATCGAAATCACTTGCATATTAACATAAACATATAGGCATATACATATAACACATATGTGTAATAATAACTATATATTTAGAGGCATCGTATAGGCCGTTTTACCGCCAGGAATTGGTAAAGGATAAACCATGATTTTCCTTTAATTTAAAATACACAGGAATAGCAACAACAAGGTAACCGGAAGCAACAAACAATAATTTATAAACAACAAAAAAACAAGGAGGAAAACAAAAGCAGAAAACAAAAGATAAAAAAAAACTTAAATTGAATTAGTAAAAATTTGTTATTGGTAGTTTGTTAACAAAAGAGAAAAACAAAAAACAGAGATGAAAAGTGAGAGAAAACAACACGAAAAGTAAACAAAAAATAATGTAGTAGATCGACGAGAAAGCGGAAGGCAAATGGAAAAAAAACCTAATTATTGTATTATTGTTAACCAAAATCTATTATTATTATTATCTCAAGCTGCGTTATATTATTATTATTAACTCGTGTGTCTGTATATAGCGTTTTTATCTAGATGTATTACACTTAGTGATTCCCAACCGATCCTCTATCCCAAGTTCCCACTCCGTCTATCCTCCTTTATGCCAGGACAATCCTCGGACCGACCTCTTGACCCTCACCAAAAAACAAACATAAACAAAAACGAAACCAACAAACAAAAACCGCAGCGCTAAAAGGCAAACAACCAATTTTGTATTCATTCCGAAATGTGTTTTCTTTTTTGTTTTTACTAGTTATTACGCTGATTATTTATGAACACGATGGAAATGAAAATGGAAATCCCTAACATGTGCAATCTAACATTTATGTTCTAGATACGAAAACCAAACACAAGAATCACAAAACTTATTAACACGAAAATGGCAAAGCAAAAAGCATGATCATGAAAATGGAAAAATAAAGAGAACCCTTTTAGAGAATTTCGCTGATAAAGGCAACAGAATAGCAAAATAAACCGACTTTTACTTGGCGAGTGCTATCTATATCTACTCTATCTGAACAATCCAGAGCTTTAGAAGTACATTTCGAAGTGTGCGGGCATTCATAGGTGCTTTTTATAAATATAATTGTATTTGTTTTCCAAGTTCAGTGTATAATAGGCATATAAAAGTTAATTTCTGTATAAATACGCAACTTTTCACTTAAAAACAACATTATGTAATATTTTTTTTTGTTTCTGTTAAACATTTAGTTAGAACCACTCTTAAAGTAATCGTTCCTTTCTAAGGCATTTGGAATGCGCGCGTGCAAATCGTTTCAGCTATATCATTGTATATTCCCGTGAAAGTGTGTGCTCGGTATGGTTCCATCCTTTTGTTGCTTTGTGCTCCCAGCCGATCTCCAACGATAAGTCCACGGGTCAAGCTACTCAATTTGGCGGCTGGCCTCCTGCAAACGCGCCACCACTCCCTGGTAGAATTTAATCTGCTCGGCAATGAAATTCTTAAGCGTGTGCTTTAAATGCGTATCCCGTTCGCTCTTGAAGTGGGTCAGCTCGGCCAGAACCGTGTAGGAAACGACGTCCGTGCGTCGGTTCACGTCGTGCAGCTGGGGATTGTTCATCTTGCCCTCGCCGGCCAATCGCTCGCAGTCCTTTCGCTTCTGGATGGCGCCCTTATGCGTCGAAAAGATATCCGGAAAGCAGTTAAGAACGCCCCTTTTTGGAAAAAGAAAACAAAATATTAGATAATGGTTTAACTTCATGCTATTCACAACTTCTGTTGGCAGATTACAACACTTTCACCTAACACCGAAACCTAACAATAGACCACGCAATATATCTCTTTGTTAACACCACAATAAAGGTCAGCATACGTAAGAACTAAAAATAAACTATTGGCACGGAAATAGGTTTGATTAAACATTGATACTTTCGCACTTAGCAGATTATTATTTCTATGAAAAGAATGTTTACTTTTTAAAAGTAAACCATTAAAAATCAAAACAATTAATTTGCTTTTTTTAGCTATAAGTCAATGTTAACAAAGTACTAATCTTTTTCTTCTAATAGAAATTAATTCTTTTAATTTTCTGTTGTTTTCTTGCCGCCTGATTTGTAAAAGTTTAAATAATGAGTCAGCACAAAATAGAATACCAAAGAGTTAACAACAGTTTCTAGCAATTTCTTTTTTTTTTTACGTCATCAAACCAGTTAAGTCTTAAGAAACGTTCCATAGCTACATGTACATATTTCCCTTTCCCTTTTTCGGAGGTTAACTCACCTGTAGATGTGCAGTCGGTCGGAGAGCGGAATCCAATCGTGCTTTGGCTGGTCGCCGAAGGCCTGGCCAATACCAATAAAGATGCCACCGATGCGTCCGACGCTCTCGGAGAGCGGAACAGCGTTCCGCGTGGGCGCACGCCGCTCATCGATGGCCAACGCCTTGGCCAGGTCGGAAAGACCGTCGCCGATGCGCTGGAACTCCTTTTTACTCTGCGACATCGAGCGCTTGGCCATGTCGTTGGAAATGTTGTTCAGATTGCGCACCGCCACGTCCATGCTGTGGATGAACTGGGTGCCCAGCTCCAACTGGGCATCGACCTTTGAGTGCAGCAGATTCTTGTCCGGCGGCGAGATGGCCAGGCAGTAGTTGACGCCCATGTAGGGATCGCGTTCCGCCTTGCGCTTGCCCGACTTCCAGATCTTCTCGTCGCGGCAGGTGAGGAAATGGTACCAGACCTCGCATTTCGAGATCACCGGATGGCGGCACACCCAGTCCACGAACTCCTGCAGCTGAACGCGTCTATGTTCCACAAATTGCTCTTCATAGCGGCCGGAGATCTGCTTGTCCGGCAGCGGTGGCACCGGAATCAGGCAGAACTTGTCGACCAAACGTTCGTGCAACCAGTCGAAATGCTTGTAGCGACGCGACACCTAAACGAAAGGGAAACCCAGATTAGATATGACCAATTAATTGTGAAATGTGACACGGAAAATGGAACTCGGAGTGGAGGGTCAGAGGCGCTTGCTGTTGAGTCATGTCTACAAGCAGAAGCAATCATTGCAATTGCGTTGGCTACCAGTTGGTCGGTCGGTCAGAATTGCCCCAACAAAGAAGAATTTCAAGTGCTGTAGCGAAGCTTTTATACCCTACTGCCTAGTTTTAATGGCTATTTAAAGATATAAAAAAAGATTAAAATCCCCAATGAGCAATAAAACAACATTACTTTATTTTATGATTATTTAAGAACACCGCATACAAAGGAAAAATATTCTTTGCAAGGAAGTGCAAGTCAGAAAATAAACAAATATTCAAGAAATAAAAAAAGTTTAGATTTTGCAGAAGAAAAACCAGAAAAAGAAAGTTATTTCAGTTGCTGTGTGCCCCATCAAATTAAAATGAACAAAAGGTCATCCCAGGGTCGATTGGGTTGGGAAAATGTTGACCGGCAATTAGTGCGGAGTTTCGATAAACAAAGGATTGTTCTTTCTTTCAATCCGTCAACGCTTTGTCTTGCCGAAAGCACATGACCAAGCCCAATTTACCCTTGGCAGAAAGTAGAGAGGAAAAAAGCCACATATTATCAAATAAAGACGGAGTGAAAAGCTGAAAAGAAACCCTGCACCCGTAAGATACACAGACAGTCATAAGCGGCGAGCTTTATCGTATTGTGTTGTTAATCACGGCGATATCAGCCGGAGCAGTTAACTTACGGATATGTTGTTGAAGCTAGGCGTTAGTTGGTAGGCGATAAACGTCTTCATCCCCTTGAACTTGGACTCCTTTTTGGGACTGGCCACCACAACGGAGTAGGGCGAGTGATTTTGCGTCCACTGGTAGATGGAATCCTCCTGCTGGGTAATGTAGGCCATCTCGCATTCTGGTATCTTCTCCTTGGGGCTGGACAGGCCGAGTATGTACGAATCAGAGCTCTTGGCAAACATGCCCTTCTTGACGGTCCCGGCGGCACCAGAACCTCCACCCGCGGCGGAGGCCAGCGATTGGGTGTCATCGTTGGGAGCGATGGGTAGGTGTTTGTTATCGTAATCGCTGGTGGAGTGCGATAATCCTGCAGAGCGTGCCGCCTGGCCTGAGCCCCTATTTCCAGCCGGTCCAATCTCCGAGTATGTGTCGTTGTCATCGCTCCAATCGTCCTCATCATCCCAGTTGCTCCCATCGTCATCGGCTGTTTGATCGTAACGTGGAGGAGCTGGCGTGGCAAAGGGATCAGCAACCTGAGGCACTGAGGTGGCTCCGCTGGCGCTTAGCTTCTGGGCCTCCGCCGCCGACATCACCTCCACGTAGGCCGCCGGAAAGAGGCCAATCTGCCCCCGGGCGTTCTTGCCCTCCCACCAGCCCTCGCCCACATCGCTGCGCGTCACCGAAAGCACGTCTCCGGTGGCGATCGAAAGCTCCGAGGATCCGGGCTCCCCGCTGAAGTCGTACATGGCACGCACGTACGAGGTCATCTTCACTTCACACTTCCACTCTGTCCTTTTAGGCTAAATCCAATTTCGAGTGCTATGGGGCCATAAACAGGCAAAAATAATAGTAAGACTGAATCTGAATCACCACAAGTGTTACCGTTCTGAGTTACGAAAATAAAGTGAAAGTGGCAACAACCGCCACAAATGATTCCACTGGTACACATTCAAAAAAAATAAGCTAGGAATTGAATCTTCTATTGACACATATCCAAGTATTTAAGTTAAGAATTGTGTAATAAAACAAACGACAATGGATTTTTGCCAATGGAAAACATTCCTTAATGATCCCCGGTTAAAAATACGACTTAAATTATGCTGAAGTTCCGTACTTTGAACAGTTTTCTTTTGCCCATCAAACTAAAAATGTTTTTTAATTTACATAAAGTGCAATTAAGCAAAATCAGTAACTATCAACATGAGTCTGCCTAAATCAAATAGTTATAGATTGTTGTAGCTAAAAACACTTTAACAGAACCCCCCTTCTAAAAAGAGGGAAATTCCAGGGCTGCATGAAAGTGCACAGCTGGCGATGTATCGGGATGCGACAAATTATCGAGTTGGCATAAAAAATCTTTTCTTCGTGTCGTGTTATTCATTCCTTAATTGCGCGTTGCTTTAATTTGTGGGTGAGCGAAATCTGAGCTCGGCGCCTTCGCCAGTTGTGCAATACTCTAAATCCAGCAGTGTTTGCAGATCCCCCACGCCTTGAAAAACAATTTTTTGTGGGCAACAGCGCCGCATATTTTCAGATACTTCAACACACCGTCAATTGCGTTTAGAGTATATTTTTTACCGACCACAATGAATCGGCAGGCTAAATTCCTAATCTTGTGCCTGTTTGTTGGCCTGTTCTCAGCAAATTTATGCGATGAAGGTAAGTCCTAAATTGAATAAAGTCGAATTGATATCAAATTGAAAATCAGGAACACTCATTTCTCAATTGTGAAATCACACACTTGCATCTGCATGCATACGTGTGAGAAAGCAGTTGCGGTTGTGTGGGTGTGGGGGTTTTTAAATGCCAATTACTATATTGAATATCAATTCTCCGGCCATTTTCTCTTAGTTCGATTTGGGGTAATGTTCTCGCTGAAAGAACTAATAATACTTTACCAAGTTTAACAAACCGACCATCATTTCCAAAGGTCAATTTTGCTTATTTTGTTTAATTATCGAATCTTATCGAAATTACACAGTTTTAACCTAGTTTCAGCGACACAACATTTTTGTTTCATCTTTTCTTTTCTTTTTTAATTTCCGTGAAATTTTCTGTTTATTTTAAATAGCTTAACAAATTACATATTATTTTCTTTAAGTGGTCAAATGACAGAATTACAGATTCCTTTTTTGTCATCTTATTAAGTTCAGTGTTTAACTAAGCTCGACCTTTGAACACTTTCCCCTGCTTGACATCATTGACTTTTGACATTTCTTGATCATTTTATTTTTATAAAAATCTCTTGTATTAATTAATAGCACTTGTGTGCTTATCTCTTGGTTTGTTCAATGCCCTCGGTTTTCGATGACTCACATTGACAAATTTCTCCATCATTATCTTGCTGATTACTTTACCATTCCCAGACTTTTACGTTCAAGTTTTGATAAATATATAAATTCACACATTCATAATATTCCCTGAAAATTTCGGTGATAAGCAAATTGTGATATATTTCAGTATTTATATTCTTCAAAATTGATCGATGATAAGCAAAGTAAAAACCAAACAAACCTTCGCATTAACGGGTTCCTCCCCTTTTTAGTGACCGTTACTACGCCGGCTTCTAAAGATAACAACACCACAGTTCCAACCACCTCAACTCCACCGCCGGAAACCACTACGACTGCGCCGGTGACCACCACAACTGAAAAGACCACTACGCCGCCACCAACCACATCGACAACACCAGCCACAACAACTACTACGCCCAAATCCACAACGACCACAAGTTCTACAACTCCGGCCAGCACCACTACCACCACCACAACAACAACAACCGCTCCGACAACCACGTCGACCACTCCGCCTCCGAACTCGACCACAACCACGCCGCCACCGCATACATCGACCACTCCGGCGCCAAAGCCGGTGCCGTGCGGCCATTTTGATGGATCCTCGTTCATCGGCGGGATCGTTCTGACCCTGGGCCTGCTGGCCATCGGATTAGTGGCCTACAAGTTCTACAAGGCCCGCAACGAGCGCAACTACCACACCCTTTGAGCCGCCACCGCCTTTACGTCGGCCTTCAACGCGGCAGCCGGAGCGGCGGCGGCCAGCAGCAGTGCCGCATCAACAGATGCGGAACGTGTGCGGTTCGTCCAGCCTTCGATACCGCTGAGATCGCCGCCGGCGCAACCACCACCGCCGCCTCCCACTCAAATGATGGGCGGTGGCAGTGGTGGCGGAGCGGCGGCAGCTCCGCAAAACTGCTCGCCATCGGCCAGAGATCGGTTGCTGCACACGTAATTTAAACGCGGGGAACTACTATCCACATAACTGCTATCCAAAGAGAACCACTTTTTTCCCTATAAATCCCAAACACACACACACACACTCATAAGTCAAGTAAAGTCAGTTCTTTAATTCAACGATAACCCCCAGAGCTGATTTAAAGCGGGCCAGATAGGAGCAGGCTCTTGAATTCTTTCCTTATCAGTCACACGACCCACACTTTCTGAAGTGAATACAAACAAATATTTGTCTTAAATGCATATGTAAGGGCTTTTTGCAAAAATCAGTTTATCAGCAAATTGAGCGGATGTTCAACGCCTTATAGAAGGAGCCCGCGGAGCCTGTTACAGGGAAACCAAGGGCGACCATGAACAGAGAGAAATTAAAAATGATGAGTAATGAGTTTTAAGATCAGAATGAAACAAAACAAGAGGAGTAAGAACAAATAACAGCAAACATGTGAGACTGCTTGATAGCGAGAAGTGAACAGATCAGTAAACGGAGAGCGGCTGGCGACGGCTTTGTTTCTGGAATTCATAGAGCTACGAAAGGAAATATAAATTTTGATTATATTTACACAATTTTTGAATAACTAAAATCAATTCATTTTAGAAACTAAGAATATTTACTACCTAAACCGAGCTATACAAAATGGAAACGCGTTTCAATTTCCCCATTTGATGTGCATTTTTGTCCCCTCATAAAAACTAACTTTTGCTGCGTTTCCCCCAGTCTTTTTGCCCACGTATCGATTCTCCTCACCCGCTTTTGGTGGGGTCTGTAGTATTGCAAAAAATCAATAAAGCGAATAACGCGATGCACAGCAACAGGATTTACGGGTTGCGGTGCACGGTTGATATATGTTTATATGCGATATAAACAAATATTTACATATGTATGTATGTATATCGCTAAGTAGATTGCAGCTGAGGAAGCCCCCTGTTAATGCATATACGCAAATGTTGAATATTTTGTACTAGGATTGAAACTATACATATGAATTACTTTTACCTACCCGCGCTTACTGTTGGATAAATACACCTTTGAAGCTACAAATCGATCACATGAACCCGTCAAGTTTACGCGAATGAAAACTCTGTGCACATAAAAATCTCATAAGAATATAAGCTAAAGTAACCAATCAATGTATATCCAGTAAATCACTCAGCCGGCTTACTAAAAATATATATATAAATATATCTATGTCTGTATATCGTGTACGATAATAAATATTTTAAAAATTTAAAGGAGCTGTTTTTTAATTGGGTCAAAATTTTACCAACAGTAAGGTAACATGCCATTATTTTAACAAAACATAAAAACCAACTACTAGTTATGTTTTAATTGTCAATTAAAAATGGGTATTTTTATTAAAATTAGGAAACATTAATTATTCTCTATTCAGCGCTTAGTTTCTTTAACTTCTTGGGGGTCTTAATATTGTTGGTCTTCTCCTTAGGCGATTTTCTCTTCAGATTTACTTTCTGTTTCTCAATTTTGGGGGACTTCCCTTTTTCCACTTGTGTTTTCTGGTTCTTTTTGGGGGACTTCCCGTTTTCCGCTTTTTGCTTGAGCTTATCTTTCGGGCTTCGCTTTTTCTGAGTGTTGAACCGCAGTGTCAGTGGCGTGCCCGATAGACTCAGTTTTTTTTTAATGACCTTGCGTGCATCGTGGGTTGTTGGTAGGGTTACGGTCGCAGTGCTGTAGTTACGGAACTTGCCCTTTCCTGGCTTTATTTGAATGTCCACTGCCTCCTCGAACAGCTGTCGAACCTGAGCCACCGAACTGGTTTTGGGCAGATTGGTTATGACCACGGAAGAGGTGAAGTGGCCTTTGGTCTGCCCTTTCTTGGTGGCCCGCTTCATCAGCGCCTTGGTGCGTTTGTTCTCCAGAGATGTCTGCTTGCGCGTCACCAGTTCGTTTACAAAATCATCGGAATCAGTTTTGGGTAGGGAAACATATATACCCTTATACTTGGCATCCTTCTCGATGTTGGTTTTAATGTCCTTAAAGGCTTGGTCACGATTTTCCTTGGACCCGAAATCAACTAGGCAGAAGCGGGCGTGCTTTTGGCGCGGCTTTGAGGACTTAACCACCAGTGGGTGCAACGCCTTCACCTTGGCATTGAACTCTTCCAAGTCCAGTGGCAATTTCTGGGGAAAGCGGACGTAAAGCCGGGTGCCTTTAAGCTGGTCGTACTTGGTGTGGATCTGCTCGTCAATAATCTCTGCCCGGCTTTTGGGTACAGTCTTAACTTCCTCATCCTCGCTGTCATCTTCATCGGACTCAGTGTCACTGGCACCAAGATCCTGTTCGGAATCTCCGGATTCCTCATCCTCGGAGTCTTCCGCTTGCAGATCCTCATCGTCAAAACCCTCGGAGTCATCCGCCTGCAGCTCCTCTTCGTTGGATCCCTCGGAGTCCTCGGATGCACTTTCCACCTGCTTTTTCTTCATATTTTATTGGTAATACAAAATGTTTATAAATCGCTACTTGCACGTGTAGCTGCAGTGTGACCAAAGCATTACATTAAACAAAATATTAAATTCTAGACATTCTAAAAAAGCCAAATCTAGCTATTAGAAACCACAACACTGCTGTAACAATTCTTCTGTTTACCTTTTTCCGAATCGCAGCATGGCTACGGATAATCTGTATTTTTGGAATGAATTTGAGTTAAAACAACCGCCCTTGGTAACTCTTCAAGTAGAGGACACTGGTTTTGGTAGGTGGCAATCGTTGGCAATCAAAACTCTTACTCTTAACAAGTTTTCTTTCTTCAAAATAGCCAAAAGTGTGTTTGTGGTTATCAACAGGTTCCTGCAACAGTTGTCCGAACCCGACGCCATGGAGTTCGATGAAACAGCGGCCTTGATTGGGAGACTGATGGCTCGCAGGAAGAACTCCTTTCGGAACATGCCGGGATTCCGGTCTGTCTGTAAATTAAACTCCGCGCTGTGCCGCCTTCTCCGTTTGGATTTGGCCAGGGATCTGCAGCAGTTTCGTGGTGCTCTGCCGGATGTCTGCGATGAAAATCTGGGCGGAGCCATGCCCACGAGGAGCAACTTTGAGTTTATTTTGGTGCGCCTGATGGGCTTCTATCATCTTCACGAGCGGATCAGGGAATGTTGCCATGCGGCAGCCTCATATTTTACCAAACTCCTGCGCAACAACTTCTTCATGGAGTTTACCACTTTGCTTATTGCAGCCCTAGCCAAAATTAACAAACTGAGTTCCGCACAGGCCAGTAGATGTGCCAGTCTATATAACAAACTGCGCCCGCAAGTACCTCACTTCCCTCAGGTGGCAAAACACAAGTTTCTGAAGGAAAATCAAGAGCTACCTGCTAAATTAGAACTTATTAAGAACACACATAGTCAAGCAAAAGAAACCAATACTCCAACTTTGGTCTTGAAACCCAAAAAGGTAGTAACCAAACTGGAAAAAGCCAAATTGGAGGCCAAATCCGATGTGGGAACTATTGTTGAGAGAAAGGAGTCCCCTGCTCAAGCTGTAACCGAAGTCAAATTTAATGAAGAGGTTCTGGCCACCGTTGCGGATGCCCAGAAATTTATTGCCCGCGAATCGAAGGCTAGACAACAGACTCCAGTTCCCGAAAGCTGTTTAACTAAGAAAATACCCAAACACGAGTGGCTAGGCGCCCAGACGCTTTTTCAGCGTAAATTGTCGAAGGATCCCGCAAAAGCGTTAAGCATATTTCGCAAATTTATTGTAAGCAAAATAAAGTAAACTTTTACATAGGCAAAAACAAACTTGTATACAAATAACAAGAAGACATTTAATTAAAGACAGGTCACCGTGATGTCCATTGTTCTTCCTGTCCATAGTTCTTAAAATAGTCGAGGATAAGGATTGTTATTCTGAAAGGAGGTGCAAAATCACTTTAACACATGAACCTTCTTCATTATTTCAATAAGAACCTTGGCCAACATTTTAAAGACAGGTCACCATGCCGTCTACTAGCTGCATACTCTTCAAACCCACAATGCGTCGCTGTGGATGAGGATTGTTTGTCTAAAAAGAGATTCAAAATCAGTTGAAAATAAATGTCTTTCATTATTCAATTACGCACCTTGACAAAGGTTTTAAAGTTCTTGCGTCCGCTGTACTTGCTCACAGAAATATTGATAGAAGCATCTACTTCCTCTTGAGAGCGTTTGATGATGGTAAGGTTGCACATGCGCACCTGAATGCTGTCTTTCATGGCCGCCAGCCACTTTTCCTCATCGGGATCCGCCTTAATGGAGTTTTCCAGCTTGTCTTCTGTTTTTATCTCGGGTTCGATAGTATCATGAAGCCTGCTACACGATAACCAACCACTGACGTCCACTTTTTTGGGCATTTCCTTGCGTTGCACAACCACGTACTTAGATTTTGTCTTTGCTTCTGAATCCGGCTGAAAGGGTTCAGTCAGCACGGAGTCCTGGTCAACAGGATCGCTTGCTTTTTCCGAGTTAAAATTAAACAAGCCATCCGTGGAATCTTCGTGGTTATCCTTATTCTCATTATGCTTTTTCTTTTTGCTGCTGGCAAAGTTAAAGACATTTTCATTGTCGTCGCTGTCGCTTTCGTTTAGCGGTTGCAATCGCAAACGCTTTTGGGGTTGTGTTTGCGATTGAGACAGTAACTGAGATTTTGATGCTGATTCATGCGATTGTGATTTTTCCAGAAAGTTGATTACACTAATTCTTTCTAGTGGCTTTCCCGCTGACTTTGGCTCAGTTTGCTTTTGTGAAGTACTCCGTGAAGTTGTTTCCGGCTGTTGGTTGGTAATATTTGTGGCCACTGGTTTGGTATTGAGGCGTGGCGATGTCCTGACAACTGCAGGAGCTTCTAGTTTCTTTCTTTTTTCGCTTCGATCTGCCGTTTCTTTTGCTTTCACAGAATTTTCGCTCTCCTCATCAGAAGAGTCTACAAAATATATGGGCTTGACCCGCTTTGACGTTCGTTTATTTTGATCTGGAATAGGCACTGGTGGTTTAACAGCTTCCTGTTCAGACGTGGCCTTGCTTTGTCTTGTCATGCGTTTACTTGAAGTTGGCTTATCTGCTTCCTCCTCATCTTCAATCGCCTTGCTTCTCCTAGTCACAGGCTTAATTGGTGCTGCAGCTTCCTCTTCATCAGAGGAGTCCACAAGGATGGCATTCTCTTCGTTTCTCTTTGGTTTTGCTTGGGGAACAGGCTTGGCTCGCTTTAAAGCTGCTTCCTGCTCCTCATCAGAAGAGTCAATTAAAGAATGACTTCGTTTACGCAAATAACTTTTAAGGGCTTCCGTTGCAGGTTTGGAAGACACCTCCTGCATACTAGAGGCATCCGATTCGGGTACCACTAGTTCTGAAATGGCAGAGCCACTGGATTGGGCCGAATGACGTTCCGTGTTGGGCACTATTATCGAAGAATTAAAAACCATCGATGATGTTACTGACTCAGTAGAAGGTAACGATTCGTTGATCAACATGTGTGCTGGGTTGCAGAACTCCTTGATCGAGCAATGCAGCAATGCCATACCAATCTCATACTCCTGGATAACACGTCTGCCACTTTGCTCCAGGATTTCTAAAAGAAATGTTTAATTAATGGTGTTGGTGTTAACATTACTTCCAAGCCTACCTTGTATACTATTTATTGATTCAGTGGCCTGCGACTGAGTGGAAGGTACATATTGTATAACTATCACATCGTTCTTTGTTAGGAACGTCTTTCGTACACCAGAAGCAAGATCCTTGCAGGCTGCCCCAGCTTTCTGCACAACTGATCCGTACATTTCAAAGTGTTTGCGATTCATGAAGACAAAGGTCTTGCCGGCAAACAGACGAGTGCGTTCGGGACGCCAGGTAACATCCATATTGCTGGGCTGGTAATCCTCCGGCTGTGGCCAGCCCTCCTTGACATGAATGCTCTGCGCTGAATGGAGCATTTTCCTCCAGTAGGCGAAGGTGACAATGGGTTTGTTTTCGAGCAGAGCGTGTAGAAGCTTCACCGTTACCGAAGCTTCGTTCATGGTGAGATGGGTGCACTCATCAGTATAGTTTGGACTCACAGTTCCGCCCATAGGCCGAAGCATCTCTTCGAGTTCTTGAATTTCAGGTCGTGTTAAAGCAGACACAGCGGTGATCAATTCAAGTTGGGACACCTGCCAAATGCTTGTGTTTGCGCCAAATCGCACTCGAATTCCCACTTGCAACTGAGTTATTGTTTTGGCGGCCACTTTTCGGGGCTTTTGGGAATTCCTTGGGAAAATAAAGGTTCCGTATCTAGAGCCCAGATCCTCCATTTGCAGGATGTCTTCATCGTCTTCTTTAGCAAGGTGAAACTGCACATGATTGCGACTTATACTGAGATCCTGGGACACGATCAAATCCGTGGATTGACGTCCAACGGTGTAAACATTTTTAGTGGGCAACAGAACAAACTTTTCGTCATCTGTGAAGAGAAATAGAATTGTTGTTAAACAGCTAATGGTGTTTATTTTAGTTTAAACAAACCTTTTGTTAAAACAAACATTATTTCAAAACGAACACGGCACGAAATTCCTTACAGTGTGACCTTTTCTGATGATGAATAAAAATAAATAATATGGCAAATGATAATATCAAATTTGGGATAAATATTTATACGTTAACAGGGCTATTTAATTAACGATGACAATTTAAAATTTGTGTAGGCTGCTTTTCTGTGTATTATATTCAAAAAATCCCGCTTCTAACAAATTTTTTACAATGAACGAAATGCCCTTATTGCACCGTTCCCTGTGATTGGAAAGTTAGCAAGAAGAAGCATACGCAGCCGGTTTGTTTTTGTGTCGATTCTTGCAACAAAAACTGATAAATCCATTTATTTACCCGGTAAATGTGAGCTAAGACACCTGTAATCATGGCTCACTTAACCGGCACCCGCGTCAGCACGTTTAATGAGAGTTTTCTCAACGAAAATGAGCACGATTCCAATGCGGTGCTTATGGAATTGGACAAGGGATTGCGGAGCGCCAAGCAAGGAATCCAATGCGAGGCTATTGTCCGTTTCCCTCGGCTCTTCGAAAAGTATCCCTTTCCGATCCTCATAAACTCGTCCTTTATAAAACTGGCCGAGTTCTTCGTCAGCGGATCGAATCTCCTGCGATTTTGGGTGCTTCGCGTTTGCCAGCAGAGCGAAAATCATCTGGACAAGATTCTCAATATCGACAACTTTGTGCGTCGCATCTTTATGGTGATGCACTCCAACGATCCGGTGGCTCGAGCCCTGCTCTTACGCACTTTGGGCGCCGTCTCCCGGGTGATCCCCGAAAAGCAACAGGTGCACCATGCCATTCGGCGTGCTTTGGATAGCCATGACACCGTGGAGGTGGAGGCGGCCATCTACGCCAGCAGCTGTTTTGCCGCCCAGTCCAGTTCGTTTGCCATCAGCATGTGTGCCAAGATCTCGGACATGATTGAATCGCTGCAGGTGCCTGTGCCGATGAAGCTGCTCCTCATTCCCGTCCTGCGGCACATGCATCACGAGGCCACCACAGCGGCGCTGGTCAGCAGGCTGTGCATGGATCTGCTACCCAAGTATCCGGCACAGAGTTTCGTGGTGGCCATCATAGACACCCTAACACAGTTATCTTCCCGCACATTGGTGGGAGTACCTGGTCAACTGGATGTTCTGCTGGATTTCATGCAGGACTTAAGGACACCGGTGCGCATTCAAGTCCTGCGCTCTTTTAACGAACTTGCCGGTCGGCAGAGTGTCCATGCCTGGCCCAAACCGGCTATTGGAGCGCTCATTGGCCGATTTGAGTCTTGTACGAACTCCCAGGAGCAGTTCCTCTTCCTCTCCATTCTGCTGAAGCTAAGCGAGTGCCCACTCACCTGCCAGCAGCTGCTTCGTGAGCATCGCGAGGCCTTGCTTCGCCTGTGCATCCAGTGCATCAGCAAATTGGATGACTACACCACTGCCACTCAAGCTATGGCTGTGCTCTCTGTCCTCGTGGCGTTCGGTCTGAAGAAGAAAACCAGCGGCGAGCAGGTGGGGGATATTCTGCACATGGTTAACCTTCACATGGAAGGACTGCTTCTCTGCACCGCCAAAAGAGCAGAGTGCACCCGGGATTTGCGTAGGGTGTTAACCTACGGCATAAGGATTACCCAAGCTAACGCCGAATTTGGAACCTCCTTTATCGAAATCGTAACCAATACCCTGGGCGATAAGATGGCCTACCCTCCGGCAAATGCGGAGCTCATGTGCGAGGCGCTAGTCGGTCTCTGTGAGCACTTTCAGCTGCGCAAGTATGCCTTTTCCACGGCAGAAGATTTGATAGGAGATGACAATGCCATGGACACCGATGAACCGCCCCCTGTGAAGGTAACTGCTGTCTTTAAACCTAAACTAAACATCAGCTAAAGGTATTTATTTTCAGGTAAATCCCATGCTGGCTCGTTTGCCTCTCATCTTGCACAAACTAAACACCATCATCGACCAGGAGAACTGCGATCAGCAATTGAGAACAGTGGAAATCCTCAGTGCTTTGGTACTTCAGACCACAATGGGCTGTTATCTGCCCCAAAAGGTGGTGCAGTGCTTTGAGAAGTGCCTTGGCAGGCTCAACTGCTGGACATTGTACAGAATAGCACGCACGGCGAGTCGCTATGGTCACCACTATGTGGCTGCTCACATTTACACGCAAGTTTCGCAGATTGTGATCAGCGATCATATGCATTATTTTCTGGTCGCCTTGTCGCAGATCTCGCAGGCAGAATGCATCCTCAACTATGGCTTGGAGTACGCCTACATGCGGGATAATTATGCACCAAAGGCAGCGCCGGAACCTTTGTTGCCGCTCATGAAACGTTTGGAGATGGCCAGTAATCTTTACCAGCAGGCACTGGCCAGCTTAAGAGCTTGTTCATCGCCCCAGCACCCATGCACATTTCAGTTGGAGTATCTTAAGATTAGGGCACAGTTTCTGCAGACTCTCCACCTCGCAGTGACCGTAAAGAATGCCCAGGTTATTGTGCCTCCTCCTGCGATTGCTGGAAGTCTGGCTCAGAACTCTCGGGATTACTTACAGAAGTTTGGTCATGTTACGAATCAGTTGCGCAAACTGGTCAAGGCTTTAAAAGCCTGCGAGGAAACTTACGCCAGACTCTACAAGTCGTCCTTTGATGCGGATCATGTGACGTTGGAGTTCCTCGAAGTGGCTGAATTTCAATGTGCATTGTTTGCTCACATCATTGAATCCATTTGCTATGCCACGCCACCGGAACCTCCCGTTTTCCTGACCACTGGAGATCATCCGGAAACGCGCTACTTTGCGGCTAGTTGTCAGCGCATGGAACAGATGCAGAAGAACCTTCCCCAGGAGCCATCTAATGCCAAGACCATTAGCAATCGGCATTTGGATGTCATTATTGCACAGATAGAGATCATAACGAAGACGCCGCTTTGCCTGCCGCGCTACTTCTTCCAGATCCTGCAGTCCACGCAGATCAAGCTGTCGGTCAGTCCGCAGCCAAGGAGCGCCACCGAACCCGTGAATGTCCAGTCGGGCAGCAACCTGGTGATCAAGGTGGAGGGTGTACTGCAGCATTTTAGCAAGCAGCAGAAGCATTTCCGCCGCGTGGAGTCCGTGCAGTTGAGCCTCACCTCGCAGTTGATTACGCCGCCACCCCGATCCTCGCAAGAGTTGCCAAAACAGGGAACCAATGACACGGTGACCCTAAACCAGATTGTGAAACCGCAGCGCGATTTCCTTTCCGGCAGCTTCTTGCTGCCCATCTCCAGTGGCGGGCACTTCCAGGTGACGCTGGAAACATTTGTGGTGGATGAGAACGGGATCACCTGGTGCACGGGACCCAAGTCGTCAATGGTGGTGAGGGTGCTGGAGGATCCCACCAAACAGGGAGCACCAGCGCCCAGCACTTCCCAAGCGGTGGGGCAAACCAGGAGGTTTTAAACCATTAATACATAGTTTTTAGAATGAAATATATGTTTAATTAAAGAAGACAATTTTAAGATGAAATATTTATTAAAATATTTTCTTCAAAATACAAATTCTTTTATTACAAATTTATTACTTGAAGAGGTGCATTACTTCATTCAATTTTTTAAGTTACAGTATAAAGTTGTTAATTCAATGTTTGTTTAATAATATAGTTCTTTCCGCTTTTTTTTTTTTTTTTAAAAAGTCTGTACTGACCTATACCTAAATTGATCTAAAAAACTAATTAAATCAAAAATCCAATCAGAATGATATTGCCGACACCTACAAATAACCTATATCACGATACTATCGCAGGTGGTTAGCCACCTCTACCGTTTGGTATATTTTAAAGGTCCAGCAACGGTCTCACTACTGCTGATTTGTTTTCATTAATTCTTTTTGGCGAATAAATTAGGACAAATGAGGCATCCTAGCGGAAGATGCGAATTGTGACCAGCGGGCCGAAGCAGCGACATGCGAGACCGACACTAGCGAATCACCATCACCTGGCCAGCGTTGTAAGGGATTCCCGGAAAGCCGTACACCTCGATCGAAACCTAAAACCAGTGGAGCTCCCGCAGTCGAGCAAGTGGTTCCTACATGTCCCCCCGCGCCGAGCGACACCCCTTCTCCAACACCTCGACCAGCCAATGTAAATTTTAATTGAATCCAATTGAGCGCACACCCGAAAAAGACGCACGCACCAAAACGAAGCCGCAAACCAAAAGCACTCAAAACGGAGGGCTCCGTTGGACAGAGAATCCGCGCTTAACCTGGTGCAATAAATGGACATAATTGCTCTAATTGGAGAGCAGAGCAGCAGCAGTAGCAGCAGCAGTGGCAGCAGCAGCAGCAGTGGCAGTGGGACTCGGATTGGGATTGGAGGAGGAGCACCCCCCGGACAATAGTAGGATGGCACAATTCACACTGTGAGTATATATATCTAGTTGGTTATCAGTCGGCAGTGCAGCACTTGGATTTCCTGCTTTTGCGACCGTTGTCAATGGGGGAGCTTTTGTTTATCTATTGACGGCGCTCGACGGCGGTATTATGCAAGTGAATTCGGTTGGAGGACTAATACATATAGATCATGAAACATTAACATACATTACGAGCAGCTACAACAAACACAGCGCGCCGCCCAGCAGCGATAGTACGCGCGTGGACTGCGAACACGTACCGCTATGCTCCATCAACGATGTGCAGCTAAGGTTTCTGGTGCCCGACGATCTCACGGAGGTGAGTATATGTCCCCCAATTGCCACATGCTAATCCCCATTTGCATCTTTATATCTATTAAATACTGTAGGTGCGCCAGCTGTGCCAAGAATGGTTTCCAATCGACTATCCACTATCATGGTATGAGGATATTACCTCAAGCACGCGCTTCTTTGCGCTGGCAGCTGTATATAATCTGGCCATAATTGGTTTAATCGTTGCCGAAATCAAACCCTATCGAAATGTCAACAAGGAGGTAATAGCCAATATGAGTGATAGTGATGAGTTGTACACCAGGCTGAGCGGTTTTCCCATGCAGGACAAGGGCATCCTGCCGGACTCGATGGGTCGATCCGCCGACGTTGGCTATATCCTGTCGCTGGGCGTCCATCGTTCGCATCGAAGAAATGGCATTGGATCGCTGCTGCTGGACGCGCTTATGAACCACCTGACAACGGCCGAGCGGCATTCGGTGAAGGCGATCTTCCTGCACACGCTGACCACGAATCAACCTGCCATATTTTTCTACGAAAAGAGAAGGTATCGTGGGGGAGGGGGTTCCTCATTTTGCGTGTGTTGGGTCTATTTAATCAAGTCTTCACCTTTCAGATTCACGCTTCACTCATTCCTGCCCTACTACTACAACATACGGGGCAAGGGCAAGGACGGGTTCACGTATGTGAACTACATAAACGGCGGCCATCCACCCTGGACACTATTATATCCTTTTTCAAAATGCCTCTACGGCCTTTCCTGTTTCGCTTTTCTCTTTATGATTTCGCTGTACTTTTGGTTGCCCTCTTAACTCTCCACTGCACAGATCACATCAAGCACTACGCGTCGAAGGCGCGGTACACCAGCAGCCTGTGTGCCTGGGTGGCAAATCGAGTCCAGCAGGTGGTGCGGTGGTTCTACCACAAGCTGCTCACCCGCTTTAACTTCATCGAGTAGATCGAATCGAGGAGGACTACAGCAGAACTGGCCAAGCATCCGCATCCTTCCGAGACACAAGCACTTTGATGATGGCAATGATAAGTGTGTGTGTTTGCATTATGTCATCCCGTCGAGCATAAACAAGCAAACATTTATATTGTACACTTGCACCCACTCACCACACCGACACACCTTCATTATAAATGTTAGGCAACACCTCCGCAAAATCATTACGTTTTTATACAGAAAAAAGAGAATGAGATCTAGCAAAGAACAACATCAAAGGCATAAGTTGAAAGTTGTAACATAATTCGATAAGTGTATTATTACGTTTTAAAAGATATCTATCTGTTCACTGCTGTAAATAGTCGTATGATGTTTTTGTTTGAACTGCTGTAACCGAGTGATTTTGGAATAATCCTTTCTGTAGCCCGTGTGTATGTTTTTTTCTTACGTTTTAAGTTCCACGCACAAGACAGTCATTTAGTTTAGCGACAACCAACAACAAAGATGCTCATGCTTTAATGCTTAATTTATGAAATCTGCACGTAAATAGCTTTGAACTGAGACCGAATTAATGTTATATGGCAAAAGAAAACCAGTTGAATACAATACCCAACCAACTACGAAAACAATATTCATTTGAAATTAAACTCTGTTCGCTGTTTCTATAGTATTTTGTAAAAGTATTTTAATGCATATTGTTTCGCCGCTAATTCTGATTACTTTAGGCACAATTTATCTAGCAAATTGTAATATTTTTAAAAATAAAAACTTGTAAAGTTATGAAGAGATTTTATTTGGTTTTAACCCTAAGAAATGTAATACTGGCTAAAAATTCATATTTATTTATAATTAACTTAACCTATTGAGATATAGATCTTTTGAACACATTTGATATTACAATTTAAAATGTAAAAAAATTAAATTTGATTAGTTTTAATAGTTTACTACTGCCAAAACATGATATTTTAAAAGACAAGCCAACAATTTTCCGAACGCAACATTTTCTATTTCTTATTTTAATCTTAAAATTTAAGTCAAAGAGAATATTTCACAGCAAATTTGTTTAAGAAATATAAAGTTAAAGAAAAATAAATGTTATAAACCAAAAAATGTTTTCTTTAATTTTGAATTTTATTTTAAATATATTTGAAATCAGAGCTCCTTGCCAGTGTTGTAAAACAGTACTGTCAAGTGTTCGCCTTTCAGTTGATCTGGCAACGCTCGACTAACCTGTCACTATTGTGAACTAGCAAAATCGGGGCAATTTAGTAGCATAAATTCGTCGCAACTGCCTGCAAAAATGTTCTCGAGAGCCGCTCTTCTTACAGGTAAACCCGAAAACCGTGTGAAAAGATTGGCCGACAATCGCTGAGCCTAGAACTAATATTGGGCAAGTGCAATTTCGCCCGCAAGCGACCGTGAAAAATGTTACGGCATTGCAAAGTCGGCGGACATCGTGGTTTATGTAATCACCCATCCGCAGTGTATACGTCAAAAAGGCATACTTTTCGCAAACTTAAGTTACGGCAAACTAATTGGGATGTGCACTTACAGCCCAGCGCCCGTTGACCGTGGCCGCAACCCGGACGGCCGCCGCTGCCGCCTCCCCCAGCGGAGCCGTCGAGCGCCGCCAGCGCCCCGAGCATCCCGGCAAGGTCCGTCTGGGATTCCTGCCCGAGGAGTGGTTCCAGTTCTTCTACAACAAGACCGGTGTGACCGGACCCTACACCTTCGGCGTGGGCCTGATCACCTATCTCTGCTCCAAGGAGATCTACGTCATGGAGCACGAGTACTACAGCGGTCTGTCCCTTGGCATCATGGCCGTCATCGCTGTCAAGAAGCTCGGACCAGTCATCGCCAAGTGGGCTGATGGAGAGATCGATGTGAGTAGAAATACACAAAAATGGTTTCGCAGTGGAGGTATCATTCTATGGAGAATTGTTCACCTAAGAATTTTGTGTTTTTAAAGTGCTTCCAGTTACTAAGTTGTTGAATATGAGATGAACCAATTTTAAGTGTATAGAGTAAAAAATTAAATTTTAATAGCTTATCAATTGATGAGTTCTAACTAGCTAAATCCAGATTGTGATTCTTTCTCGTTTTATATTGTATATGTAAATGTGTCAACAAAAAAAAAACATATTGTTAATTTGTAAAAGAAATCAAATGTTAACCATTTCCATAAAAACTGTGTTAAATTCAAATTGCAAATACAAGTTTTAAAAGAAAACCTCCCAATCCAAAAAAAAAACAATAATTAATTCTAATCTATTTCACAGAAAATCGAATCCGAGTGGAAGGAGGGCCGCGAGGCTGAGCTCAAGGTCCTGTCCGACGCCATCGAGGCCGAGAAGAAGGAGCAGTGGCGCGCCGATGGCGCCCTGCTGCTGATGGAGGCCAAGAAGGAGAACATTGCCTTGCAGCTGGAGGCCGCATTCCGCGAGCGCGCCATGAATGTCTACTCGGAGGTGAAGCGCCGCCTCGACTACCAGGTGGAGTGCCGCCACGTCGAGCGCCGTCTCAGCCAGAAGCACATGGTCAACTGGATCACCTCGAACGTGCTGGCCAGCATCTCGCCCCAGCAGGAGAAGGAGACCCTCAACAAGTGCATCGCCGACCTGAGCGCTCTGGCCCTGCGCGTCAAGTCTGCCTAAACGATTCGAGTTTTAGTTGTTTAATTGTAAATTAAAACCCATTCGAGACGCTGGAATCATGATTATGCCCGCAAGATGATAAAATCGATCCAATATATCTTCAAAACGCCCGTGTCCGAAACTATCTTCTTGTGTAATTTTGCGTTATATTTAAAATGTTTGTGTTAAAATTTAAGAGCGACTCCGGTGAGATTTTGAAAGCAGTTTTTATTGGGGATATATATAGCATAATATTGGGCTTAAAAACTGAAATTATAAGATAGTGGGAATCTTTTAGGCTTTTTAAAATTTGGCACCATTTAATTAATTGAATTGCACCCTTAGGAAAGTTGTCAAGATTATAAAGAATCTTAAAAATATATTTATCAGTCTTGTGCTGCACTGGCATCGTCTTCGAAGGCATCCGCCATGATTTGCTCTCCCTGGAAATCTCCCAGAATTCCCAGACGTCGTACTGCTTGAAGATTTTGAATGCAATAATCCACATTGGTCACTATGCAAAGGGGTCGTTCACCCTTATAGTAACCCGTGTTATCGCGCAGATAGACAACATCCCTGGTGGCCAACCAATGCTGTAGTTTTACGAAACAAGGACACTGCCAAGGATTTCCTTCGATTGAGACTCGTTTCAGATTGGGAAAGCTCACATTCACCTTGGACAGAAATGTTAGGCGGTTGTTGTCCACAAGGATCTCTTGGACGCTACTTAGGCTTTCCAGCACATCAAGATTGATCTCTTCCAGCAGATTGTGACCCAAATGCAGCTTTTGAAGGCGTCGCATGGGTGCAAACATTCGCACATCTAGGGATTTGAGTTCGTTGTGACCCAGTTTTAGGTACTCCAGAAAAGGCAGCGAAGAGAAGGCCAGTGGATGCAATTGCTTCATATGATTGCCATTCAGGTTTAGTCTCCGCATGCGTGACAAGGTGTTGCTGCCAAAGATCTGCTCTTCCAGGAACTCCAGGTTATTGTAGGACAAATCCAAAGTATCCAGGTTCACGAGGGCAGCAAACGTACCCGACTTGATTTCCAAGATGGCATTATACTGCAAATACAACTTGCGTAGCGATCCTAAACCCACAAAGTGACCAGGACTTAGGCTGGCTATGCTGTTCCTGGACACATCTAGCATTTGCAACCTGGCCAGAACCCGAAATTGATTGTCGAACAGCAGACGGATGCGATTCACGGATAAATCTAACTGTTGTAGGTGAACCACATAATTTTGAATCGCTCCGAAAACATTTGGACGCAGTGCATCCAGGGCGTTCCTTGAGAGGTTTAGTATTCGAAGTTGGCTGAGTGGTTGAAAAGTATCCTGGCCAATGGAGTTCAATCTGTTGTCGCTGAGCTGCAGCTCCAAAAGGCCATGGAGTCCACGAAAGGCATTCACATCCAGCTGAAAAAAAGATTGTTAAAGAAGAAGTTAAAATACTGCAAGTCTAATGTACTATAATATTTTAAAATGGTTTTTGTTTTTATTCTTTTGTAATCTGAATCATATTCTAAAATCATTACTGAATTTTTTTAATATATCCCGCCTTTTTTTGTCTCTAGAAATTTGTTTACATTTTCGCAGTGTGAGATAAGATGATTGCAAATATTTCGATCAGCTTCAAATTTAGAATCCATTCTCTCACTTTTCAACGTTTACTATTGTCATATGTACATTTTCAATCAAAAACGTTTTCAATAGGTAAACAAATAATCTTCAACTGCTATTTTACAAGTCTGCTTAAAGTCAAAGATCACCGCGATCAATTTAACATCTAAATTGAAAATCCGACTAAGCACACAGGAAGTATTTAAGTTCGCTGCGGTTAACTGGCGATATTAAAATAAATCTGAGCTGATCAACAGAGTTTATGTACACAAGAACACAAACAAAATTAAAAAAGCAATATTTTTTCTTAAAAATTTTTCTATTAAAGTTTATACTTTAAAAAGAAAAGTTCTCAGTGAACGATTGTAGTAAATTTATTGCCCGCTTAGTCAACTCACCTGAGCCAGTTGGTTGTTATTTAAAATCAATTCCTGCAGTTGCGGACAGACTCCGAAAGTGGCATTAACCAATCGATTGTGGCCCAGTTCGAGGCGATTGAGTAGCGGCATGTGGGGCAGATCGCATTGCTTCAAGGCATTATGCGAAAAATTCGCATAAATCAGCTTCCTCAGATTGCCAAAAAAGTCCCGGTCCAGAAGCTCCATTTGATTGTGGCTTAAATCGATCCGCTGAAGCGCTGAGTCAACCGCAAAGTGGTTTCCCTGCATTTCGGACAGACCGCAACCACTGAGGTTCAGATACCGCAGGTTGGGCAGAATGGAAAAGCCACTCGTGTGAAGATTTATTGGAGCTGCTGAAGTTAGGTCTAGTTCCACCAAGTTGGCTAAGTGCTCTGCATTTTCACCTTCAAGTGTTTTAATAACATATAATTCATATGTCTTCGTTTCAATTAAAAGTTATATTGATATTATATATTTTTCTTATTTTATATTTTCCTTGATTTATGATTTATTAATCCTTGCTGGGTCACCTTACCTGATCCCACCTCTAGTTCAGTTTGCACATTTCGTACGGACAGAGTATGCCAATTTTCTGCCCCCAAATCCACCAGATCCTGTAGGGAAGCCACCTCGTTGCACTGGAAGTTCCGCCAACCGATGGGCTGGCACAGATCGGCGCCATCCAGAAAGGGAATTCCCCCGCAGAGGAACCACAGAAAAAGCGGCACAACCCAATTGGCAGTGGGCAACATTCCTGCTCCAGAGTTCAAGCCAAACTGAGGATCCGCGAACTACAGCAGAATGCGAATGAAAATGCAAATCCAGTTTGTAAGCGAGGGAAGATCGGGGAGCATTAGGAAGTGTAAGCCGGTTTGGAACGTCATCATTGGGGATCTTGGCCAGAGGCCGGCCACTCATCAGCTGTGAAATGTTTCCAAATCAAACACACGCTTGTTTATCTTTCTCTATTGATAGGTACTTTCTATAACTCTTTAATAGTGGTTTTACATAAAGTATACGTTATATAATATGGGGTTATTACTTGACGATTATTGTGCTCTTGAAGAAAAAATATTCTTTTTGCTCTTATTAATGATTCCTCTTCCAGCGAGAGTGGTTTAGACATTTATCATAGCTCATATTGTACAAATTACAGGAAAATTGAAATTAAGAAAAACTCACTAACTTAGACACTAAAACTTAAGCAAAAACAAGTAACAATCAAAATTTACTAAGATCTATTTTAGATTATACATATATAATATAAAGAGTATATACCACTAAACGCACAGTTTAAAGATTTGTGCTTGTGGGCATTTCATTTGGAGGCTCTTGAAAATGCGCAGATTGGCGATATCATATATCATGGCTAACAAAATATGGTTTGAAAGCCAAAAGAGACGGTTAAATTTAGTTAAACATTATATTGAAGCAATGGATATACATATATGGAGATATTTAAAGTACATTCCTTACAAGCAAATATTTTACTAAACTGGTTTTCCAATCAAGAGCTCTTGGCTAAGATGCAAATATACGTTAACCGCTTACATTTAATTAAGATCTTGTACTAGGTCTATTTTGTTTTCACAATTATGGTTTCTGTTGTTTAGAGCGCTGTTTTCCCAGAAGACTTGCGACGGCAAATTAGATGGATTCACAAAACTGAAAACTGGTATCTAAATCAGACTATAGTTACGGTTGGGTTTGTCATCTTGTTGCTGTTGTACAACGGCTGATAATGTGCACTTGACCCGTTCTTAACGCTCTGACAGCCATTCGGATAGCGCATTTTGACCACGTTCGGATTTTGGCTTAGCGAAGATGTCGAGGAGGATAACGACGATGATGATAGCGATCCGGTCGATGACTTATTTTGCAGCGGCAGTGCCTCGCCAATTAGCGTTATCCTCACCGGCTTGTAGGCGTTGCCATTGGGCGTGGTCATCGGGGCGGGTGTATCCCATCCGATCGAGGATCGTCTTTGGGTATCGGGAAAAGCCGCCGCCAGCTGCTGATTGTAGTTGGTCAGCGTGGTGGAGATGATCGTGTGCCGGCGGGTCTGGCTGAGAGCTGGGCAGGATTTCTCCTTGCTCTGCAGCTGCTGCTGGTTGCTCGGGTTGCTCTGGTGATGGCGGATTATCGTGGTGGCTGCCAGCGTGGAATCGTGCAGTTGGAGCGTCGGAAAGTGCGTGGTATAACTGGTATATTCGGGCTTACTTCTGCGAACAGATAGATCAGGATTAGTGGAAAGTATAGGAAGTATACATTGTTTTTTTATAAGGAACCATTAACTTTGCCCATGCCATTTAAGTTTAGTTTTGGTAGAGAAGATGGGAACTGCTTTGCAAAGTTATCCAAAATTTATAGTAGGTATATTATATATATTTATTTGTATGATTTTAATTTTATGTTTTTAGGGGAAATTTTATTACGATATTGTTTAAATGGTTGCTTCTTTACAACGTTGCGATGTATTTAATAAACTTTTAGTAAGGTAAAAAATCGAGTCGAAAGGAGTATGATTTCTAATTTGTTGAAATTGTAATAAATATAATCTTATGCAAATAGAATTCAAGATGCAAAAATATTGAAAAAATCCCCAAGAAGCGGTAATCAGAACTGTCACTCGATAAGAATTTGTGTGATTCACAACCCATATAAATCATGAAGGTTCTTCACCGCTTTCGACCCATCCCATCTTCTCCACATATTCTAGGTTATTTATTTTAGTTTGCATTACCTTGGGACTCTATTTAATTGCCGCATGCAATTAAAACGTTTCACAAACAGTGTTAAATTTTCAGTGACAAATTAGTAACGACTTAAAGCTAAAGTTAGTAACTGAGATATCTTAGATATATTAAAGCTTAGGTAGTTATCATTCAGTTATGGTTTAGTAAATACTTTCGGGAACTTAGTGTTTCAAGTGCAAGAGTTACAGTTATCCATACAGTTATAGCTTATGTGTAGTATACATATAAGATTGATGGCACAGAGCACAATGATGGCTAGGATGAAATCACAAAATAGTACCTGTTGCTCCCCAAATTGTAGTCTAAATATCGGTTTGTTAGAGATAAGAAAGGATTGTGTGTGTTCGTGTTTTAAATTCCATGGGAGCATTTCAGAGGCGGGTGTGGAAGAAAGAAATTCAGATGGGTTAATCGGAGCGGGATTTTAAATTAGAAATTCCACCTCCTGTTGCTGCCGCCGAACGTTGGGGTTGCAGATTTCAGCTTTCAGCTCGAGCTACTGCAGAATCGGCCCTAATTAGACTGCTCCAATTGCAATTGCTGCCATTAACGTCAAGAGCCGGCAAAAAAGTGGCCAACTGATTTGCATGCCAGCGGAGCGTGAAGCCAGCTGAAACCGATTCCAGCAGCAGCAGCAGCAGCAGCAACAGCTAACAGCAACTTGCAACACCAACTGGCCAACAGCAACTACACAACAATAAATCAGTTTCTTTTAAATGCAAACAGCAGGAATAACAAAAATGAAGCACTCAATTTATGAAGCATTGAATTCAATAAAATAAATGTTGCTAATAAAGAAGGAAATTTTTTATTTATTAAACAAAAATAGTAATATTTGTTAAGTTCAGAAAAAATATAATGATTATTCGATTGCTACAAATTTTTAAGGAAATAAATATATAAACATTGAAAAGTAGTTCATACAGATCAATTCTATTATGATCAATTAATTATGAACAGATTACAAATCAAATACCAAACCCATGCAATTTCTCCTTATGTTTCTCTTTAATAACTTTAGAAATATTATCTCCCAGTGCATTAATTTTAACGAACAGCAACAGTCGGCATCGTTTTGTATTAGTTTTGTTAGTTTGCGAACGCGCAGCTGCGGTTGATGAAAAGCCCCCCGAAAAAATTACAAGTATTACACAAAATTACCAAAACACATGAAATGCAACGAAACAAAAATAGCGGATAAATAATGCAGTAAGAGAGTAAGAGTACAAGGTATATGGCCAAAATCGAAACAAACATGAAAGTTTGCCTACCTGGACAAACCCTCGGCACCAATGGCAAGTGGTCGTGTCTGTGAAAGTGGAATCGGAATTGAAATAGTCGATAGCTTTCGGTTAGTCAATGTTGTGCAAACACATATGATCGGTAGGAGATATATCTCTCCATATATATATATATAAGCATATATACAGTGGCCGAAACTTACCCGCTCCGTTTGGGTGGCCATGCTGATGAGCTCCTTGCCCGGATCTCCGCCGCCAATGGAAGCCTTCTGCCTCTTCTCGGCCTCCAGTTGCTCGATGAGATCGCGCTGCAGGCGGATGGTCCGATCACGATCGTCCACTTGACCCTGGTGGAGCAGAGGAGGATTGGGGGAATCGGGGGGAGAAACCAAAGATCAGTAAATGTCAGTTCACTCTTGTGGAGCGAGGCATGAAAGGTCACTAGTGGTTATAGTAGGTCTAAGCCAAAGAGTGTGAAAATCATATCTATGTAGGTAAAACGCTATCTTGGCTTAGTTTTTGGCTTTTTCAGACAGTCATGCTTTGATTAGTTTTTATATTGCAAGTGCTTCTCTTCTCTGGTTTACTAAATATTGAAGCCAATTTTCTTTATCTGAATCAAAGCATACTTTCAACACAACAGCTAAAAATTTACAGAAACCATTTTAACAATGTATATTTTTAAGGAGTGTAAAGTAGTTTAATAAGTCTTAAAACAAACTAATCAAATGAGCAGATGAGATCCTAAAAATCACTAAATATTTATTATTAAAAGATATATATATTTTTTAAATTTTACATTCGTTATTTTTCTGCACATTTGATTAATTATTCTTAAAAAACTTAATCGGGTTTTTGTGTACTCTGTGTTCTGTGGCAAGTCAAAGTGCGAAATTAACGTTTGATATTATATTTATCAACATAAAACTATAGCAGTATTTATATAGATGATATGTATAGTTTTAAAGATTTACAATAAGCATAAGTAAGTAGTCTTCATGATTGGATATGTGACATGCTACATAGAGTAAGTATCCATGTATCTAATAAACATTAAAGAACAACAGCGAGAGTAAAAATGCGATAGAAAAGTCTTTTCCTGCTTTTCCGAATCAATCGGTTTGTGACCCAGTTTTTTTTTTTTTTTTGGTTTGGTTGTGTTTCTCCCGGCTTAACGAGCAAACGAAATGCAAAAAACGTGCAAATACCTGAAGGTAAACCACCTGTCTACGTAGATCGGATAGCTCCTGAAGCGGATCCTCCGTCGTGGACGAAGTGAGACTGGCCAGATCGATGTCATTCAGCTGCTTGCTGTCCAATCCGCAGGCGGCGAACAGCTGAACGTTGTCGTTCTCGAAAGGATTGAGCGTTTCCGTCTGCAAAGATTCGTGGCAATAATAATAAAAACCAGTAGGTTACTTTCCATTCATCATTTTCTTAGAGATTGCCTGGGGCAATGAATAAATAAAGTCGAACCAAAGACAGCGACGTACCCGCTTTAAATCAAAATCTGGCTCCTAGCAGTTTTGCAAGTGAATGTTGAGTGCAGGTGATGTGGGTGTGCCATGGAAATGTAGGGAAAGAAAAGTGCATTCGTGAGGAAAATTATGATCGTACTTAAAAAAAACAAATTGGGTATAATAACTTAAAGTTTTTTTTTAACAAATTTAACACAAATTTGCCATTAACAAAACGTAAAACAAGTTGTAATAACAGTTTGCGGAAGATAAAACAAGGCAACGTTTGCCTTAAGGGGGGCTTCTCATGTAACATGCCAAAAAGTAGTGGTTTTTTGGGAATTTTTTTCACTTGGAAAATGAAAACTTACACGAATAATTTTTTGCACATATTTGAAGACATGTTTAAAGTATGAGAAAAACATTTTTTGAAAATTCTAAAAAACAAAATGGCGGACTTATTCAAGGTCGCGTGTGGCTCGACGCGGCTGAGGGACTTATTGCGGTACAGTGTGGAGCAAAAAGTTTTCATCTGAAAAAAACAAAAAAATTTTTTTTGTATGCAGCAAGGTTCAAACGAGTGCGTGAATGTCAGCCACTTCAAAAAATTCGATTTTAAAATATTGAAATCACGTCTTGAAAAAAAAGTGCCATTTTTTCGTCTTTTTTTTGCTGAATTGGGCTGAAAAGTGTATAAAATAACTTTTTTTCACAATTTCAGATATTCACGCACTCGTTCAATGTATAATCTGCAAAACACTTTTTAGAAATCAAAAATCGGTTCAGTAGTTTTTCCGTAATCGTGTACCGCGTTTTTTAAAACATAGATTTGAGAAAACACGATTTAAAGTTTTGAGTTAGTGTGGGTCTTGAACTGGAGCGCGCTCGTTCAATCACTTATATTTTCCATAATATTGAGAGTTGAGTTATAAAACTTCGGGAATATACTCTCAAGACGTTATTCTATCGATTTATGAAAAAAAAAAATTTCGATTTTTTTTTAAATTTTACATGAGAAGCCCCCCTTAAAAAAAATAATAAAATTACAAAACTTGTTTTATTTAGAAAAAAAGATATAAAATTGTTTAATTTATGTAATGCTACTTGAAAGTGAAGTTATGTTCATTGCATTTATCGCAGGGTATAACTATCTTTAGTAATTTATTGTTAACTCAAAAAAAGTTAATGAATTTTATTACAAATTTGATTTTTTTCAAATAAAAGTTGCATTCAGATATAAAGGGTGATAAAATGTTGTATTTGAGTTAATGATTATTTGCGTTTTGAATGTTTCTTGGTAATTATCATAAATATGTATATTTAACCATAGAAGTTGAAATGTGTTAAAAACAATTAATGCAATTTTTGCTTAAATAAATAATCTACTGTTTTCTGGTATCAAAAGAAAGTAAGTTAAATTTTGTTGTTCACCACTGACCTCCTGGAGTATTCGCCGCAATCGCAGCAGCTGCTTCTTGAACTGCAGCACATCCTGGATCATCGCATTGCGGAAGGACTTGTCATACAACATCAGATCGTCCGACGAGCTGTGCAGCTCGCCTCCGCACCGGTGACTGGTGGTTCCCGGTGATGCACTTGCTCCACCGCCTGCTCCCGCTGCAGATGCCGCTCCGGATCCACCCAATCCCAGGTGCTGCTGCTGCAGATGCCGCTGGCGGGGCAGACTGGCCGTGGAGCCGGAGGATGCCCTTGAGTTGGCCGTGCTTCTCTTCCTGGCAGCAGCGGCCGCCGAAGCTCCGCCACTGTGGTTCGACCTCAAACTGTTATCGGAATCGTTGCCGGCGAGCTGTGGGTCCTGTAGACGCGAGCGGTTCAGCAATCTGGTGGCTCGTGCGGGCAGCTGGGCGCTGTAAAAAAGTTTATAATTAATTAACATACAACAAATAATACCATAAATATAAATAATTAAAGAGAAATAGCCAAAGAGTGCCTGTGATATGTTTCGTTGGCCTGTGGCGCACTGCTGGCCATAAAATTGGCAGCATAGTGGTAATGGTGGATATGCCGCTGTTTGATGGCCATCGGTGAGCTGGTTCGCTGGCTGCTCCCCAGGAATCGGTTTTCCGAGGTCTTCAAATCGGTCCGGACCCGTCGCACTCCGCTGGGTGAGGATTTGCTGGCGGTTTTACTGGCGGATTCACTCGCCTTCGACATCGTCCAAACTGACAAATCGAATTTCTTGGGTCGTCGCTTGGAGCTCAGTGCTCCATGTTGTTGCTCTGCGACAATGACACAATCACGTCATGCGCAGACCACCAACAGCTGTGTGGAGACTTTGTAGAAAAATACCCAGCGACCCCATTACACTCAGCCAATTTGGGAATTTCGTTGTGACCAATTTATTATAGTAAGCCACATTACACATTAGCATAAGCTAAATCTTATGCATTCTTTGACAGATACTAACACATTATATGACTTTTAATGACATAATATTAATTATTATGAGAAATTAAGTTCATTCTCTGCTTGAAAAAATACAAAACTTCATTTGAAGTTTAATTTCTGATAATACGATTTTAATTTAGAATAAGGAGTACATAAAATGGCATTTTCGGTAAATGACCTAAAACCAGCACTTAAAAGCCCATAACTTTTCTTAAGGATGTCCGATTCTGGATAGGTATATCTCAAAATGCTTGTGACATAGTCCTTCAAGAAGCTGCATCATTAGTTTTTATTCGATTTTTGGGTCGATTTTTATCATGTTTTTATGATGAGAATAAAGAGTTTCTTTCATTGAATTTTAGCATTGCGAAAGTTGCAATATATTGTTATATTTAGTTTAGGAAGCTTAAGACATTGCTGAAAAGTAAGTACATATTTTAAAAGATATAATTTAAATTGGCCAAGTGTAGAGTAAACGCAGGGGTGAGTCTCGTAATTATTTAGCGAGCTTCAATTAACGCGGTCGCAATGAAAGTGAAATGAAATGCCATTGATTAGGGCTGGTCGAAGGAACTCCGACCGGCGGTTGTCAATGGGCAATTAAGATAGGTGGATGGGGGGAAGGGGGTCAGGTGGCGGGGTAACCTGCACGACACGAATGCTGGAAATAAATCCACAGACGCGGCTGCCTTTCAGCTGGTGAAAGTCAACTGTTGCGTGTTGCAGTCACCCAAGTTACGAGGTGAAAAAGGGGGGAATTCGGTTTCGGGGGAGGAGGGCTCTTACACATGCGCAGTGTTTTAAATTTTACGCCATAATTTAAACAAACTGTTGAAAAACGCATCGAAAGCAGACAAAAGAAAACGCCATTCAATAGTTAGCTCATTCGATTATTCACGGCTGTATCCAAAGGTTAATGGCTAATGGATTGAGGGCCTACCATAATACCCGCAATTATTACGATATTTCGGTTAGTGGATCCATTACGACGCAGAAATTAATTCGAGCATCTCACGGATTTGTGAGACTTTTCCTCCGGTAAGTTAATTATCGGAGTTCAGATGGCTAAGTTCCAAGTTCCAAGAGTAATTGGCCCCAGGGAACTGGCACATCAGCAATTTGAATATTTGAGTCTGCGAACTTTGCTTATGGCCGCATTAAGATGATCGCGAATTGCACGAAATGGACTGTGAACAATTTTCAGCTCATCTGGAGCGGCGATGAAAGTACGAAAACATCTTTTATTGTTAAGGGGTCCCCTTCTATTTTTACAGTTAGATGATGGGCTTGTCGGCGCTATAAAGGTTCTCATCACCTTTTCACTTTAATTAAAATCAAATTCCCTGCTCAGCGGGTTTTGATTGCATCTGGTAAGAAAGATTGGGTCAGATGATATAAATTGATTTATTTTGATTGGGAAGTGCTGTTGTGTAATTTTGTTTGTTTAAATTATCCAATCATGATTTTTTTGTTTTTAAACTAAGATGAAAACTATACAAATTATTTTTGGTACTATAAACATTTTTATTTAACAATTATTATAGATTATTTAAGAAGGTCTTTTGTTAAAAGTTATTTTAATTAGTTACATTTTAGCTATACAAAAGTTTTCTCTGCCAAAACCAAAACACAATGCCCATTGTTAACATTTAATAAACAACTTTGGCTAATTTCTGATACAAGCAAAGCGGAGGCAAAAGTTCAAATAAATTCACTCGAGTGTTGCCAAACAAAAAGCAATTAAAGTGTACATTATGTCCAAACCATAAAACACAAAATACACTCATACACTTTCCCAAAGCCCACACACAACCACTGAGCTAGCAAAATTCCACATGTTTGCGGGTTTCGCACGCCAACTTTATGCGGTTTTTGTACCACGAATATGAATGCAGAAATCCGACCCGAAGAGATCCACCGAAATCAAAACAATACGAGTACTTTGCACAACTCAATTCAGCAAAACTCAGCAGGCGACAGTGCCGGATATTTCGTACTCAAAGCCAAAAGCAAAAAACAAAACCGATTGTCAGACGACAAAATGTCTGTCATTGCAACAAGTGCAGCAAATGGATTTATATGTACGAGGAAATATCAGCAGGGAAGTGGAAAAGGGGAAGCCAAAAGATTTTCGGATTATTATTGCCATATTTCACTGTGTGATTACTTTGAAGCTTGTAATAATTAAGCCTATAATTGCATAAATGTATTATTCAACTATATTATAATCTCTATTACTTTCGAAATGTTCATGTTTAGGAGATCTTAAAAGTGAATAATAATTTTATAATTTATATGTTTCAAAAACATTATCAAGCTTTATTGCTGTTTGCATATCAGATCACATATTTTATTGCTTTGCCATTTCTGGATCACAACCTTAATATACTTTTATTTCCAATTCCGATAAGAATGATATCTAATAGTGTCGTATTTAAAGTATATGTAAATGTCATAGAAACTCATTTACCTCGAAATTTGGTAGCAAGATCTAGATAAGGCAGTTGACCGTTTTCGTATTCCAAATTATTGTGCTACGTGACGGACGTTTAAGCACATAATTGTTTCGCCGGATGATAAGGTTTTCCAAAAACTGAACAGCGACCCCTTGACAATTCCCCAATGGCTACGCACCTGCTTTTCAGCTACCTTTCCACACATTTAGTACAAATGTGTCTCATTTGTGACTGCACACGCGCCACTGCCAACGGCAACTGCTGCTAACTTGGCTCACTTGTTCAGCGGCAACAGTTAGTTGCAAACAGACAGCAGGCAACAGTCAACATTCAACAATGACAAGCAATCACAATCAAACAGCGATCCGTGGGGCAGAGGCGTTGACATCCACTACTCGAACTTCACTTCCCAACGGTACTTATCAATTTGTGCGGCAAAACGTCATTTGTCATAGAGTACATATATACATACATATATATAGTATGGTATAGTACACATAGGAAGGGGAAGTGGAAGTGGAAATGGAAAGGCAGCTTCATTAGAGTCCTCGGAAAAACGGGCGGCGCGAGCTGCAAGCCACGCAAGTAATGGTAATGGCCATAAAAAATAAAGAAATAACCAACATTCTCACACGGCCGCCTCTGATGAGAATCCGGTGTGTATCTTGCATGCCCAGAGTTCTGGCTCCTCCACGCAGAGAAAATATATAGATCATATTTCAAAGATCAACATTAAGGACCAGAAAATGGTTAAGAAAATATAACATGTCAGGGGTTTGATGATAAAAACAAATATTTATACTGATAAATATACATAGAATAGTATTTAAGCAGAATTAAAAGTCTGAACATCTTGTTTAAAATTCTGAAGATCTGTAAAAAATTACTACATAGTGAATTTTTACTGAGGAATGATAGCTTCAGTAAAAATTCACTTTCTTATAAGGTAGTTTTAGACATACCATTAGAATACTTGTTTTAGAGTTAATGAGATTAACTAATGAAAAACAATCACACTTTAAAGCTTTAAGAGAAAGCCTTACCCCACAGTTTCAGATCATCATAAATCTTCTTTATTAACTTCCTGCAGTTAGTTATAGTACGATATTAAAGAACCTCACGTCCCCACTTGCTGTTTAATTGCAACCATAAACACAAGAAATAGCTTTTCTTTTAGTGTGCCAGCTGAGGATGATGATCAACGATGGTTAAGATGGGGATATGCCCAGAGACTCTGTTTTGGGGCTGGGGAATTTGGGGTTGGGGAGCACTTTCGAGGCAGACAGGTAGATAGGAAGGTAGGTAGGTAGCAGCAGCAGCAGCAGCAGCAGCGGCGCTGGTTATCTGTATCTGTATTTGCACTCGATGGTATGTTCGTAGTTTGTGTGGCAAACATTCTGTTGAATTATGCATGGCGATGGCGATGGCGATGGAGATGGGAACCCGTACTCGTACTCGTATCCGTAACCAAAACCTGAACGCGTCGCAAATGCAACTGAACTTGAAGTGGCTGAAAAGCCATAAAAGGGGGCACCTCAACCCCCGAAACCCCCTCCCACTTTCCCCCCTTCTTGCCACACACAAACACACTCTATCTTTTTTTATGCGCCTGATATCTGTAATTGTTACGTTTATGGCATCAAATTCCAAAAGATTTTCCAAACGCTGCCTGCATTTGCATGTGACACACTTTTAAGTCCATTGTGTTGGGCCTACCCCATCCACCTCCCCTTTATTGAAGTGAAACTTCTTTAGGCGCGTTATGGATTTTCGGGGACGGAGTAAAACCGATTCATGACCGTCACGAAAATTACCGTCACGAAAATTACCGTCACGAAAAAGCGAGGATCCCCATCCCTTTCTAACCGCTGACGAACGATGTCTCTATCCTCCTCTATCCTTTCTCGCTCTCAGCGCGCTCGCACAAAGTTGCAGTTGAAAAAGGGGTGAGAGGTGTGAATGTCAAAAGGAATTCAAATCGAACAGGTTGCATACAGATATTA